GGCCAGCAGGTGCTAATCTTGGACTCCTGGCTTTTCGATTCTCTGACATCTTGCTGCCATCTTGCTGTTGTTCTGGTTCTATGGCCAATGGTATATACTAATACTCTTAATTTCCCCTAAGATGGATGATGGAACTTCTTTTTTTATATGTTGTTGATTCCTGATTATTGTTGGCAGCGTGATGAACTGATGGAGTGGTCAAAATCAAGTTCGGTATAAACCTAACCCGAAAGAACCGCACCGAATTAATTCGGTTTAAAAAGGTTCGGTTTTAATTTTTCTAGGAGGAATTTCAGCTAGCAATTATGTGAAACCGATCTTCTACTAAACCGAACAAACCGAACCGATAAAACCGGAAAAACCGAACGCCCACCCCTATTAGCAATTCTATCTCTTATCTTACTTATTTTGCCAAGAGCTAAAGAGTTACGTGTCTATGAAACAAGGTGACTGGCTTTCCAAAGCTTAATTTTGCTGTTGCACAAACACTATGTAGGAGTTAAAGCAGAAAAAGAAGAAAAGATTGGCATTTTGATAATTTTGGCATGTTTTCATGACCATATAGGGCATGCATGGTTTAATGCAAATTTTGGCCACGGAAAACATCAGTAGTCAGATTGGCAAGTATTTTTGTTCAAACATTGTAATGATCTGGGGAAAACAAGGGAAATGGGATCCTGCTTAAATATGGTAGCAAATTAAATGTTCGGTGTATAGGTTTAAAAGCTGTAAATGTAATATGCTATTAACAAATATCAGACTATGACAAAGTCAAACAGCATCATCAAACACATGGTTGGAAGCTTCCACCTTCAGGCACAGTTCTATGACATTGCCTAACTATTCCTACATGGTACACTATGTAGATGCATTTCCGTGTATGGATCTAATTGGTAACTTTATTGATTCAAAATGAACAGGAAAGTGGCAAGCACATTACCTCAATTTCCCCATAGACCGGGCTAAGCGAAGCCCAATTGCTCGAGCTTTACAACTTTTGAAGAAAAGTAATGCATAAACACCCTACAATTGTAAGTTCGGAGATACTGTGAGACAGGTGAACTTGATAGATGAGGAGGAAAGAAACTTAATATATACTATTTTGAGCAACAGCCCAAAAACCAATCGGTGAGAAGTAAATAGAGTATCCTGGTTTAATAAAAAATAGTATCCTGGATTACTTGATTATTTAAAAAACTAAGTTTATCTTCAAGGAAAGAAGTGACTTACAGGGTATTGCTGATTAGTAGAAAGGCTCACTTCAAATATTTCATCAATTCTTTCAATGAATGTCTGGAACTGATTAGCCAGTGACAGGTCATCTAACAAAATGGGATACATCAAAACCTGCAAATATAGAAGAGCAATGGTTTATCATGGCTGCATGAAACTTAGGGTTCTGGTTCCTAGGTGATGGTATATATAACAAATGTGACTCGTTAAGATATTGAAATTGCTTGATAACAGAAAGTATCAAAGGAAAAAGAAAGAAAGAAAATAAGCTGCACCATTACTGATCAGAAACACAGGGGCAGACTAATTATGTGCTGCTTGTATTCTCAGTATTAGCAAAGTGATTCTGAGAATTCAGAGAACAGGAATGCACATGATTCAATGGATACCAACATCCTGCTAATCAAAATAAGCCCAACTAACTCAACTGGACAAATGCCATTATATTATATTGATAGATAAAAAGAGCACTCTATTCAGTTCACTCTAAGAGCAATTCTGTAAGCCACTACATGTCTACAAAAGCAATTACGGTGAAAAGGGTCAAATAAATACTAGTGCCGAGAGATTTTGTACAACGTTGGTAGCCGTAGTGTGCTGTTATAAATATATATGCATGCAAAAGGAACATAAACAGAAAAGGAAGAAATTAAAATGTTTTAGAAGGAATTTAGTATCTTTATTTGAGGTATATGTGGAAAACTAAAAAGTATCACATAAACGATACATACTTCAAACATTATGCTAACTTCTGCATCATGGCATGAAGGTTTGTACTCCTTTAATTGTGCTTTTGCATTCATCTGCCTAAGATGTTCTGTAACCCTCTCTTCATCGAGAAGCCGTAACACTTTCAGGAGGGCGTCAACGCCAGACCGATATTCAGAATCAAAATCCTTCTGTGCCTGGTGGTGTTCGCAAACACATTGTGCGCAAACATTCAGCTCTTCAGAAATCCGTTTCCATATTGTCCTAGGAGGTGAGTTTTCCTCTTGGTCATCAAAGTAACCAAGGAAGGTCTCCAGAAATGGTCCCATAATATCAGCATATCCACACCAAATATGCTCTTCTTTTGGCAAACTTCCCAGAAAATTAAAACAATGTGAAAACCTGCAGGTGGTTACACAAACATCAAATCTCATTAGGACTGTCAAGCGAAATTTTAGGGCATGTCTTTGACTCTTGACTCTAGAAACAAGGCATGTTGCAAGAAGAGCAACTGTCCATTTACATAAATTTTGATGTTCCAACACAGCTAAATTCCAAATAAACTAAATGTCTTTTAGACACAAACATATACATTATATCACATTTCATGTGGTGTAAAAACTTCAAGCAAAATAATACTCTGTGACTTTCTATATGCCTTACATTTGAAAACTCACATCATTGTTAACTAAAAGTTACTTCAACCAAATGACTACAAAGTACAATACAGCGTTGGAGGCGTACAGCAACAAGCCAGTAATCTACACTCTTTAAAAAAAAAAAAACTCTAATGGTGGTGGTGAGCGGTGAATCTACCACCACCCACCGACATGTGGGGACTTGAAATTGGTGAATCTGCCACCACCAACTCCCACTATAAACTGACATGTGGGTTCCATTGAACAGTGAAGCATGTAGATTATTCATTCCCAGGCTATGGAAAGAGAGAAGAAAAAAGAACATATTCAACGTCCTTGCAACACATGGGTACTTCGCTAGTGTAAGAAATAGTGGCAAATGGGATGACCATAAGGGAGTAGTGATATATATTTGGTCCATGATAAGTCGGACTTCACACAGCTATGTACATTTCTAATCAACATTACTCCAAGAAATGCTGTTGACATCCCAATAAGTCTACATTGTAATCAAATGATTGCTCAGTTCTGCATATCGATAGCACATACCCCTAACAAGACGGAGTGACAAAACTACCAATAGCATAAGTGCATAACAGTGCTCACGCTCAAAATGATAATGAGCCCTGCAGAGGTTTCCACCCAATATATCAATCCACTCTGTTGTCTGAAACGAAGGTGAGAGTCTATCGGCCCATAGCAACCTACATTCGCATTATCTAATCAAACAACCACGCAAACAAAACAAGCGTGCTAACATGCAGCTACCCTGCCCGATTCGGCGATTCCCCGTCAGCACAGGCGTTACTCGTCGTCTCGCTCCGATCAGCGGAAAGTCCTAAACCCACACACCAAACACTAACTAAACCCGCGCTAATCCGCGTAGAGTACGTTACGCCCCCCATCGCCGCGAAGTGATGTGTAGCGGAGAGCGATGCGTGGCGTGGCCGTACCATTCCTCCTTGGCCTGGTTGAGGCGGCGCTGCCTGGCCGCGGACGGCTCGCCGCCGCCGCCGTCGTCATCGGCCTCCTCGGCCTCCTGGATCCCGCGCCACCGGTCGGCGAGCTGAACCCGCCGCGCCGCCATCGCCATCGCCGCGCCACCGATCGGGTGGGCCTAGGGTTCCGACGAGGCGGCGGCGCGCGAGTGGGGGAGGGGGGGATTCGAAGCGGGGGAAGGGGAGGGGGAAAGGGAAGCGGCGGCCGCGCGAAGTTATGGGAGGGGGAGAGGGGGTTAGTGGGGGTGGGGTGCGCGTAGCAGATTTCCGGGGATTTTCGGCGCTGCAATTTTTGGGGGGAAATCCGCGAGAGCCCGCGGGCGTTCTCGCGCGCGCCAGGAGCGGGCGGAGGAGACGAATTGGGTATGGCCGCATGCCCGTATGATCGTATCGTACGCCGGGGTTCCGTATATACTTTGGCTGCGTTCGTTCTTTTAGTTGGGATCTAATCTCCTGCGCACAACAAAAAGAACGACTTATTAGCGTATTTTTTTAATGAAAATACGTTTTTTTAACAGCTTTCGTATATAAACCTTTTAAAAAACATATCAATTAACTAATTAAAAGGTGTGTATGGAAAAACGAGAGAGATAAATTAAGAAACTCAGCTGCCAAACACAACCTAATATGACCGTATCTCAGCCAGCACCAAGTGGGGAAAAAAAACTTTGGCAAGATAATACTACCTCCGTCCCATAAAAATTACATTTCTAGCTAATTTAAGACAAAATAGTAGGATTGGAAAATAACCACAATAACCTTATTTAATGAACCCACTGTATGCACACATTCCATATATACAAATGATTAAAAAGAAGTTTGAGAGAATTAACCCATATAATTAGCATACTTAATAAAATTACAAGCATTAGCAGCCCAAATTACGTGGGATGGAAGGAAAGTTATATAGATGAATCAATTGGTTGGGCCCCACATGCCTAGAAATACAATTTTTATGGGATAAAGACTTGGATCTAGAAATACAATTTTTATGGGACAGAGGGAGTACATTTATAGGATGGGTTCAGTTTGATGGCAAAATTGACCCTACCCAAAACTTAGCAAAGTTTGATGATGAAAAAAATTAGTAAGGTTAGAAGGTATGTTGTGCGTGGTGTGATGTTCGGTTTGATGTCTTACCAATTCTTTTGTGGGAGATTTTAGGAAATTATCAAAATTTGTTATGGAATGGTATGATAAGGTATTTGAATATGATTCAATTGTTTCATTATCATTTTTTGGCGTCAGTGTCGCGTACTAAATTTTGGTTGGGTTGAAAAATAATACTAGTGGCAAACTGAACAAGTCCTTGAACCATGGTATACTTATATGCTCTTGATTGGATTTTTCGATCGTTGTTACTAGTATTTACTACATTACATTACATGACGGCGCAATAATGAAAACTTATTGATTCACAATCTTTATATTTGGAGATATTACAATTAGTTTTTTTTAAGGATAATGATGATGTTGCGGATAATTCGGCAAGAGATTTTGCTAATCCCCAGCTCTATAAATATGTGCTAGAGCATCTCAAAAGATGTCTAAAATTAGGCACCTAAAAGACATGTGTTAGGACTAACCAAAAATATTAGGCTCAAAAATCACCCTCATCTCCAACAGTATCCCATTACTTGATTCCAAGAGAACTTTAAAATCTACCATGTCATCACTGGTGGGTCATCTTAAACTGATTTTTCTCCAGTTGAGAGTGCATGGAGGTGCCCAGAATTAGCTCATATTTGGATAGATTTTGGATGCACCTAACTATTGGACCTCCTTTGGGAGCCTGTTGGAGGGGGGTGTGGTTAACGGGCGATCGATCACTTGGAGCGATCACCCCCTATCCCCTCCTATACGCTCCTCTCCCCCTTTCTCCTCAGTTTCTTCTCTTCCTACTACACTATAAAATTTTAAAAAAATAAAAAACAAAGTTGGAAAAAATTATGTATAGAAATACTATATATAAAAAAGTATTTGAATTCAAATTTAAAATGGGTATGTAAACTTTTGACTTATAAACTTTGGGTCTATAAACTAATATTTGAATTCAAATTTAAATTTGAATCGGGTATGTAAACTTTTGACTTGTAAACTTTGGGTCTACAAACTTTAGATATATAGAAATACTATATATAAAAAATATTTGAATTTAAATTCAAATTTGAATCGAATATATAAACTTTTGACTTATAAACTTTAGGTCTCTAAACTTTAGATGTGTAAACTTGAGGTGTACAAATTTTAGGTGCGTAAAGTAGAAAAGCAATGCGGTGCTAAAAAAGGAAACCACATGGAGGAGGGCTTAGCCTTTTCGCGTTGGAGGGTTGGTTTTACCATTAATTTCTGAAATTTAACTTTTAGAAACAGGATTAGGCCTCTCTTGGAGATGATCTTAGAAAGTACATTCACATATGTGTGAGTATGACACATGTATAGTAGTACAAAGTGCATGCATCTTTCGTGTAATAGAAATAAAATAGAGTTTACGATCCAAGTTAGTAAACCACGAGGTTTTGTCACATGGCATAACTCCGCTATTATGGTTTTGCATACCACATCGCTAATCAAATTTTAGCACAATAAAACATGCTTACGTTATGGCTAAATTTATTATCCAATAGATTGAAGAAATAAGTCTACACAACTCGCAAAAGATATCAAATGCTGAAGTGACGCCACTTACGCCCGATTACTACGTGCAGCTCTCCGAGCTCGTTAACGGATAATCCATTAAGTTTCTAGAGAAAAAAATATAACTTTTATAGCAAATACTATTTATAGCCATGTTCAGTCTCAATTTAAACTAGTTAACCCCCAAGATGATTTTGCTACGGTGGCACACTGAGCTGGATTGTTAAAGCGGGCTGACAGATGGGACCGGCCCATAAACAAAAATACATCTGATAGATACAGTAAGTATATATTTTCTTAAAAAAAACAACCTATAAAAGGATATGACATCTTCTGATACAATGAATCTGGACATATGGTCTATTCAGATTCAATATATTCAAATTCATTGCATCAAGAGAGATAATTGATTTTTTTTCAACGGAGGGAGTATATATAGATGTAAAACCGGTAAATACACCGCCCGTCCGCCCCACCACTGTACTGTACGTATACGCTTTCGTCCAGAGTTCCCGTTCCCACAAAACCGTAGCCCTGGATCCCTTTTACATTCTCACCCCTCCACTCTCTACACTCTCACATGTCACTCCCCCCACCCCGCCGAGCCAAAAAAGTTGAGTCAGCGACAGCGTTTTGCGCCTCGCCCCCTCGGGATCCTCCTATTAATAACCCCGCCCCTCCCTCCCAAATCCAAAGGGCAAGCCCCGCGAGGCAAGCGGATTCACGCACGCGCGCCGCCATCCGCCATGGGTCTCCACGACGCGCCGAGCCGCGGCGGCGCCGGGGGCGGGAAGCTGTCGCTGCTCGCCAGCGTCGGCCTCGCCGGCGCCGGGGGCGGGGGGAGCGGCGGCGTGGGAGGAGGAGGCGGAGGAGGAGGAGGAGGAGGGGGTTACAAGGAGCTGCTCGTGATGGCGCTCCCCAAGGACGACGACCTCGACGCCGGCAAGGTCGCCGACGTCCTCGGCTTCCGGCTGCCCGACGTGGAAGGGGCCGTGAGGGTAAGGAGCCCTCGCCCATCCCTGCCTGCGTTTCTTGGTTGCTCGTGCGGCGAAAGGTGGGAAATCTTGGCAGTTTTGCTCGGTTTGATTATTTTTTTATCTCCAATCCGATTGAGAGGGCGAATGGCGCTGTTCCCCCCCATGCGACGCGTTTGCTTCGTTTTTAGGATTTTTGTTACGACGATTCGAAACATTGCTCGGGATTCACAGGTTTCGTGGCATGAACGAGCTGTTTTGCTGCAGAACATGTGAAAGATTTCGACCAGGATCCATGGTTGATTATCTGTTCTTACCAGAGATTACTCTCGAACAAGCAAGCATCTCTAATCTCGTCAACGGCAGTGGTCTCATGTTGCGTAGTTCATTTTCTCTCTCTATTATGCTTATATAGGCGTTCATATCAGTCTAGCTTCATAAAGAAAAGCAAGTTCTATCCTGTTCTTTTGGTTGAGAGACCCAACATCATCTGCCGACTTAATGTTGACACGTAAGAGATGCAGATGAGACTTTACTACTTGTTAGGACCATATTGATGTGTACAACCAACACGCATGTGTCATGTACTCCTGTGGCCATATTCCTTCCCAATTCTTTTTGTTAACTTACGTTGCTGGTTAGGTGAAAATCGGATCTGATTTCAGAATTTTAGATAGCGATGTGTCGTCGTAGTGTTTGCTACAAGCGGGAGTGATACTGAACAATTAACGGCAGAGGAATCCCGAATCCCCACTTTATACCCTGGTTTATGGAGACAGAAAATGTTAGGAAAGATTAAGGGGCTTCAAAGAGTCAAATGGAAAAAAACAAGCTTCAATATTGATTTTGTTTTATTATACTTGATTCAGTCAACTAATTTTATACGCTTAGCCAACATATATAAAGAACTTTGACTATGTTTGGGGTTATTCTCCACGACGACAGGTTTGGACAAAGCTGTTCCTTTCACAGATGGAACAATATTTCTTCTTCGGTGCTAAAGTTCTGTGTCATTTTCATCCAAAGTATCTTGAATGCGTCCAAACATGTGGAAAATCAATTGTCTTTTAGTCCTTTTTACAATTACTTATTCCAACTACAAAATTGAGTTGCATACTTGTGTTATAATATATGTGACTATGAATTTACTAAAGATACCTTTATTGTGATCTAGCTCTTGTTTCAGCATTCCATTTTTTCATTCTTAACCACTGACCAACCAAACCTTTGGTAGAGATTTTGCTGTAATATTGATGATTGATGATGGGCTTAGATAACGTAGTAAATGTTCTTATTCTGAACCCGCCTGTCTATATAAAACAAATTTGACCAAGTACTTAACTGAATGGCTCTGAATCTGTCCTTATCACACAGATATGCATGGTTTAATAATATCCATGGGTGATTTTGATGCCTATACAATATACACTGTTTTTTGAGATGTTCCCTTTCATTTTCATTGCAGGCCTTTTTTAGGAGTCGAGAGGTTAGAGAATTTGCCAGTGGAGCATTAGCTGGTGCTATGTCTAAAGCTGTTCTTGCTCCTCTCGAGACTATCAGGTATCTATCGAACTCTCTCTCTCTCTCTCTAATAAAGCATTTGAGCATGGTCTTACAACTTAGATGTAAATCTTAAAAACCAAAAGATATAACGTGCTACAACCTTTGCAAACACCATCGCAATGATATGCTCCAAAATTCATCATCTGTAAATTAACTCCTTGAGGCATATAGTTTAATGTTGTAACCAACTTTCACCATTTAATAGTTAAACAGGAAATATTTCTAGTCTCAAAGTTCAATAGTCACATTTTCACGTGTAAACATATTCTTTGTTTAGTGCATAACATAACCAGTATTTGTAGGATTGTTTGCTTTCCTATGAGCAGTGGAGATTGTAGTCTCTGTATGCATACATCATTTTAGATATATGATTCCCAACTGTGTTGTTGAAGCATGCAGTTTGTTGCATATCAAAGACTAATTTGTACCTGTGTCGTAATATGTTGGTATGTTATTAATTTCAGGACAAGAATGGTTGTAGGAGTAGGATCTAGGCATATCGGTGGTAGCTTTGTAGAAATCATCGAACAAAATGGATGGCAAGGGCTTTGGGCAGGTAACACAATCAACATGATCCGTATTATTCCAACTCAAGCAATTGAGCTCGGAACATTCGAGTGTGTCAAAAGGACAATGGCGGAAGCGCAAGAGAAATGGAAAGAAGATGGATGCCCAAAGATACAAATTGGTAAAGTGAAAATTGAATTTCCACTTCAATTTTTATCTCCTGTTGCTGTAGCTGGTGCAGCTGCTGGAATAGCTGGCACATTGGTGTGTCATCCTCTTGAAGTCATTAAGGTGATTGCTGAACTGACCTGTTGAAAATAAAAACTATTTGTCATTCCATATATTCATTTTCTTTGGAACAGTATAACTTCGCCTGATATCTTCCATATTTTATGACAGGATCGCTTAACTATTAACCGAGAAGTCTATCCTAGTATTAGCGTCACCTTCAGCAAGATATACCGAACTGATGGAATTCGTGGTCTCTATGCTGGCCTCTGTCCAACACTAATTGGGATGCTTCCTTATAGCACATGCTATTACTTTATGTACGACACAATCAAGACTTCTTACTGCCGCTTACATAAGAAGACGTCTTTGACTCGGCCTGAGCTTCTAGTTATTGGAGCTCTGTCAGGTAAATGATTCTGCTTCATCTACATCTATATCATTTCACCATCTTCATTAGCCGGTTCAGCACTGTCTTAAAATCTGTGTACCAGGTTATCCCCTGTTTTGACTTGTGCAATTCTCTACTATCTACATACAATGAAGATGCAAAACTACTGCTCCTTCAAACAAAATGTTAGCTTGAAATTTGACCAAACAGCTGGTTGCATTGCTCATATCTGGCTGTTGAATCTGCAGGCCTGACCGCAAGCACAATCAGCTTCCCGCTGGAGGTGGCGCGGAAGCGGCTCATGGTGGGTGCCCTGCAAGGGAAGTGCCCACCCCACATGATCGCGGCCCTGGCAGAAGTGATCCAGGAGGAGGGCCTCCCGGGGCTCTACCGCGGGTGGGGGGCCAGCTGCCTGAAGGTGATGCCCAATTCCGGCATCACCTGGATGTTCTACGAGGCCTGTAAGGACATCCTTTTGGCGGACAAGGACAAGCGCAAAGCTTAAGGGGAATGTGGCATCGAGCAACTGCAACCTGACGCATTGCATATTTGCAACGTAGAAAACAATAATGAGTTACAAGATTCTTGTATCGGTGGGATTCCTGATCTTTTCCCAGTTTTCGAGTCCCACCCTGGATGACGCCGAAAAAGTGGCTAGATAGGAGACGCTGTTCTTTTTTTTGGCTGGTGGCTGGGAGAGCATGTGTTGTTTCTCGCTAATTTGGAATGCCTGATTAATTACATGTTGTCTAAGTGTTAACCGTGGGGTTTACACACGAGAATGGCTGAAAATGTTGGCATGTACCTCTACCTGATCTTCAGGTGAATACTATCAAATCCTGTGAAATTTCTCTCAAATCTCCGTTCCAAGCTTGTGGCTGCGTGGGTACTCTCTCTGTTTTATATTATTAGAATGTTCTGAATTTTTTAAAGTCAAACTTCTTTAATTTCAATAAAAATTTATAGAATAATGTAGCAACACTTTCAATACAATATCAAAACACATTTAGTGTTCAAAAAAACACACATTTAGTGCTAGATTAAATAAAACTAATTTAGTATTATAGATGTTCTATAATATTTTATAAATATGGTCAGATTTAAGAAAATTTGACTTACAAAAGTCAAAGCATTTTGTATTATGAAATGGAAAGTACTCCCTCTACAAATCTAGATATACATATGTCCAGATTTATTGTACTAGAATATGTCACATCCGGTACAGATTTATTGTACTAGAATATGTCATATCCGGTACATATGTCCAGATTTATGTCCAGATTTATTGTACTAGAATATGTCACATCCGGTCATAGATTCGTTTTTTTATAGGACGGAGGGAGTAGGAGAGATTGGCCGGCACCTAGTACCGGATGTGACATATATAGTACTATCTGGATATACATATGTCCAGATTCATTGTACTAGAATATATTACATCCGGTCCTAGACTCGTTTTTTATAGGACGGGGGAGTAGGAGAGATCGTCCTGCCGGCCGGGATTGTCTGCAGTACTACTCATGCACTAGATATTAACGTATGGGTCTGGACCCACATGTCAGCCATTGTTACTACATCGACAGTGCTGTAGAGGATTTGCATCCGGGCGAGGTGGTAGGCGCAATCACGCGCACCAGTGAGCAAGCACGGAAGCACACAGAAGCAAGTGACCAAGCAAGCTGGATGCGGCGATAACTACACATCACCAAGCAGGGGTACAAGACTCAAGACTACGGGATATGTACTGTACGGCAACGCACCACCACACTCAGACTCTCTTCTGTGAGACGCAGCATCCACAGCCACAGCCCACACAGATGATTATTACCATTCCTATAGTATGACACTATCATTTCCTAGCTTAAATACACGGACAAACCGCTTGGAACGACTATATCTGTATGATGATGATCTATGGTGACAGGTTGACAGTTTTTTTTTTTGGTTGCTTTGTTAGCCACTTTTGCGACTGATAGGCCTTCTACGCTGAACTTGACAGGGTTGGCAGAAAAGAGTCGGCTTTCCTGTGGCGAATTCAGCAGCCCTTGGTTACAGTTTTTTTGGATTCGGACTGCACAGCTCCTGAAAAATGGCATATATGGGAGCAGTAAATTTTGGGGCCAATTGAAGTAGAGGATCAGGAGGAGAAATTTAGCAGGGCTGGAGGAGTGGCACGCGGACGACTCACCGTCACCGCAGAGGCGCTCGACTAGGCTGACGATGTGCTTGGCATAGGTGTATTTCTTCAATAATGGCAAATGGATTTTCACACGACTGAGAAGGATCTCCTTATGTTGTTCATTGCATGTTGTAAGCATCTTCTGTACCACATAATTAGCATACTGGTCCTTCATTATCACCTGTATAGCAGTGCAGGTAATTCGTAAATCGCTTACTTGAGTAAAGATTTAGACTAATAACACAAATAACGAAACAAAAATAGCTGGAAACACCGTTATTTGTATTGCACCAAGTAGCCTTAGAAACAGTAGCCGCGCCAGAATTTTATGAGGATTACTTCTGTTATCCAAAAAAAATGACGGGCTTCTGTTATATGTTTCAATTTAAGTAAAACTCCTACTCAATTATTTGGATCATGAAGGTACCTACCATATCTTTTAATTGAGTTTAACATTAGTCAAATTTTGAACAAACAAGAGCTTTTAGCTATTTGGCTCAAAAGAGCATGGAATGGCAAAGGAAAAAAAACAAAAGGTGAGTTACAGTAATAATGTATACCAGCAAATAGTTATTGCCCTCAGTTTGCTTCAGAATCTCCTTGACCAAAAGTTCCCGCTCTGCACTGCCCCCATGTTCAAAACACCTCTCTATGACATTAGACGCAAATTTGTTTTGGCTCATGGGCACTACCTGCCCAGCCAATTTAGTGATGATTTGGCCCCTTTCATGTTCATTCCCTTTCTCCAAAACATGCTGCAAAATACACATGGTTATAATAAAGGCAAAGATGCTGCAGGTTGCCAAATTCAACATCAGCTACTTAAGTTACACTTGCTCTAACTCAAAATAGCTATCCGTATTACAGCAACAAGATGCTGATGGTTTATATTAATGAAAATTTAGTCAAATCAGCCACTAAGTTTTGGAGAATAAGAAGAAAATCACCTGCACAACATAGTTCCCATACTGATCTTGTGCGAGGATGCAAGCAGACTGCAAGATTTCATCAATTATGCAAAGGCATTCAGAATTATTGCTGCAACGCTCGAGGATTCTCTGCCAAGCAGAATGTGAATATGATCAACACCACAAGAAAATGACAAGAAATTAACAAAAATACAACATCGTTACCAATTCACCTGAATAACACGACATCCATATGTATGCATTGACAGTTTGGCAACCTGGCACTGAAAAGATGACACCAGAAAACCAATATGTTCCAATGGAATACATTCAATGCATTTTTGTATAACATGATTCCCATTTTGGTCATGAACACATCGCAGCACATGTCCATCGAGTTCACCAACAAGAACAATTTTCTGTTCAAGATCAATTACTTCAAGGGCCTGCAATTGTAGCAGTGAAGTAGGCAGTGAAATTGGCATTTGAGTTCAAATAGCGATAACGTCCAGAAAAGACAGTGTAGCAGTGTCAACAAACAATTCACAAGACTGTCTAAATAGCATAATTGCTAATAAAAACTTACGACGAATGATGAAAATGCGAACACACATAACCTGACATTGACTACTTGTCTTGTCTGGTGTGTGTTCCTCATCTTTTTAGTTGTGATTCAGTTTAATTACATTAATGTGCAACCACTTAGTCTGTGTGTGGTAGTAAGAGAGCATTTCTATGTATCCATTATATATGAGAATAACACAAAACTCATCTGAAAATGAGTTCTCCAGGAATATAGCAAGTAAAATGTGTGAATAACGGGATATAATGGGATTGCAACTTATAAGTCACATTATTTTTCATTTCCAACACATGCTAATCCATGAATAGCTGGCTACAGTGGGATTGCAACTTATTAAAAGAATGTATGCTGATTACCATGCATAATATGAGAAATGATGTCCCACAGGCTAACCACTTTAAAACTTACCAACTGATGTTCAGAATAAACAATTCTATGGATAGAATAACAGTCTGAAGAAATTTTACTCAGATAATACTTTGCCAACTGATATTGAGAATAAATAAGTCTATGGATAGCATAACAGTGTGAAGAAAATTTGCTCAGACCGCCTCAGACAATACATGCTATAGTGTGCCACTGAAAAGGTTTTCATGATATGGTATCCAAAACATTAAGCAGAAATAAAGTTATACTTCCCATAAAGAAGTCAAGACTACCTTCTGAATTACTCTGCATCCATACATCTGAAGGCTCAAAGAAAACACATGACCGGCAAGCTTATTAGCTATTTCTCTCTTTTGCTGTGGGCTCCCCTTTTCGAAGAACTGCATGTACTACATGTTATTTTCATTTCATACAAATATAAATTATTTTTCATAATTGCTGCTATGATACTGTAATATCTTAAAAGGGGGTACAATTGTTCAAGTTCAATAGGTGTACTATTCATAAAAAAATTACCATAAAATGAATCATATAAGAAAAGGAAATACTATACCTTCTGAATAACATAATTTCCGAATACATCAGTCATCAATTCCAAAGCATGAGGAAGGACCTCGGCAAAAAGTAAATCCTTTTCTTCAATGGTGCAATTCTCCAGTTTCTGCTGAATGAACCGGCTACCATTTTGGTCCGAGCTGAGGACAAGAACATAATAACAATTAATATCTCAAGCTTTTCATTGGGTTATGTGCATCTAGATAGTGAATGAAACAACCAAAATCAAAACTAACCTGTATTTCACTATCTGTCCTTTGATGTCAGCCAGCTCAACCCTATGAGTTCTGCTGGATATTAGTTCTTCAACAGAAAAGTGTGCCTTGGGATCATCAAACTTCTCCCTCCCTTTCTGACCTTGTATCTCGGAACTAACAGGCATATTTTTTCGAGGGGGTTGGAATCCCTTGACATCGTTCCTTTTGTCACGAGGAGATGTTCCAGAAGCAGGTTGCCCATGTAATGTTGGACCTGCTGGATAAGGCATCGGTACGCCAAAGTAAGGTGAGGCAGTCTCATAATTCCCAATGGGCTTTCCACCTTTGATGGGAGTAGAGGCATTAGCAGCTACAGTAGTAACCGGTATCTGAAACTTCTGCTCTGATGGGTCAATGATTGGTGAACCAAAAACGCCAGCAGGATTCCCTACAAAATTATTACTTGAAACCATTGTATCATATGGATTTCCAACACCATACGGATGGATAGGGGGCTGTTGAAAATAATGCGTAAGGCTCTGATCAGGAACAGGGGATGGCATAGGTACCCCAAGATGCTCATACATCTTATATGGGTGAAATAAGTCAGTTGCTGCAGCAAGATTTACTGCTGAAGGAAAACCAGGAAGTTGAGGAGTGAAGTTAGTTATAACAGGTGGGACAAATGGACCAGGCAAACCATAGCCGCCGATTCCGAATGGAGGAACCCAAACACTAGGCGACTGCAAATTAGGATAACATGGTATCCCAAAAGAATTTGGTGTACAAAAAGGTGTTGCCATCCCGATCTGGGACATCAGTTGAACATCACCAGGGAACTTCATATGACCAAAACCGGAATTGTCCACAAATGGAACTTGAGGAAGATTAATTCCTGGAGGAATCATTGGCACATGATCGCCATGGACTACATTTGATAGGCCATTCCACACTGGGGCATTTTTCTGCCACTGTTGCATGACATATGAACTACTTAGGATATCCGGACTAATATTCAAATTCTTCAGACTGAAGTCTGAACTATCAAGCATGGTACCAACTGGTTCACCAGGTTTAACGGCCATGCTTGGATTTCTTTGCTGACAAGCTTCAGTAATAGTACTGTAGTCAGAACAGGATGAAGTGGGAGGAGATGAAGCTGGCAGACTGTCGCTAGTAAGTTTTGTACTGACTGGAGTCCTAATAGGTCTAGGGGAACGCTGATGAGCATCTGGTGGAAATCCATTCAAGTCTGATGACTGGACAACATAAAGTGAGGAATTCTTCAATGAACTAATGCCAGAATAAATCGACCCTCCATCACCAGAGTTTGCATTTAAAAGATCGGAAGAATTATCATACAAACCATTGCTCCGATGAAAGTTTTCCTAAACAAAAAGAAATCATTATCAATAAGTATCTGCAGACTGCAGCAACAAACTCTGTAGCAAAACAGAACATGATTATAAGATATTAGGGAGTTCATCTGCATGCATGAGAGTTGGTAAATAACAATGTTTATGGAGGAGTACAATCAATACTTCTTTTCTTGTCGTACTTGTATTAAGGAATTGCAAGGTTTAGTGCGATTCCCATCACATTTCCTTGAAACAAAAACATGTTTTGATTTTATTTAGCAGATACTACATAATAAAGATCAATTAGTTTAAATCAGAATTTCCAGTTACTATTTCAAATAAGTGAGTTTTTGGAAAACGTCTTAGCCACTGAATATTGGAAATGTTTGTTTGTATATCACAGGGGGCATTAATCATATGTTGTACTGTATTATTTCACCTTACTAAGTCTTAGCTGACTGCCATTCTTGTGGTCTGTGAAGCCGACTGCTACTGTATAGCCGTGCATAAAGATTTCTTGACTTTAATATTTGAGGATACAAAGATGGAGTTATGTCACGGATGAAAACATTAGCCTTCTCCGGCTGCCATTTTTTTGGCTGCGGCTGCAGCTGCTACTAGTAGCCACAGCTGTGCACCACAGCCGCAGAAACCAGGTGCAGCTGCTGCAAAACCCACAACCGAACAGCGCCACGAAGTTTGTTTGAGTGCATGTGGAAAAAACAATCAGAGCTAGTTCTTGAATTAATACGGGAATTACCTTAATTGAATCTACAAGATTTGGACTGTGGCCCCCTAAGTTAGATGTGCTTTGGGCAGAATCACATTGAGCATCGTCTGCTGAACTTGAATCCAAACTTGGTGACTTTTCGTCCTCAGGTTCTTCCTTGTGTGTTGGCAGAGTAGGATGACCAAGAAGTAAGGACCTGCTGCTGCTGTCATCAAGGGAGAACGGCTTTCGTTCTTCAGACTTGCCAAACTGGTTCCTTGAAACGAGTGGTGGAGGAAACCTTGGGTTCAAATTCACCTTGGACATATAGTATTTGACGCATGCCGAATCATAATATATATTCTCCTTAGACTCTGAATTGTTAGCTTCAGTGCCCAAGTTTGGCAGTATGGCCCCAAGGTTGCCACTCGGTTGACCTGTGAGGTGACCAAGTGCAACTAAAGAACCTTCCATGGTAGGAGGAGCGCTTCCACTGCGTTCCAGGACAGAACCCCTCCACTTCCCAAAAATGCCGCCACTATTTGGCATGAAGGCCAACTCCGCTAACTCATCTTCTGAAAGGCTAGCTGGAATAGAATCATAGGAACCCGTGTCCTTGCTTGGTGGCCACTTCCCTGCTCCAGTTCCTCCACTCAACGGCCGAGCACTCTCTGTAGCCATTTTGCTGGACAACAAAAGGTGATCATTTTTAGTGATAATTTCTCAACTGAATTCTGTAAGTTCAGTTCAATTTTAGAACCTATACGAGTACAGACTAACTACACATGTAATGCTACAAAGCAAGCAAATATGCAAGCTCCATTACCCAAAAAGAAAAAAAAAACTCAAGAACTTTAACCATCGAAATCATCATAGCAAAATGCCAAATAAATGCGATTTTTTAGTTTTTACCCATGGTTTTTGTGATCCAGCACAGCAGATAAAATCCACCGCCTAGAGAAACCTGCCCCATGAGGCCATGGAGGACACCACGTGAAGCACACCAAAGGCGGGGACTTGCTGGTGAGATCACGCACACATTCGCCCATCGAAAACAGAAATTACATCTTCCAAAAAAGAAAAGTTTACTGCCCCAAATACTTATTACTGAACAGAAACAAGTCTCCAACTAGCCCAAAAATCACGAAATTGGTTAAAAAGAAAACACCTTGCATACAATCTCATGCCTAAACCAAGCTAGAGGGTGCAGACCGCAGAGCAACATCAAACGAAGCCCGAAAAAGGATAAATTTAAAACATACCGAAGTGAGGAACTCGCCACCTGATCAAGCATTGCACAGAATCACACACACACACACACACACACACATCCATAACCACAAACCCACCCGTGTGCTCGCAACACATACCACTCCACGAACGCTCAAACCGCAGCGAGTAAAAAAAATAAATTAAATTAAATTAAACTTAAACATCATCTTCTCCTGTACAGCAAAAGCAACCCCCTCAAGAAAAAAAAACTCAAAGCCTCAATAAACACACACACACACACACACACACATAAACAGAGCACAAACGGAGAAGCACTGTTCACACATAATTGAGTTAGGGGTAACCAAAGGCCCTCACCTTCGCTGACCCTTCCCGCGAGCAACGACAGGAACCCTAGGACAACCAACCTTTGCCGCCGGCGTCGGCGCCACCCCGCCTCCTCTCTCCTCTCCCCCCTTCGGCCGCGCGCGTGCCCCGCTCCAACCGCCTCACGCCACCAATGCTTCTCCTCTCTCTTTCTCGCTCGCTTTCCCTTTTATCTCCGAGTCGAGCTTTTCGCGGCCGCTTCGCTGCCTTTTGTGTTTTTTCTCCTCTCTCTGCTTTGAGTCCGAGGAGAGGTTGGGGGAGAAGGCTTCTTAAACCCTCGAACCGCTTCCTCCTCCCTCCTCGCCTCTCGCCCGCCTCCTCCGCCTTTCCGCCCCGGGAATGGGGCGCGGCAAAATCCCGGGTTTGCCCCCGCTTTGAGATTCGTGCGGGAGGGATGGGCGGGTGGGATGGGATGGGCCTGTGGGGTGCGAGGGGCCTTGTCGTTAATGTACGGTGTGATCCCTGGCCGTTCCTAGGCCGGCCTGGGCGACGGCAGGGGGAATTCTGCCTGGGTCCCAGGGGAGTTGCTACGCATACCCCAGGGTAGGGTAGTGACATTTCTTTCTTTGTTTTTTTTTAGACACACAAGTTTCTCTTGGGTTGTTTTTCTGATCTGAATGCACCACCACGTAGGTTTTAGCCATTTTGATCATCTCCGTGCTATAACCTTTTTTTTTGTCAAGAACATCTTCGTATTACTATGAAATTTTCATGTTATCATTATATATGATGGAATGATATAGAGTGGTATAGGATGCAGGATGCATGTGTTAATGGTTTGGTACGTGTACCTTTTTTTTTGTAGCGATCTCGGAGCTTTTTCTTTCCGTTAGGAAAGTTGGCGCACGCTTATTTTTTTTCTCTTTTTATTGCACTTATCTCTTGCTTGCGCGTATTTAGAACTTTCCACGTCAAGCACCTTTTGGAACTGACGATAACACTAACCGCTATTGCTAGCATCTGAGGCTGCTAATACTTTGTTCTTTTGTCGGTCTTGCGCCATCTGTTATGTTAGCGGGCGGCAAGGTTAGTTGCATGTTTTGTGGGTGGATTGCTACATTCAGTATATATATATATTACATGCGATGTGTTATTTAACAATTTGGAGAGCATGCTCGCAGTAAGCGAGGTTTTAGCCCAACCCAAACTCGCATTCGAACCCCATGGTAGGGTAGGCAGGGTAGTGCTATATTTCACTTTTTTTCTAAAAAAAATAATTTCTCTTCGGTTGTTTTCAATCTCAATGCACCAAGTATGTTTTAGCCATTTTTATCCTCTCCATGCTTTCAACTTTTTCAAGAGTATCTCCGTATTACCATAAAAACTCTCGTACTATTATATGCACAATGGAACGACACAAGGCTATTAGAGAATGTACGATGTATATATTGGTAATTTGATATGTATATTGATTTTTCATCGAGAAGAGCTATACCATATAGCATTTGGTTTTCTGTTAGGAAAGTTGGCGCTCTCACATTTCTCTCGTATTGATGTGTTTATCGCTTGCTTGCGTGTACTTAAATCTTTCCAAGTCAGGCACCTTTTGGAACTGACAATAACATTGCTGCTAGCGTCTGAGGCTGCTTGTGCTTTGTATTTTTGTCTATCTTGCGCCATCTGTTATGTTGGTGGGCGGCAAGGTTAGTTGCTTGTTTTGTAGGTGGGTGCTATGTATAATTACCTTTTGTCAGGCGTTCCTTACTTTTAGGTTTTACTCGTCATTCGTATGTGATTATCCGTCTTACCATAAAACTCCCATACTATTATTTGCACGATGGAACAACATAAATTTACTAGATAATGTACGATGTATATATCAGTAATTTGGTACACATATTGATTTTTCATCGAGAAGAGCTATACCCTAGAGCATTTGTTTTTATGTTAGGAAAGTTGGCACTCTCACATTACTCTCGTTTTGATGTTCTTATCTCTTGCTTGCGTGTACTTACATCTGTCCACGACAAGCGCCTCTTGGAACTGACGATAAGACTAACCGTTGCTGGTAGCAACCGAGGCTGCTGGTGATTTGCGTTTTGTCGGTCTCGCACCATTTGTTTTGTTGCGGGTGGCAACGCTAGCTGCCTATTTTGCAAGTGAACTGCTACATGCATAATTATCTTTTGTTTGATGTTTCTTACCTTTAAGCTTTCATTGTCATTTCTATGTCGGTACCTACATACTTTATCTAGTTCATAGTTGAAGTGATTATCACCGGACTTGCTTTACTTTGATATGGCACTAGAACAAAAATCTCATGTAGAGGCACTTTTATAGAGGCGTTTTGCTAATTGCCTCTAAAACCATGAGTTTTATAGTGTAGAGACACTTTTTAGAGGCACATGAAAAATGTCTAAAAATATTTCACTCTAGAGGCACTTTAGAGACATTTTTTCAGCACATTTTTTTAGAGACATTTTGTAGAGGCATTTTTTTAGTACTTTGAAATGTGTCTAATATGTAAAGGTATTTTCTTGAGACATTTTAAACTCTTTAGAGACACTTCTTAGAATGATAATGTACACTAAGGGACTAAATATAAGTAACACAATGCACAAACATATAAGTAATGATATGGGATTGAGTTGGTTAGCGTATTGAACATAAAATGATTTGCCAATGGTCTTGAGTTCAAGGATTGGTAATAGAAAAGGAAAATATTTTATTATATTTTTCACATTGGTTTGGTATGATTGTGGTATAATTTAATGCCTCCAAAAAATGTCTCTACCATCTTATAGGCATAAAAATGCACCGTTCACATAAAATGGACATAAAAATGCAATGTTCACATAATTGAGTTAAAATGCAGTGTTCACGTAATTGAGTTAGGGAACCAAGGCCTTACCCTCACCTTTGCTGACCCCACCCCTTTCACATTGGTTTGATATGGGTGCAATATAATTTAATGCCTACCTCTACCGTCTTATAGACATAAAAACTGTGTTGTTCACATAATTGAGTTAGAGGAAACAAGGCCTCACCTTCGCTGACCCTTGCGATGACAGGACGGCGCACTGCCACCGTAGGACGACCAACCACCAAGCCTTTGCCGCTAGCTCCACCCTTCTCTCTCTCCTCTCCCCCCTGCGATGACAGGACGGCGCACTGCCACCCTAGGATGACCAACCACCAAGCCTTCACCGCTAGTTCCATCCTTCTCTCTCTCCCTCCTCTCCCATGTGTTGCGTGCGTGCCCCACTCCAACCACCTCGCACCGCCAAGCTCTCCACCCCCTCTCTCTCTTTCTCCCCTTTCCCTTTTTATCTCTTAGTCACTAAGCTTTTCTTGGCTCCTTTGCTACCTTTGTTTTTCTCCTCCCTCTACTTTGTCCGTGGTGTGGAGATGAGTGGGGGAGAAGGCGTTGCATGCATCCCCCTTTTTAAACCCCCTAACCGCTTCCTCCCTCCTCTGCCTTTCCACCCCGAGAATGGTATGGCAAAATCCCGGGTTTGTTTCCCTCGTTTTGAGATATGTGCGGGGAGGGATGGGCGGGTGGAAGGATTGGGGAGGGGGAAATGACCGGAATGGGCTTGTGGTGCGTAGCCTCGTCGTTGGCCTAGGTGACGGCAACTTCTAGGGTCCTAGGAGAATTGCTATGCGTACCCTAGGGTAGGGTAGTTTTTTCCTTTTCTTACAAGTTTCTTTTGGGTTGTTTTTCCTACCTGAATGCACTACATAGGTTTTAGCCATTTTGATCATCTCCATTTTATAACTTTTTTCCAGAACATCTCCATATTACTATGAAATTTCCATGTTATTATATATATGATGGAATGATGTAGAACAATACAGGATGTAGGATGTACGTTGATAGTTTGGTATGTATACTGATATTTGTGTAGCAAAAGGTATATCTTGGAGCATTTTGTTTTCTGATAGGAAAGTTGGTGCGCGCACACATTACTCTTATTGTGTTGTGATTATCTCTTGCTTGCGTGTACTTAAAACTTTACTTTCTACGTCAATCGCCTTTTGGAATTGCTGACAATAACACTAACCGTTGTTGCTAGCATCTGAGGCTACTGGCGCTTTGCATTTTGTCGGTCTCGCACCATCTATTTTGTTGGTGGGTGGCTAGGTTAGTTGCCTGTATTGTAGGTGGGATGCTACACATATAATTACCTTTTTGTTTGGCGTTTATTATTTTTAGGCTTTACTCGTATGTCATTACCTACATAGTTTATCTAGCTCACACTCAAAGTGATTATGCCCAGACTTATTTTATGTTGATATTTAGGTTGCATTTGGGAAAGAAGAATAGGCTGAATACTGGCACGAAAAAGAGGAGAGTCATTAGAGCATGATTAATTATTAGAGCATGATTAATTATGTATTGATTATTCTAAATTAAAGGGTTTATCTTTTTTTAATATAACTGTTATATAATTTTTTTACACGCGACATATTGTTTATAGTTTGGGAAGCGTGCTCACGGTAAGTGCGTATTAGCCCAGCCCAAACTCACATTCTAACACACTCTTAGTTAATTGGGAACATATACTGTACACACGAGCTTTCCGTGCACACTAACTATCAAATATCATGACTTTTTTTTCAAAAAGATGGACATGTATTCTAATAGTATTAGGCATATATGCAAAGTCTCGTATTCAAATTCATTATATTTTAGTCGTAACAAAAAAAAGTGAAAAATATAATAGTTTTAAGATAAGATTTCACACATAGGTGTAATACTATTGAAAGTATGAGTCCAACCTTTTATATATTTTTTTACGACATTTACTAGTTGGTGCGTACGGAAAACTTGTGTACATAGGATACGTTTCTAAATTAATTATAATTGAATAAAGTAGACCGTATAAATAATTTCTAGCCACTTCCCACTAGCAAAAAGATCAAATGCCATTTACTCTTTAGCTAGAGGTTTCTATGGCTAAAGTGTTCATGCAAACACTTAACTCTATATAGTTCATTCCAAATCATAGTTGACTACATCTACATGTCTAGTATTGCATCTGTCAACAAAATGGGTAGCTAGGCAATGCATTTGTGTGTTGAATTAGCTGTCTCCCTATAGCAATTCAACCATTTAAATGCGTTAACTAACTCAGACAAATTATGTAGTTCCCTTGCAAAGGGGGTAAAAATTAAAAAACTCGCACATGTACTTGACCAGTCAACCTCAGTGTGTAGTAAGTTGCTACGCTAGACAGTACAAAAGACTCGGTATTTTTGGAAAGAAACACGAACCTAATGCCGGATTCTTGCACAGAAATTGCCTACATGGGCTCCATTCTATACTCCAATTATAAACTTCAACTTTCTCGTTAGCACATTTCCAAAAGTGTGTGTATATATATATATAAGTTGTTAAAAAAATAAATAAATCTCTTTTTTAAGTTTACAATAATTAATATTTAATTAATTATGTGTTAATGAGTTTTCTCGTTTCGCAAATATTCTTCTCTCGCATGAACAAAGCCTTGGTACGGTGAGAGGACTACAGTACTTTATATCGTCACAGATGTCCTCAACTGTTCATCATGCCCATGTCATCACCAACATAAGATACTTGCCACCGTACACGTATGTTCATGCACACGACTATCCGCTTGACTGCTTGTCTAACGATTGCCAAATACCGAGCTCGAAGAATTCGGCCTCAAAATCCTGTAAATTTCACTTTCTGTGTCATTGTAACTGAAGTCCTAGACAGCAACGGGTTGTTTGAATATCTGGTTTGACCAAAGCTCATTTTTTTTTAAAAAAAACAGATAGAAGTCTACCAACCTAGAATTTGTTTTGTTTGTTAGGATCTCGTGACCTAAGAAAGTGGGGATAATCTGGTGAAGAAAAAAAAACTAAAGAAAAAAAATACTAGTGTGCGTATTGCGCAACATGGGCCTCGTTTTTCTTTGAGAAGAATATGGGCCATATTTTGGGGAAAAAGAAAAAAGGAATAAGTTCACCGGAGGTCCCTCAACTTAACAGCGAGATTTTTTAAGGTCCCTTAACCACAAAACTAGAAATGTATACCCCTAAACTCACTCAAACCATTCACCGGAGGTCCCTTGGTAGTATTTTTGCCCGGTTTTGCTGACGTGCCATCCTAGTCAGCAAAAAAAAAATTAAAAAAACACATAGGGCCCACATGTCAGCTTCACATCTTTTTTCTCCTATTTTCTTCTCCTTCTCTCCTCTTCTCTTTTCTTTACTCTCTCTTCTCTTCTCCTTCAGGCTGCAGGCGGAGCAGCCGCGCGCCGTGGCCGCCGTCGTCGTCGGCTCTCCACCGTCGTCGTCGCCGTGGGTAAGGCTATGCGGCGCGGCCGTCTGGCGGCGGAGCGGAGGCAGCGGAGGCAGCGGGCGGAGCGGCGAGCACGGATGCGGGCGGCGCAGCGGAGGGCGAGCGCGGCAACGGAGCACCGGAAGGCGCGAGCACGGCGGTGGGCCGAGCAGTGGAGCGCGAGCAGGCCGCGGACAGAGTAGCGGAGCGCGAGCGCATCGGCGGAGCAGCGGCCAGCGAGTTTGGGAGAGAGGGGGAGGCGGCCGGCGACCAAGAAACAATCTCTTCCTCTGCCTCTTCCCCTTCTCCCGCTGGTGGTGCCTCTCCTAGCATCGTCGGCCACCCGCGGGGGCACGACGGTGGTAGCGGCCGATCACGGGGAGCTCCTCGTCCCATCCACTGTCTTCCGCTTCGCCTAGCTCGCCTTCCGCTGCTTTGCCCACCGCCGCGCTCGCCCCGCCGCCACTCCTCCACCGCACTCGCCTTCCGCTGCACCCCCCGCATCCGTGCTCCTCCGCTGCACGTAATAGCATATATACATGTGAGTGTGCTTAGCCATATACACATGCTTGGCTAATATATACGTCTGCATGTTATCGGGCGGCAAACCAACAAGAAGCTAGCTAGGCTATAGCTGGTCGTCTCCATGCATGCATATATATGCTCGTATGAAGACGCATGTACTACATGCGGCCGTCTGTACCCGGCGTATATGCGTATGAGCTACGACGTCAAGTGCTACCGCGACGTCAGCGAAGACGACGAGGGTCACCGCGCCCGCGCCGACCACCGTCCATGACGCCGATGGCACGCCGAGCGTGGACACGCTCCTACTGCAGCTGCGCGAGCTGGGCGTCCGGGAGGACCATGGGATCAGGCCGGCGACGCTGCCGCCGTCACCACTACCGCTGCCGCGGCACAGGAGGAGCGCGAGCGACTGGGGTGCATCGTCAGCCAGCACTTCGAGCCACCTATGCACGGCAACTGCGACGCCTGGCCGATGCCGCCGAACAGCCGCGCCGTGTAGCCTCGCCCACGGCGACGACGACGGTGGAGAGCCGACGACGACGGCGGCCACGGCGCGCGGCTGCTCCGCCCGTAGCCTCCGCTCCGCCGCCGCGCTTCGCTGCCTTCGCTCCGCCGCCGGGCTCGCCCGCCGTCCGCTCTGCTGCCGCGCTCGGCCATCGCGGCTGCGCCCGCCGCCAGCCTGAAGGAGAAGAGAGAGAGGAGAGAAGAGAAAAGAGAAGAGAAGGAGAAGAAAAGAGAAGAAAAAAATATGTGCAGCTGACATATGGGCCCTATGTACTTTTTTATTTTTTTTTGTTGACTAGGATGCCACGTCAGCAAAACCGGGCAAAAATACTGTCAAGGGACCTCCGGTGAATGGTTTGAGTAAGTTTAGGGGTAGACGTTTCTGGTTTTGTGGTTAAGGGACCTCAAAAAATCTCTCTGTTAAATTGAGGGACCTCCGGGGAACTTATTCCAAGAAAAAAAATCCAACTCGGCCCAATATCCAAACCTAATGGGCCTCCTCCTCCAGCGGAGCCCAAAAGGTGAGAAGAACCCGGCCCGACCCGACCCATTACCCAATAACCAGGCGGGTTGGCTAGGAATATCCTCGCGTCGCGTCCTCTTCCGCATCGGCCCAATCCACCCGCGGCGGCGATCTCTCTCTACCCCGATCTCCTCTCGCCGTCGGCGTCGCCCGGGTCGCCGCCGCCCTCCGCCGCGCAGTCCGCAGCTAGTAGGTGGGGGGGTTAGCCTTAGCGTGAGAGGCCTTTGCCGCCGGCTGCGATGGCGGAGGAGCTGGTGCTGGACACGGCGATCCGGGACTGGGTCCTCGTCCCGCTCTCCGTGGTGATGGTGCTCATCGGCGTGCTCCGCTACTTCGTCGCCAAGCTGATGCGCTCCCCGTCGGCGTCGCCCTCCCCCGACCCCAAGCTCGTCAAGGAGGGGTTCGTTGCTTTTCCAACTCTCGATCCTGCCGCGATCTGTTTTTGCTCGCCGATTTCGCTCGATCTGACGCCGCGAGACCTAGATCCGGAGGCCTCACCGTTGCTGGATTTTCCTAGAATTTTAGCCTCTACGAGCGTGTCGCGTGCTGTATTGCGTCTGTTTTTTTTCATGTTCAGATGTTGTTCATGTTTGGATGTTGATGCGAGGGTTTTTGCTTGTTCACAGGCAAGTGGTAATTAGGGCGAGGAACCTGAGGATCAATTCGCAGTACATCCCGGCCAAGGCCTTCAAATCACGCAAGGTTTATTACACTAACGAGGTAATTCAACTTGAAGCATCTGAGTGTACTGTCCCAATTAAGTAAGGATTTGTAAAGGCTAGCCTTTTTGTAGTTATTAGAGACTGTACATCATCAGTATATGTTGTAATCTGCATTGAAGAAATCTCAGGATGGACTTCGTGCCTGCTGAATGTTTTGATTTGATACTAACATGCATTACTCCACTAACGAATCGAGTATTATCTTTTGGGTGTTATTTTGACCTTTCTTGAGTACGCTGTAGGAAAACGGATTGCTTCATGTCCCGAAAGAGGAAGCACAGAAAGCTCAGGCTGCCATGTTTTCAGATCCAAACATGGCCATGGACATGATGAAGAAGAACCTCTCTATGATAGTTCCTCAGGTTCAGTAGCTTACATTTCAATTTTCTTCCATCTTAGCTACCATGGCTCTGTTTACTAAACATGTTGCTTCAATATTTTTCAGACACTTACATTTGCATGGGTGAACTTCTTCTTTTCGGGTTTTGTTGCAGGTATGCACTTTATAGTGTATGCTACTGTGGTACCTGTTCTTCTGATATGCCGATTCCATGTTTATATATTTATTTAATGCTGCTTCAAAATCATCAGTGTTAAGTATTAACTAGTATAAAAATACATCACCATTCAAGCCTTGGCAAACTGATATGATGTGTACTACGTTGTTCTCATGTGAGATCTGTCTTTTTTTATTTGAGGCACAAGTGCATTGAAATGGTTGTCATGTAATGCACTGGTGGATCCCCTGCCTGGTGGCCCCAGGCAGCCGCCCGGGTTCGTCATGATTGCGCAGTGAAATTTTAGTGTTAACTTAGAGATTTAAAATAATATTTTCATAGCAGACACTTAGTTGAGATGTACTTGCCCAGGCTCTAGAATTGCTATTGGGCATTGAAGCTTCAGTCATGCTACTTATGTTAAGAAAAGTATATCCAGGACTGCCTGGAAAAAAGTAGATATCATATTTCCACGTCGATGTTTAACCTGTTTACTCATCAAGGATTAATTCTCCATGGAAATTATGAAGTATATTTTTTTTCAGTTAATCAGATTGCCTTGCATGAAATAACCTTATGACAGTATGATCATTTTAGCCTGGATATATACTGAAGTTATCCCATCTCCTATAGCTGCATTTGGAAAATTTTAGTTTAAAATATTGAGGTACATCATCCTTATAACCATGATCTTCCCTGAGACGAGAAGTTTGACAACAACTAAAATTCTACAAGAGTGAAATGTGTTATCCATGATTTTGAATTTTCAGATATGATTGAATGGTTGATGGGTTTGGTATACTGTTTACTGATAATATAGCCATACGTGTCATCCACTTATTTTGTTTTTGTAATCATATGTACAATTCAATGGCATGTACTTGTGTCCCTGGACTCACATATTTCCTGCTCTCTTTTCAGCTAAGATTCCCTTTCCATTGACTCCGCGATTCAGGGGAATGCTGCAAAACGGGATAGACCTGAGTACTGTTGATGTGAGCTATGTTAGCAGCCGTTCATGGTGCGTATATTTATTTTTAATTTTTTTGTCAAAATGCCAGGTAAGGAATGATCTAGGTTATATATGAATCACAACTTCTGAAGTGCTCTAATGGTTTCTTGTTATTATCAGGTACTTTCTCAATTTGTTTGGTTTGAGGGGTCTCTTCAGTCTGATCCTCGGTGAAGAAAATGGTTAGATAACAAAGTCACTCCTATGTGGAACTTTGTCATATTTATGGATTCTCTTGATTGTGCTTTGTTGTCTTGGAGTTTTATGATTTTTTTTTCATGACCTGCAGCTAATGATGATGCACAAAAGATGATGCAGATGGGTGGGGGATTTGGCGGTAATCCCACAATGGTATGGTGCTCCCCATCTTTTAATGGATTCCTGATGCTTATCTTGAACTGATGCATATAAACATGCATTACATAGCACAGGTTCCTGAATACAAAAGAAAAAAAAACTCCAGTTAGCATTTTTATTTTCATAGACCCTGCATGTTGGACCTTCACATAAATTAGATTAAATTACTTTAAGCATAGGATGTATAGCTTGAATGAGTCTGTATGAAAAAAATACTTTGGGCATTTTGAATTATTGTAATGATGTATCCACTTGATTGGAGCGTTGGCCATTTTTAGTGCTTAAATGCTACTTGAGGGTTTCAGTTGTTCCATTATTTTGTTGCGCAATGCAAATTGTACCTTCTTGCTCCAAAACCAGACATAATAAATACTGCAGGGGAGTGGTGCAGCTCATATCTTGTCATATTATCCCTTTGATAGATATATTCAGCAATATGCATAGCTATTTTAATTCCTCATTGAATAGTTAGGTATTTTGTTGTCCAAAAATTCATCTGAAATCTGCTTGATGTTTTACAGTCCTTTGGTTGTCCTTTTCCACTATTGATTTCACTAACTTTCTGTATGCATGCATGTTATAATGGTTCTTTGAACGAACTAGATTAACACAGAATCATGTCACATTTTTGAACTGGCTGTTTCCAGGGTTTGGCCGCAGAGAAAGACAACCTGGATATAATCCAGCATGACTGGGCTTTACCAAAGATGGAGCATCATGCTGAGGAAGTGCTGAGGAAGCTTCTGAAGAAATGATAGGAAACTAGGCTGCTCCAATGCATTACTACATCTTGCAAAATTTTTGTTTTAACCTGTTTATTGACCAGACAGTTAAAACTTTGTATCTGTATAACTTATGGCCAAGAATTTCCTTCAGAAAGTTTATGTATCATTTTTCTGTTATACGGACCACAGCCAGGCTCAATGCAGAATGAACAAAAATCTTTTTTCTTGGCAAAGAGGTACTGACTCAGTAAATTTGATTGCAGGCTTAGCATTAGTAATTCCTATGAGCTCTCGTTAGTTGCACAATACAATATTATGTTGTGGCGATGTAGTTTTACACTGGAGAATGCCCATGCTTCCCGAGCTTATAAATGGTGCAAATTTTATAACAACTCTTCATATGAATTTTTCAAGTACTGTTTTAAATCCACTTTTCAACTTTATTTAATTCATTCATTTGTAGTCTCGAATAATTATCAGAAATCTAAATCATTACGCTATTCATCATAAAATAAAAGCTATTCAGCACAAATGAACGTGGTATAATGCCCATAGGATAGAAATGCACAATCTGAACAAACAAGTTTATCATTTAATGGCAAAATTAGTCAGATAACACCGAAAGTTTTCGTTTTGGTTTTATAGCACCAAAATGTTCTTGTTCACTTTAATGAACCGGAAGTAACTTTCAATGTTATTAAAGTGAATCGGAACCTTTCGGTGCTATAAGACCAAAACGAAAACTTTCAATGCTCTGTAACCCATTTAACCTAATTTAATTCGTCAATATATCAGAGATGTTCTGAACAAACAAGTTCATAATTTGTCAGTATATCAGAGATGTTCGTGCTTTCTTTATAACTTTATACAGTGACACAATGGTTTTCCGTTTATACATACATACATACATAATTACATCACTAAGTAGACTATAAACAATCCCAATTCAAGCCACACACACAACACAAATTCTTCATTCTTCACACGCACCGTGTGATCGGGCCACGAGGCTCACATGACGGGGTAGCTCGGCAGCAGCGCGATGCCGCACAGCCCGGACGCCAAGCCGGCGACGTCGCGCTGCATGAGGATGTAGCCGGCGTCGCCCCACTCCGCCCCCCACGAGTTCTTCACGATCCAGTACTTCTCGCCGCCTTTCGCCGCGCCGCCGCCGTCCGTCTTCGGCTCGGACTCGCCGTAGCCCACCACGGTGACGCCGTGGTTGACGTCGGCGGTGCACGGCCCCGTGTAGACCCCGCTGCCGTAGAGCTGGAACATGAAGCTGCCGCCGTCGACGGCGACGGACACCGGCTGCGCCGCGGCGGCCCTCGCCAGGTCGGGCTCGCTGCTGGGCGTCACGTTCCGGTAGCCCGCGATGGCGACCGCGCTCTGGTTCAGCTTCGCCGCCTGGCACGCGCCGTTCGCGGCGTGGTACGGGTAGCTCGCCTCCGTGGTCAGGCCGTGGTTGCCGACGACGAACTCGAACGCCCAGCTCATGTACCCGCCGCCGCACCCCACCGCCTCGTCGTCGCAGTCCACGAGCTCCTGCTCCGACAGCGACACCAGCTCGCCGTTCTTGATCTGGTTGATCCCCTCTATCGCCGCCACCGCGGAGAACGCCCAGCAAGAACCTGCATCCACGCAGATTTTCCATCGGTTAATCTCCAACATTTTTTACAGGGTTGAATCTTTCTTTACCATTGCTATTGCTCACACACCACAATCTCCTTGGTTCTTCACTTCCACCACTGCCCCTTTCTTCCTCCAATCTACGCTCTTCGGCAGAATATCATCACTGCTCTCTCCAGGCATTGCTATGTCAGCCTGTTAAAACACAAATTTGTTGTTCATAATTCACTCTTATTATGAAAAACAAAGTATAATTTGAGTGAGTGAATATCATACGGAGCAGGTATTTGAAATCTGAGGAATCGTGACATGAGGTCTGAACCCCAGCATCTTGGCTCTGAACTCCTCGTTCGTCAGGTCGGCGAACTTGTTGTCAGCCAGCTTGTAGCCATTGCTCATGGAGTTGAACGTCTCAACGAGCTCGACGTTCCTCCTGTACACCTCGAACCTCCTCTGCTTCTCACCGGCGTCGGTGTAGGCGCGGCCATGCCTGATCATCCACTGCTCGAACCTGTCCAGCATGAGATCGGCGCGGGCGAGAGCCGCGCCGATGGAGAAGATGAGCAGAGGAAGAAGGAGGAGCAAGGATGGTTTAGCCATTGTTGGAGCTTGGATTGGAGAGGGAGGGTCAGCAATGGTGAACACTGAGTGGTATGAGGCGCAGCAATGATTGCAAGAACATATGGTTTATATAATTTGTAGGAGGGAGTATCAGTGATAAATCCTATGGCCTGTTCATCATGCAGAGAGTGTGCTTGGAGATGATCTGTTGTGCAAGCATATAACATTGCATATGCATGTGAATTGTGCTGGAAAGAGCAATGGTTGCACAAGTTTTCCAAAGTCTCAGCAAATTGGTTAACCTCCAGCACACCGATTTATCATTTTACTAGAGGACTGAATTCTGTATAGAAACTAGCACACATTGTATTCAAGTAAAAGTTTTGTACCAATACCCCACATCTGACTTGATATAGGTAAGAGTTCATATAATAAGTTCCATCATAAGCCGAAAATGGAGAAGTCGGGTAATTCTGAATGTTTAGAATTTACAAGAGAATATATTTTTCGATCAGACAACAGTTTGGTGTTTCTGAAGTTGCTAAGACACTAAAAGATATACAAATCATCCATTGGAATGGAAGTACCATCCTTCGGTCCAGTTTTGCATTTCAGAAAGTATAGCTGCTACATCTAAAAGGCAATGTGCAGTGCACAACAAGAGCAGCAACTGCTCGTCAGTGGCCAAGCCATGCAGATGGTACTGGCTGAAACCTAGACTTGGCACCCGCTAGTGCATCATGGTAATCCCCTCGGCTGAAGCAGTCACGGAAGTCGGTGAACAGCTTGTCGAACACCCTCCACAAGACTTTATATGATCTGGAGTATGGGAATGGAAGGAAAAACTGCAAGCAGAAAGCGAAATATAACAGTTTTCAGCAAGTTGTTGCACTTTGCACAGTTGCATATCAAATATGACATTCATTTTATTTACTTTTATTCTAGTAACGAAATAACAGCAGAATGCACCATAGTAGCTATAGCTATTTTATGAAGATGCACCTAGCCAGGCCCTAAGAAGTATGAAATGCATCATTTCACGCAAGAGATATTTTTGATAACTTACGGAAAAGGGAGGGATGACACGTCCATTGTATTGACATGTCAAATGTGAGTACACAGGTCATAAATAAAATTGGGACGCTGAACTTACTTCTCCTTCTTGAGAAAGGTGTTTTAACAGCAAGAAAGTTTGCTGGTTTTCTTCCAAGTTGTCAATAACTGCAAGCCATATCTTTGAAGCAAGTTCATGTGCCTTTTCTCCTGTCCTACCACAAGCAATGAACTGATCTGTACATAGAAGGGTGAGGCAATGTTAAATTCAGTGTGAGCAACCAATAACGTCAGTATAAGCAATACTCAGTGATGAAGCTCTACTCTTGATGCTGAAAATGAGTCTCATTGTACCACAAAATTCAATCCATGGTTATCAGTTTTAGATCGGAAGCAGCTTTAAAGGCCTCTTTGAGACGCGAATCCACTTAGGAAAAATAGGAACTTCATTTGTTTGAGAATCTGCCCAGGTTTCATTTTATTGGAGAACAAAATTTTCTCAAAAAAGTAAGAACATACATAAATCTTGCAGTAACTCAGCATGCCATGCAATTGAATCACGAGTTCATACTATTGTTACCAATCCTACAAGATCAACCATTTCTTCCTGTAATGTCAGACACAAAACATGTGCTATCGAAATTTCCTGTACCTGACATGGTTTAATCGTATCCTTCCCATGTGTTTTATCTTTGAGAAAAGATTTTCATAATGATCACTCAACACAAAAAGCACGCCAACACATGAACTACAATAAACTCTATATTTGGACTAGTTGGAACTTGGAACAGAAAACCTCACCGATGATGGTGCCATGGAGTATGCTGGAAGGAGCAACAACTGGGCGCTCAAGCTGTTCTTTCAAATAGAGATAAGTGTGGCCAACAAGTTCATCAATATCCCCACCAGATGAGACAAGGTTCTGGCTGACGTATAATGCTTGGAATCTCCTATAAATGTCCGAGAGATACTTTTTTTTATTGAATGTTCAGATGGAAGATCGTATCCGAAGAGAGAAGCTATTCTTAAGATTTTGGGATAGTGAGCATGCATAGCGGAACACAGCTCTTTATGCCGCTTCAAACTCAGCTGCTTAAAGTAGATCTAGGCATCTAGTAAAGCATGTTACTAAAGGAACGTAAGGTAATAAACTTGATGCAAACCATTTGATATCTGAGATTTTTTCATCTTGTTTCAGATTTGTGTATTTGTTTTAAAGTGGATACTCAAATACAGCAGCAAGCAATCATGCGTCAGACAGACTCTGGCAAAACTTTAAAATTTCCAACACCATCAAATGATGGAGAAGATATGCAACATCAGATTACAAAACTAACCTTCTAGCAGAACCTCTGGGAATTGGCCCAGGCCAGCGTTTCCGTAAACCAGCTGATGGCCAGTTCCTTGCAATAGCAGTTTGCCACATACATTCTCCTTGAAATATGCTTGCCCAGTGCTTGCTGACACATGATATTTGAACCCATTCGCATGTTGGTAACCGGATAAATATTTCTACAAGGAGATGTTCAGGGAGCCTACCAAATGGTCCATTCCTGTCTGTCATAAGGCTAACAAACAAAGAATAAAGGTTAGAAATTAGAAATTACATTTTGTTGATCAACAATAAGAAATAGATTGACAAATATTCTTTTAGGAAACTAGATTGCCAAATAATATCAATGACATAAATAGATACAAAAATATGATATAGGCAGAGGTTAACAGATCCTTCACAGTGCCCAACAAGCTGACCACTTCTGTACTCTATGATTCAAGAAATGGTATTTATTGTCAAACATCTTTGCAAAAGCAAGCCTGAATGAAAGGGGTGTTTCATAATTATAGTTGCTAAAACTTTTACTCACATACAGAAAAGCTCTCTACATTCCATCTGAGAGAAAAGATGATCTTAGATTTTTTTTTTCCCTAAGAAATCCGACATCCTGAAACCATAGATATTTTTTAAGAAATCCTGAAATCTAGTGACCCAGAACAATTGTCCAATACAAGGTGTGTTAACTGTTTATGCATTACTATGAACACTGTTACACTGACCAACCACACGAACAAATCGGAGCAAGAACAATATATTTCCTTGTTAAACACAGCATAGAATAGGCCGAATCAGGCAGAAATTGGACTTTTGGGCACTTTAGTACTTACACAGAGCAACAATAGAAGACTCACATCATGGACATGTAAGAAAAATCATCTCTGTGACTCTGCCTTAAGATGAAACAACGCACTACGCACTATAAGATGAGAAACGGGGGATTTGCAATTATGACACTGCAAACATTAGCTTGATCAACAATTATCCCCATGACAAACAAACATAATGAAGTGTGGAACCGACTAGGCCGGCCAACCAGGCAACCAATCAACCAACCAACCAAGAACAGTAAACAGAATTCGACACCAAGCAACCACACCAAACGCAACCCGTTCCTACCAAGATTCTCTCCCAGAATCCTCTGCACGGGAACGCAGAGATCACACAGCGATTGAGAAGGGGAAGGGCACACCGCCACACCCAAACCGCACCCGTCTAGACGGATAAAGCAAAGAATCAAAGACGAACAACACGCCCACGCCAAAACCACAAGAAATCTGGGCACGGCGGCACGAAGCAGGTACCTGCGGCCGGCGGCGCGGCTCAGCTCCCTGGACTGTGGAGGACCAGGAACCCCCACCCCACCCCACCCCACCCACCCTCGTCGGGAGAGGAACGAGCGGAGGAGCAGAGGCCGCCGAGTCGGGTGGTGGCGGAGGAAGAAGAAGAAAAAAGAGGAGCAAAGACACTGACGGCCTGACGGCTCCTCCTCCTCTTTCGCTACCTCCCGTGCCTAAATGGGCCAAATCTCCCTTACCCGTGGGCCCGGCCCACCTAACATAGGCGCGTGGGGTGTATCTTTGATGGGCTTTAAATGGGCCCTCGGCCGAGGTCTCTCCCAGCGCCGGTGCGGTGCCGCGCGTCGCCCACCTAAGACAGGCGAGTGGGGTGTGGCTTTGATGGGCTCTAAATGGGCCGCGGCCGAGGTCTCTCCCAACGCCGGTGCCGCTCGCCGCTGGCCGGGTTGGGTGGGGCCCACCGGGCAGTGACCCCATGCCTCACGCCGGCCACCGCCACTTGCCGCGCCGCACTGTGCCAGTGCCAGTGCCAGCCATGCCCACGTGCTCCCCTCTCCCCTCGTGAGCTCCATATAAAACGAGTCGTTGGCTTGGCCACCCGAGAGAGAGAGAGGAAGCGACAGCGAGCGAGGCGAGGCGAGGCGAAGGCGAGCGCTCCCATCTCCTCTCCACTTTTCCGCGCCGCGTGCGCCGAGGCGGGGAGGGAGGCAGGTTCGCGCGGATCTCGCGATGCGGATCGCGAGGCTGCTGCTGCTGCTGGCGCTCGTCGCCGGGGCGGCGGTGGCGCAGGACGCGGGGCTCGGGGACGTGGCGGCGGAGGAGACGACCGCGGCGAGGGCCAAGGAGGAGGCGGCGCTCGCGGCCGAGCTGGGCCAGCTCAGGGCGAAGATCTCCGCCTTAGGTGCGTGCGTGTAATGTCTACGCTCGATTCGAATTCGTGACGCTTATGCGCCCCCCGCTTTTGCTGCTTCATTTGGGGTTCGATGGGTTTTAGTTGACCTGTTAGGGTTTTGGAGGCGTTTAGATGCGGGCGGCTAGGGGGAGCTTACGCGATTGAATGGGCAATGTGGGGAGCGATTCGGTGATTTGGTGATTTGGAATGGGGGCTTAGGTGTTTTCAGTGGTTTAGAGTGAGGGGGTTGATGCTGATTTGGAATTGTTGGAGGAATGCTAGGTTGTTCTGGGAGTATCTCCTTAAATGGTTTCAATTCTGAGCAAAAGCCTTGTGGTCGTTACCTGCATTTGCTGATTTGGCCTGTAACGGGTCATGAATTTCCCGTGAGATGTACCGGAATTTTCAGTCTAGAAAAGGATGCACGTGAAATGAGTGACCCTTGCTTGGAACTAGGTTATAATGCTCGAGGAAGCTTCTGCTATTAGGGAATCCAGTAAGTCTGAAGAAGTTAGCTACCAGCATGTCCCTAGCAGATGCATATTTAGTTACCGAGTCTCGATAAGTTGTGACTTGAGAGTGGATTGTATCAATTTCTGGTAATTCTATATGGACCTCCTTTCGGGCTTTCTTATAAAGCCTGAATCATATGATCTTTCGACTAGGTCATTTAAAGCATGCATGCCGCATGATTCTTCCAAAAGACATCAGTTTAGTGTAGAAGAGCTTGATTATTTTCATCCTGCAGAGTCGAGCATAACAAAACAGACCCAGGAGTTGAAGAGCAAGGATGACGGCATCCAGAAGCTGGAAAAGCTTATTGAGGAGAAGTCAAAGAAAATTGCTACCCTGCAGAGTGAGATAACTTCACTTGAGGTATCTATTGACAAAAGATAATACTTTTGAAGCATTTTTTTTACACTCTTGAAGTGATTATAGTCCTTTTCCATGTCATATACAGACAAAGAGATCTTTAGCTGCAGAGGAGCAGGCAGGCAAGGCCAATGCCCGGGCTATTGAGCTTGAGAAGCAGGTAGCGGAAGCATGATTTGTCCAGATTTCTAGTGTGACAATTAGGATACTGTGTTTTCTGATTCAACCTCTTCCAGATTGAAAAACTGAAGAAGGATATTGAAGCACAAAATAGCAAGAAATCAACTGTGGAGGCTAGGGCTGGTGATGCAGATAAGAAGGTGCAAGAGCTGAATGCTAAGCTGGAGAAAGTAAGTATGCAGCTGCCCTGATTTTTTATTCCTACTGCAATGGTTTTAAATTTCTTTATTTCCGCAAAGAAAATTTGCACACGTGCATTTGCTGAATATCTTGAATTGCAATGCATTCCTGTGAAAACTTAAGGTGATATTTCTCTAGCACGGTATTGCCAAAAGTTGATGGAGTACTTCATGAAGTAACTTCAAATACAGGCTAGATGAGCCTGTATGTTTTCATTTCTTTCGCTCTCCTGTTAAAAAGTTTTGGTGGAAACATGGGTATATCCCTTCATGATCTTTTAATTATCTGTTGAATAACGTTATTATATTTTAATTGTTCTTAATATATTTACAGCACCTCTCTTTTTTGGTTACAGTTCTCCTTATCTTTATATTATACTGTTCTTAATAGCTCCAAAAGACAAGTGATGAGCAAAAGCGTAGGATTCAGAAGACTGAACATGCTCTTAAAGTTGCAGAGGTTTGTATCGATGCGATTACTCTGATATAGTTTCTTGGTGCCATTCTCTTCAGTCTTTGCTTCTCATGTTCTTAGGAGGAGCTTATGAGGGTGCAGTTAGAAACAACAACACAATTAAATCAGCTGAAAGAGGTAAATATTCTTCTTCTGCATCTGCTATCTGTTTTGATTTAGATTTGTTCTATGCCAGTAAGATAACATTACTCAGACTTTAGGCTGCCCTAGCTATTTACTCCGCAAACTTGACATGCCATCCAAACCAATGTTAAACTGGACTTGAGGGGTACCGGTGACTTTTGAACAATATGTTCAAAATGCAGCCTAGTTGGTCATCTCAGCTGTTAAATTCTGACGGAATTGTGCGTCGCAATACTCTTCTAACCACTGAACCTTATTATGAATGTATCATGTATGATTTGGTACCTGAGAATTAGGAACTCCTGACTGTTAGATGATGATTGAGCATATAATGAGTGTAATATTTCTATTGTTTTCCTTAGATTAACAGGGTAGAGCCCCTATTACATCTGTAGAATAAATGAGACAAAAGTAATCTTCCCATTGTTACATGGAAGTCACCTACTACTTTCAGTCTGATCACTGCAATAAGTGTCGTACTGAACTACCAGTTAATACTTATGCAGGTTCATGGAGCTTGGTTGCCACCTTGGTTAGTGACACACACAGCTCGTGCTAAGGTATAACTGATGATAAAGTATAAATATCTCTTCTTAGTTTGCTTGTTCTCATCAGTCATTGACTTGTGCAGGAAATGATGTTAAGTCACTGGAATGAACATGGGAAACCTGCTGTTAACAGTTTATTGCAGAAGGTGCTACCGAGCATATTACTTTAGTTAAACATTGAAAATGTCAATTATGTCATTTATGCAGTCGTTTATATTCTGTGAACTAAATCACTGCAGGCATCAGAGAAATCAGTTCAGGCAAAGAAATGGGCCGAGCCACATGTAGAAGCTGCCAAGACGGTAATATTATTACCTGTTCCTGATACTGCAGTTCAAGAAATTGGTTGCAGAGTAAAACTGAGATATTTTAAAAATTGCATTAATCACACGTATTTATGGACAACTCTTGATGTTATCACGTGATATAGCATCACAAGTCTGTTAAGTTTTTGACTCTTTGATCATCTTTCACTAACAATGGCATTTACCTTTTGAAGAAATGGATACCTGTTATCAAGGAAAAATGGGTTACCATGAAGACAAACGCAGAGCCTTATGTGCAAAAGGTCTCAGCAAAATCTATAGAGCTCTATCAAGCATCTAAGGATGTTGTCTTACCTCATGTTGTGAAAGCACATAAGATTGCTGATCCCTACTTCCAGGTACATCTAAGGTCCTGCCGTTTCAAGAATTCACAGTTGTACATGCCAGGAGGCAGTTTGATTATGATAGGATAGGAGGCAGCTTCTTTTTTAGAGTATATATAATCATTGATTTATAATCAGATGATTGCGTCTTTTTTCAGGAAGCCAAGAAAGTATCCAAACCTTACATTGATCAAGTTGCTAAGGCCACTAAGCCACATGTCGAGAAAATTAGAATTTATTTGAAGCCTTATACAAAAAGAGCAGTCCATATATATGGAAATTTTCTTGAGAAGGCTACAGCTTATCATCAACAGGTGATTGTTATTTCTTTTTTCCCTTCCATTTTTTCCTATGCATTGCAGCTTATTGGTTTACATACTTTATGCTTCTGCCATACTTCCCCCATTGCTTTTGAATTCAGAAACTCTTTGCTTCTTAGGGTAGCTGTGATTGATCTTAATTAGTAGCATGTCAAGTAACTTCCATAGTTCCATATGTTTTTTTTTATCCTACTGGAGAATAAGACTGTGTGGAACACACCTTTTGTATTGTTGTAATAATAGTGATTCGGTGCATTTTCCCTAGTGACTGCTGAGGTCTTACCTCTTGAGAGTTCTTCATTTTAATGCTTATAAATGCTCCAAATTCTATTATTTCTGGTGGTTGATGCTTGGTGTTGGTCATGCTATGGATGTAACACAAGTACTTGGATAAAATCACCTCCATAGTGTGATGTTCCTTTGTGCAAGTTCTTCCAAAATTTCCTTAGCTAATTGATTGGACAAAACAGTGTCGTGATACTCAAACCTCATTCTGTCTGTTCTCTTTGCATACAGTATATATTGTGTACTGTTTGGTAGATGCATGGAATACCATTTCTTCTGTGTGGTACACTACATATCGGTTTCAAGATATATTCCGGAATCTCAGATATGTTCTTTTTCCAGGCTCAAGCAACTGTCTTGGACTACCTGCACCAACATGAATTGACAAAAGAATTTGCGACTGAAGAGTTGGCCTGGTACCTGGTAGGGCACTAATAGAACTGTGCTTCAAGTGGTTTTAAGTATGAAAGGCCATAATATAATGTCTTAACTACCTTTGCAGGCTTCTGCTTTGCTGATTATGCCCATTTATGTTTTTTACAATGTCCTGGTTGAAACATTCTGGTTGGTATTTCTGTTTTCTATTTGCTTATCAGCTAGTATATCTGTTTTTTATTTGTTATTTAAGCTTAATATTTTCATTTCCTTGTAGCTCCAAGAAGAAGAAGAAAGCCACACGGAATGTTAATGCTAACCATGGCCATCGGAAACACAAACGCCGGCATGCTGACAAATAGACCATATATGTTGGATTTTGGTCATGTCTGGTCTGCCACATTGTAGTTGGAGAAGGTACTGCACCCTTTGTTCCTATTTAAGTGGTAAAATCCGATTCATGTAATGTGCTCTAGCTCGCGATATACTGCTTGTGGCATGGAATCTTGGATCAATCGAACCATATGCTTGCCCGTTTTCTCTGAAGTTACAGAGTCTCTTCTCAATTCATACGGTATAAAAAGAAAGTATGCTTGAACGGATTTTTGTTACAAATGTCAGTATGACTTCGAACTAAAAGCTAGACCAGAGTGAGGTTTATAAAGGCCTAAACAGATTATTATAGGCTTCTGCTATTGGCTTGACATTGATTTGTACTGTGCATTTGTGCAGATCTCGGATGGCATACAGAGTAGGATATCCCGGGCCATCGCTAAGCATTGGTTTGTATTATTAACGAGTTACACTAGATCACACAAGAACTATGTATTTTTGCCCCCCATGTATGGACCTAGTTGTAATTGCGGTTCTGTAACTGTCGATCTGCCCTTCGCTGAGTAGGATTTAGTGGACATGGAGGCTGTATGTGCTTATTCATTTTATTGGTCATGTCTTCTAGTTTTTGTTCATGCGTTTTCCTTAGAGCTTGTGTGTGGTTGTGTAATCCCTGCCTCGTTTTCTGGGCTCTCACTTACTGAAACTGTAGTATTGTACTTCTTCATGTTTAACAGACAGAATTCAGCGTCGAGGCTGTGATTGATTTCTTTCTGATATGCATGGGATGCACGGATGTGGAGCTTGCTAGTTGCTACTACTTTTGTTGGTTCTTTATGCATGTAAGCTCTGGAGACATGATGATTAATCTGGCTGTCAGATCTAATCTACTTCTCACGTCGATCCTCTTTTTTTTTTTTTGCTGCCAAAGAGTAATAGTAGGAATAAGTTCACCGGCCGTCCCTCAACTTTACACCGAGATTTTCTGAGGTTCCTTGACCATAAAACCAGAAATGTGTACCCCTGAACTATGTAAAACCGTGCATAAAAGGTCCCAAGACAGTATAGAAGCCTGGTTTCGCTGACGTGACATTTTAGTCAGCAAAAATAATTAAAATTAATATGTGGGGCTCACATGTAAGTGAGAAAATGGTGTGGGTATCACATTTCTCTCTTTTTTTTTCTTTTGTCTTCTCTTCTCTCCAGGTTCTCTCGAGCAGGCGTGGCAACAGAAGGGGAGAGGTGTCCGGCGGCGGAGCGGGGACGGCAGCGGCGGGAGAGGGAGAGAGGCGGCCAATGTGACAGCAGCAGCGGGAGAGGATAGGTGGCGTCCGGCGCCACGGCAAGCTCAGCGGCAGAGATATTCGAACGCGCCGGGTGCTCGACCTCGGGCCCTGTCGCCGGCAAGTGACACGCTCTCCCCGTCGACCCTCTCTCCCTCCCTCGCCTACTCGTCCTACACCACCACCCTCTCCGCGCTCTCCCGCCACGGCCGCCCCCGGGAGGCCCTCTCCCTCTTCTCCACCTCCGCGGTCGTTCGCCCCGACGCCGAGCTCCTCTCCTGTGTCATTTCCTGCTGCCGCCGCGCATCCGCCTTCCTTCCCGCTCGCGCCGCGCACGCCTACGGGATAAAGACCGCGCCGCTGCTGGCCTTCTACGCCTCGGCCAGTCTGGCGCTCGTGGCGCTGTATGCGATGTGTCGGAAGGTGAGCTCGCCGCCGCCGAGCTCGCCGTCGCCGGCTGCCTCCTCTCCCTCCGCCGCTGCTGTATGCACTGACGATTTGTTCACCACTAGGAGCGTCGGTGTTTGCTCGCCGGAGAAGAAGCTGGTGGTGCCGGAGAGCGTGTGCGGGCGGCCGACCGGCCGCTGGGGCTGTAGTTCCACCACGCCTCCGGCGACCTGTACGTGGCTGACGCGTACCTGGGCCTCCTGAGGGCGCCGGTGCGAGGCGGGCTAGCCGAGGTGGTGACGACGGAGGCCGCCGGCGTGCCGTTCTAACTTCCACAACGGCCTCGACGTCGACCAAAGGACCGGCGACGTCTGCTTCACCGATAGCAACAGCACGTACCGAGGAGGTACCCCAAATTAAATCAATCGGTCATGTTCATACTGCACAGTGTGCATGCATCATGCAGTTAATCGTGTGCCACGCTCGCCCTCCACCGCTCCGCCGCCGCGCTCGCCCTCCGCTTCTTTGGCAGCAACCGCGCTCGCCCGCCGCCACGCTCGCGCTCCACTGCTCGGGCCGCCGCCGCGCTCGCCCTCAGCTGCGCCACCCGCATCTGCGTGCACCGCTCCGCCTGCGGCCGGCCTCTCTCACCGAAGAAGAGAAAGAGAGGAGAGAAAAGAGAAGAAAAAAAATGTGCAGCTGACATGTAGGCCCCACGTACTTTTAGAAAAATACTGACTAGGATGCCACGTCAGCGAAACCATCCATATATACTGTTATAGGACCTTGAGTGAACGATTTTAGTAAGTTTAGAGGTAAACATTTCTGGTTTTGTGGTTAAGAGAGCTCAAAAAACATCGCTGTTAAGTTGGGAGACCTTCGGTGAACTTATTCCGTAATAGTACCACTGAATGATCCAGTTGGCCCATCCCAGTTTGGCTCGCCAGAGTTTTGAGGCTTTGAGCCCACCCGAATATGGATCCACTACCAGCGGTGGAGATCCGAAATTGGGCCAACATATTTCGGCCCAAGTAGGATGCGTCACACTAAACGGCCCCTAACAAGTCGTTCGCCTGGTTTGGTGAACCGCCCCATCCGTCTCTCTCTCCAAGCACGTCGCCGCCGCTCCCCGCCGTCGTGACCCCCTTCAACGCCGGCGCCCCCCGCCGCCGGCAAGGTCTTCCGTACGCCGGGGCCCGGCGAGAAATTTAAGTCAGTCAGGAACTGCAGGCACACCGGGCGAACAGAACTCCACCGCTCAGTCTGGAATCGTTTGCTTCCTTGTTAATAAGTTTCAACTGCTGTGCTACCTTGCTAGTTCTTTGTTGCCGCCATTGCCACTCGAGATCTCAGATTTGTTTCTGCACTGAAGTTTGTACAGCTTTGTTTTACTCCAGGTTTTTTTTTTGTTTCTGTTCTTCTTAATTTTCTCTTCCTCCTTGCTACATGAAGACGCAATTCATGAATGAATCCGTGTCAGCTCTCTGATAGTTTTATGTCATGTCATGGCATGCCCTGATTTAGTGCTGTATACTGCTACTTCTTCTTCTGAGACTAGTTCCTCATGCACGTACGTACATACGTGAGCTTTTCAGACGTTTGATGATTGAAATTGGTTGCGCTAACTTATTATGCCCATTCTGTACAAATCTATCTTGCACGTCCATCCTGGCATCATATTGATTAATTTACTGCCAAAGAGTACGTAAACTCTCGAGTAACAATAATGCAATCAGCTAGCGTGCACATACTGGTCGAATAATCCTCTTCCATCCTTGCATCATCTTGATTAATCCCGGAACGTAGGAATTTTATAGGATTTTCACAGAAAACAGGTCGATTTCTCCAAAATTCCCGTGAAATTCCTCCAAATCGAACTAGCCTTAAACTTTGGTTGTCTATGTGCCTATACCCCTCACAATCTCACAGCGGAGCACTATCCATGATCTGATCACTAATATATAAGGTGTATGTACAAGCAATCAGGTCAAACAAACAGTCCTCTAGTTTCTACAATCTGACAAGTTACAACCAAAACAAAATCTAGAGGTACAAGAGAACTGAGAAACTAAAAAGCAAGGGTACAACATTAGCTAAGTAATCATACAATATCCATAGACTAAATTAAGGTAGCTCAAATAATTATGTCTTCCTACATAATAGACCAACAATTGCTTGGCAGTACCCCAAGCATTTCCTTCAGGACTACATTTGGTAACTACCAGGCCAGTACCTCTCCACCAGCTGCTCTACATCCAAATTCTGGTATCTGATGCCAGTGCCTCCAACAACAACATCCGTGGTAAAACCTCCATCTGTTCCCTGTGGGATGACACCATTGGCTAGTCCTGGAATCATTTGCTCTGTTACCATAACCTGGTTTGTAGTACTTCTTGGTTGGTTCATCGGCATCGACATCGCTTGGAGGATGGATTGTGGTGGCGGTGGTGGTGGTGGAGGCATGGCTGGCGAGGATCCAAGGTTGAGGTTAAGGCCTGATAGTGTAAAAGGCGCAGCCGGGTTGATGTAACCGGGGTGTGGTTGGATGTGTGGGTGCAACCCCGGCGTACCTCTAGCAAACCGGGAGAGTTCCGCCATGTCAACGGGGTTCATGTAAGGGTGGTGTCCACGACCAAATGGGTCTTGTTGCAATAGAGCTGGGAGGAGAGGTGGGACCATGTCTAGTGTGTATGGGTGGTGGGATCGGGAATGAGCATTGTTGGAGGGGTATTTCTTGACGCCGGCAGTCTTGGCAAATATGCGACAGACGACCCACTCATCCTGTCATATAATGAGTATAAACAAAATGATGCATCACAAAAACATTTCAATTAATACAAGTAAATTTAGTGAAGCATGTGTATAGTAGTGAGTTTGAAAATACTATCAATTGAATTGTTTACCTTGTTTGATTTGGGGATTGATTTGGAGTGGAGTCGGTACTCATGCATGACCCAATTGGTTTTCTCACCTCTTGGAGCCCTTCCTTTGTAGAACACTAGGGTTTTCTTCATTCCAACTAACTCCGGTGTTGCTGGTGGTTGTCCAGTGAAGATTTCCTTATCCTTTCCCGTTGTTTTCCAATAACCAGCATTAGTTGCTCGGTTTGTGCGCACGCCAGTTGGGTACTTTCGATCCCTTAGGCTAAAGAAGTACCATTCCTTCTCTCCCATTTTTGCCTTCTCTGGAGCACATTTATTAGAGAAAATTAATACATAGAACATATAGATTGTGAATGTGTAAGTGTGAAAAAATGTGACCACATATTTGAACATTCAGAACCTCATAAACATCTCCTACATATATATATGAGAGTAAGGACGATGCATATGCACATACAGTGCTGAAGCTAGAGCTTTGGTTTGTAATTTCTGTTGATATTTTACTTTTTTTTATAAAGAACATAGAATTAAGATAGCTTCTAATATAAGACCCCTAGAAATAACAATAAGAAGTTTATGTGTTCCAAATTAACCACCAACTCTTGCAGGAAAGTTTTTTTTTAAAAAAGAAGAGAACAAAGACGATGCAAATATAGATTATAGATATACGTACTCACACTAATAGAAGGGAAGGGAGAGAAGGGGGATTGAATATGTTATATATGCATGTGTACCACCAAGATATTATATCACCAATGATATCATATTCACATGTTTTAAGCAAGCAAGACTCAGTAAGGAAAAAAAAAAGGAATACCATAGAAAACTTGAAATCCATCCCATAGTTTTCTTTTAGGATCACACATGTAGTAGTTTTAAGAGCTTAGACTTTTGGATTAGCTATTGAAAAACTTGCACCATATATGCATGTTTGAAATCTAGACGCGACTAATTACCTCTGGCAGGGCAAGGATAGGTAAGAAATATATGCTCAAAATCATGAAAAAAGGACTAGGCATGCATATACATGCATAGCCAACAACAAACATGCACTTCTGAATATATGTAGTACAAACTATTCATATATTGCAGGAAAAAAATGAATTATTCAATATGATCATATGAACACAAAAGCTAATCCACAGCGAAAGCAAGCTAAGTGAGTAAGATCGAGGAGAGAGAGCCAGAGAAGGGGAGATATTAAGTAGGAGCATATAAAATTTCACAAGATCATGCATGCAAACACATGTTTGTTTAATTAATTAATTAATTACCTGGGAGATCCCATGGCTCGCACTTGTTGAGATCGACCTCGGCGATGGCCCTCGCCGTGAAGCCGCCGTCGGCGATCTTCTGCCGCAGGTAGTAGGTGATGAGCTCCTCGTCCGTCGGGTGGAACCTGAACCCCGGCGGCAAGCTCTCCTCTTTCTTCTTCGCCGACCCTCCTCCTCCCGATCCTTCCATTCCCATAGCCATCGTCGAACACACAGCAAAAACCCTAACCCTACGAACACCGCGCAAAGCTATAGCTAGCAGCGGCTGAACCAAATTCAACACCAAGGAAGAAGAAGAAGCAGCAGCAGCAGCTAGGTATCTAGCTAGGACAAGATCGAATCTATATATGGAATGGAGTAGCTAACGAATTCAAGAACGAATTGGCCGCAGCATGCATGACCACCCAAAAAAAGAAGATAAAAAGTTTATCAGAGACGAGACAGATTATGCGACGAAGAAATTAAAGAAGAACACGCAAACGGCAGCTAGCTACCTAGCAAGCTGGATATTGTCTCTCACTCTCTCCTGATGAGCTAGCTAGCTATCTCAACTTTTGGGCTTTAATTTTGATCGGATTAATTGTTTTTTTTTTCCATGGAAGTGAGGGCGAAGGAGAAGGATGATGATATAAGAGGGAGACAAAGGAGGGGAGGCTCGGAAATGTGTTGGTGACGCTCGTACCAACCGGGCGTCGTCAGCTACAAGCGATCGGCCTTTTGTCAGCTTGTAATTTCCACGTACGCGTGCGCTCGCTCGCCTCGCCTCGCCGGCCGTTTGCTAGCCTAGCTAGCTAGCCCGGCGGCGTGGTCGTCGTCGTCGTCGCCGCATGCAACAGTAGTTGACGGTGTGGTCTCTTCAGCTATGTGGACAAAATTAAGCTATCGCCTATCACGGCAACGCGACCGAGTTGCTATTCGACTAGGAGAATAGGAGAATAGAAATATAATGAAGAAATGATCAATGTGTGAATGATGACAGTACTCTAAATGTCCAGGAAAGTAGGTTTTACTGTGCTTCTTCAGCTCTTCTTTCAACTTACTCCTTTTACGCTCTTATAATATAAGTAATCTATGAGTATCGTGTGTGCTATTTCAACTTACTCCTTTTACGCTCTTATAATATAAGTAATCTATGAGTATCGTGTGTGACACATTCTATTATAATGAATTTGGACACTTTTCATATTCAGGTTTGTAGCACACATATACATATGATACTTATAGATTACTATATTATAAAATCATAAAAGGAGTAAGTTTCTATATTTGAGACGAAAGGTAGTAATTGTTATATATCATATGGGGCTTAGTTGTTATCTTCGGTGTTGAACTAGTGTTTTTGCATAATTTCATTGTATTTGTATGTAGTACAGGCACGTACGGCAGCAACCTGCCTGCGTTAAGTTCTCTCTGAAGATTTCTGAAGTCAAACGATAGAAACCATCAAACGGATCGACTATATTACCATTAAACCGCGTTAATTACCACTCAAGAGGAGACAGATAATTAATCCGCTGCTTCTGATTCCGTGGGCGATCGCTGGTCGCACGCAGCAAAACTATCTATCGATCGATCGAGCTAATTTACATAGTATATGACACACAATTAATCAGCTAATGTGGAGTTCACACCGACGAGTAGTCATCGTACGTAGCGACGAACAGCATGAACACAGTAGACAGTAGTAGCGTGCGTGACTCAGCAAAACAGGACACGTGCGGGTGGGGCCCGGGGGGCCGTGTGGGTCCCACGTCAGATGGGCCCACCGCGCCCCTTTGACCCGGGGGCTAGGCAAGAAGGCAGGCAGTCGGTCAGGCAGGCCGGGGCGCCGGGGCTGGGTCTCCTCTAATCCCAACCAACTCGTAGAATAATTTTGGGGGGCAAACAGTGTTTATGCCAGTGTGTAATCTAGCTGTTCAGAGCCATGGATCATACAGAGATGATGCATCAAATGATCCTTAATTTGTGTCTGGTTTTGTAACTTCTGTTGTTATTCTTGTTGTCTTTTTAATTTAATTAATGCTTGTATTGATATATGCAGAACCAATTAACTGTATTTTCGCGTGCTTCCTCGTCTAGAGCTAAGGTTTGATCGGAATATCCACAATTTTAGCTATATATTTTGATTTTTGGGCGTGATAAACGAACAATGATCATACACTCCTGGAGGCCAGATTGTGAGAAATTGGAGTGGTTTGATTTTTGATGTAATTAACAAGATGGCCGAATGGTTTGTTTCCCTTTGATTACCTGATGTAATACCCCGGCCGGTGACCTTTTCAAAAACTTAATGTAATACATGTATCACATCAGTTTGCCAATTCAAAGATCCCATTTTTATCAATACAGGGAATCAGCAGTGCTTCTTAATTAGTTTGTGTGATTCGCAAGCATGATCTGAACATATATATAACCATATAAATTTCCCCTGAAGACTGTTACAGGTTGCTTAGAGAAAGGATTAGCTAGCAAATTTATTTTGAAAAGTGAGATATTTTAAATCAACAGATTTTTGTAATCTCATCCTTCAATTCCAAAACGAAAGGTGCACCAGTGCGTGCTCACTGGTGCAAACAGTGACAGGCAAGTAGGCAATTGTTGGCAGCAGAAAACAATGGTGTGTACTGTCCATTTTGCAGGAACTTTGCCTTGTCCTGTAATCCATATTGAGCCAGGTCTTGTGGATATCACGACAATGACAGTAGGATCATGCAATCTTGACTAAAAGGACTACAGCAATTTAATCACTTGTGGCCGAGGCAGAGGTTCAGATAAATAATCTGATTCTTGATCATCACTCACCAGGTCACAGTACCCAAATTATTCCCTAAAAACAGTTTGTTCTTTAATATTATTTCCTAAATCTAGGGTTCTTGTTCATGTTGACCGTTCAAATTGCCCTCTTGGGCTGGCTCCTGCTACTGACCAGTTTTGTCATGTTTCATCCTTTCATTTTCTATGTACTCCACTTTATTTGGGAGACACTGATACATATGTGAATATCTGATGACTGTTTCAGTGACAGAGTATGTTTACTGAATGGTAAAGATTTTGATTGTGTCTTATGTTTCTTGAGCTTGTTCTGACAAGATTATTTTGTAGAATTTATAGGTCATCATTTTTTTTCACAAACAGACTATAGATTATCACGGGCCGGCACACTATCCAATCTCTTAAATAGTGTGAATTTTATAAAAACTTTCTATATATAAATTGCTTCAAATACTTTTTAAAGATAACTTTAAACTTTGCACTAGTTAATTTTATTCATTCGTACCCTCAAAATTCATCACACAATTAGAAAATCTGTCATTTATTCATCTATTCAGAACAATCAAACTGGGCCACTGAGAAAGAGAGATGATAGCTGAAATAGTGGGATGAAGAAGTCAAGAACTGCTCAGGTGATTTGAGATTTTTGAAAAATGTATTTCTTCAGGGTAAGGTTTACACGGCTGATTTGTGAAAGCAAGTTCAGGAATTGACAGTTCGCTCGAGAGAGGCTTAATTAGCTGCAGATGCAGTGACTCTGATAGAGATCATATCGTGGTTGTTGTTGGAAGCCTGACTGGCAGCAATGTGTTTTCTTCAGAGCTTATGTTTATTTTTGCTTAATCTCACAAGTTTATGTCAGGTTTCTTGTGGGTTAATCTTCTTTTTGCCTCTCCTAATTAAGGATGTGTCATGCATGTGCTGTAACCTCACTGTCAATCGTACAAACACTTGACAACTTGCTTGCGGTTTGCATTAATCTGCTCCTAATGATAGAAATGTTTGGAAGTAGAATATACATGGGAGATAGCTTGCATGCACCATATGACAAAAATGATAACTGTTTCAGAGAGAATGGACTACAGATGTATGCAAGAACTAGTGTAGGTCAAGTGTCACAACAAACTACTTGATGAGTTATGCTGTTGTACTAGTGACCATTTTGGAAGATATCACTGATTCACTGTGCTCTTGTCAGATTTCATTCTGTCCGTCAGTTTTTTTTATGGTTAATTCAAAGGTTAATGTTAAAGCGTCATAAATACTAGCAGAACATTTCATTTCATCTGATTTCTAAACTGCAGTGGTGTGCTTATTTCCCTTCCATTGCGTCATGAAAGCTCTATGCTAACTTTGCATGGAGTCAAGGATCTTGCGTTGAACAATCATGCAAGGTGTGTCCATGTTGCATTGAGAAGGATTTTTTTTTTCACGAAAGACCAGACCAAAGGTTGGCTGGATGAAAATGATACTCCCTCCATTCTAAATTACTTGTTTTACTTCTCTCCTAAATTAAATATATCTAATCTTTAATCATCAATTTACTTATGACAAAGCTAAAACGACGAGTAATTTATTTGTACATTTATTTTAGTTTACCCGAATCCGAGCAATCTTTATCCGTTAACAAAAAATTAGATGCATTTTTCTTAAAATTTCACATTTATTTGGAAAAACTTTCCTTTTTCCAAAAAAGTTCAAATTTAGATGCATTTTTTCTGTCCATGATCAAAATTGAATCAGTTAGACGAGCGCCCCGTTGTTTGGCTTACTGGGGGAATAAACCAAATGGCATATTTGCAAAGGAAAAATAATTTGTGAATAAAACTTTTATATACGTGTTCTTAACGATCTAAAAGCAAAGATTGGAAAATAAAATATGATAAAAAACCCCCTAAAATCAACTTCAAATCTAAGATTAAAAATTCAAATTTTGGCTAATAAATAAAAGCATAAGCCAAGAAAAAAAATATGACACTACAGATCGTTTGCGGACCGTCGGCTGGACCAACCTACGACGCAGAGCAAATCACTGGTAATAGCAAACAGTACCCCTGACTCATTTAATTATGCGCAATTTCCTTTTTCTTTAAAAAAACTCAGCGTAAAGAAAAAAAAGAAAAGAAGAAAAAACTCCCGTCTCGTCTCCGCTCCAGCGAGTTCGCCCACCGCCTGCGCCGATTTCCATCTCCCGAGCGAGCAGAGCAGGAGCAGGAACAGGGGCGCCGTCGTCCTGCTGCTTCAGCCACATCCCGGTGAGCATCCGCATCTCTCTCTCTTGTATCGGATATGCTTGCGTTAAACCCTAGCTTCTCTACTACTACAAGTAACAGTTTGTTTGTTCCCCAAAAGAATTTGGGGGTTTTCCAACTGAACCACCATGGCCCAAGTTAGATCCGTCCCTGCTTACGATGGACTACATTTCAGGTTGTTGTGTCTCGGTATCAGTAGTGATGGGGAAGAATGTGAAGGTGAAGGCCAAGAACCTTGGGATTCAGCTTTCCGAATGGGCGGTTTAACGGCTCTCAAATCACATAATTATTTTTAGTTCAGAAACAGAAATGTTTGAAGTACAGGTATTAGCCTAGTTGAGCAATTATTTTGAACAGCATCCTATGATATTGATGCTGTTGCTAACAAAATTGTCGTTAGCGAAAGTTCATATCTGGCAAACCAACCATTTGACATTAGTTAGTTTGGCTTCAGTGAATCATTCATAACTTGTGAAGCACTTCATTTGCTGGAGGAAAGTACACTGGAGCTTTCTACCACCCTCTGTTTTTCTCCACAGCCAAAAAAATTACAATTCTTTCAATGCATGGATATGTTTCTTTGAAAACGCACACCTAAAAGGCGGTCAGGATGTTACATTTCCAGCTGACCTCTTTGGATGATAGGAATGCTTGCAAAGTTGATTCAAACTGACATAGACGATAACATGACCAGGAATGGATTTTATGAGCATTTCACTTAAATGTTTTGAAAATGTGTCTGATGGCATTAATCTGCAGATTATTTCCTTTCATTCAACATCATGAACTGTTTTTCCCAGCCATCTGAAATTTTAGAACACAGGAAGCTACTATAATTTTGTGTTTTCCCTGAACGTGAGAAGTTAATGGTGGTTGAGTACAAGAAATAAGTTTTAACTAACACAGTAAAGATGTAGTGTTATAAAACTGGAAAAACTATTTGTTACTACAGTTTTGAAAGGTAGCTTCTACCTCCCTCATCTAATTTATGTTTTATTAATCTGAAAAGATTAACAGGCTGCAAACTTCAAAGATCATGTTCACATTGCTGTATCCATCGTAATCAGTAGTGTCTCTGTAGAAGCGTAGAGTTACAGATGATCGCAGACGTTGAACTATATTATAGATGGAAGGTTAACGTATAATCCTTTTACTTAATCCAACATGATGCTGCCATGAAGATGGAAAATTTTATTTGTAGATGACAAGCAGGAAGATATCATGATAGGTAACTGATCGTAATATTTTTTCTTTTGGTGACAGGTGGAGTTGTAGAGTGTATTTTCCGTGTATATTAAAGAAACATATCACTGTAACAAAGTGCTAGCTTGCTTGTCTCCGATGCTTCTAGGCCTCTAGCAACAGATGGCATTTTACAAAGATATGCCTAGATCTCATTACTAAGCACATACTCCCTCCGTCCCAAAATATAGTTGCCTTTGTAGTTCAAACAAAGGTACAAAGGTAGCTATATTTCGGGACAGAAGGAGTAGTACAGTAAGGACAAGGAAACCGGTTTCCTTTCCTACCAATACCCAATTTTGGCATTCTGAACTATTTTCAGCTAATCAAATGGTTCTTTCTTCTGTTCAAACAAGAAGAAACAGGTACTCCTGCTACTGACTGGGATAAAATTTGAAGCCTTAATGGTAATCGCTATGAAGTTCCAAGTTATTAATTCTAATCTCTGGGAAAGTGTTCAAGTAAAGAGCCTACTTTTTACTGCTGCAGATTATCATGATGCCACAGCATTGATATCATGATTGTTACCTACATCTTTCTACTGTTATGTATAGAGGTTGTAAATTCTCTGTATGTAATTTGCTAAATCAACACTGTACTTATGAGTTAGTCAGAAGGAAAAAAAATGGATTTAATACACCAACAAAAAGTAGCCTGCAAATGAATACTAATTTGAGGTGCCATGTACTCATGTTAGTGGTCTAATGATTGAGTTGCAACTAAATCTCTATTCTGTCTTCAGCTTCATGATCACTTCTTGCTAGCTAGCTGTGTACTGCACTTCTGTGCTGGGTAATCTGGAGACAGCATTTTGGTTTGTCTAGAGGGTGAGGTGCAGATTTACAGCAAAGACTCACTTCCTAATAAGGTAATATGTACATGTTTACTTCTGTTGGTGGAACCAGTTTGTTATGCACAACTGATTTATGCTTTGCCAATGAAGTAGCAACCTGTATTCTTTCCCTAACAATGCAGTGCAAGAAAACACCTGTGTTAATGTAGGTTGTTGAATTGACGTTATAACTAAAGCTGGATATGGAGTTATGATTGTTGCTGCAGCCCGGAGTTTGTTCTTCTATGTTTGATGTTCTAGTATACTAGTTGGTCAAGTAATTTATTTTTCTACTTTTGCTCCAAGATAGGTAATCAAATTTCTTTGATTAAGTGCTAGGTCCCTGGTTCCAGACAAGAAAATGCATATAATGTGATAATTCACCTGTTCTGGGATTACTACCAGATTTAAACTTTTTGACAAGTGAACTAGAATGTCGCCTTGATTAGATGTGATCTGATTCTGCAGTGGTTTAAAATAGATAGAGTATTCCATTTTGTTCTGATGTTTTCTGGGCTCAGAAAATATGATCTTGTTTTCACAATTTGCATGCTCTTAAAAAAACTTGCGCTGAAGAAGGATTTTGTGAATGCCTTTTATGTCACATTCATGTTTCTTAATATTCCTTGTTTTACAAATAAAGCAATACAGAACTAGGAGCATTATATTTCTAAAAGAAACAAAAGTATTATGAAGCTTGTGGCTAGAAAAAATGGAATGCTATTTCAAACTAATGCAAAACAAAGATTGGTGTTAAAGTTCCTTTTCTAATTAAGAGAAGAGGGTCGGTGTCTACTCGTTCAGAAATTATAATTAAGTTTGTACTCTCTTTTCTAGAGCTTGATTGTTTTTTTTCTCTTGTGAACTATAAATGTTATGGACTAAAGCATCTCCTGCATGTGTCCCATGTGAAGCACTGCAGTTGAGAATGTGATGAAAAATCTAATAAATTAGGAGAAAACTTTTATTTCTTTGCTGACACGCATATTATTCAATGGTATTATCCAAGGGAGAGAAGTGCACAGCACAACCCAAATGACTCATCTATTGATAATGAAGGTTTGTCCCCTTTATGCTCCCTGGTTTACTGCAATAATGTAGATTTATCCCTTATATGCTCCCCAATTTAATCCAAATGACTCATGTATTCTGGTAGTGAAGGTTGTGGTCCCTTTTTGTGCTCCCTGTATTACTGCCATAATGCAGGTTTGTCTTTCTTATGCTCCCCGATTCACTGCAAAATGCACAGCATAAGTTCCAATGTATATCATCAAAGAACCTTTTGTGATGAAAATGATATTTACTTGTCAAGCACTTCATAATATGAAATTGCATGGCAGTCATGTACTCATGTTTGTGACCACATTATTATTAAACTCCGTGCGCAAGCCGTCCATGGAGTAAAACAAAAAGTAGGAACGGGCTTCATTTGTGCTCTTTGAAGTTGAACAGATCAATCACACATCACTGATACGTGAGAGAGATTGACCCGTAACTACTCTGGGTGACTGATTGATAGAATCGCGTCAATTTGGGTTACTGATAAACTTGCAAAATCATTAACGTCAGCGTCCAAACAACGACCAGATCAGAGTAACCATTGCCATCAAAGTTGTTTGTAAGAAGCTTAGGCACGCAATCGCTTGTTGTCGACATCCTTACTCCACTGCCAAGATTTGTTAGCTAAGTATTCATATATGCACACAGAAACTAACAGAGATATAAAATTATGAAATTCACATTGGCTAGCCATTTGGAAGTTTCAATGTGGAGTATCTAGTTTTCTTCTGGATGAATGCATCACAGGGGTAGCTTTCATGATTATTGATTTTACAGGATCATTACTGAAGTTCCAGAGAACATATATTTTTTATGGCATCTCTTTCTATTCGTATTCCTGGTGTATTATTTGTGTACTTTCTCTTTGCTTTTTAAGACATTCAAGGAAAACGTGTGAGTATATATATTTTTTCACATCTAGCAGTAGCATAGTAGAGAGTACTCAATATGGACATTGTTGGCAGCACAAGTAACCTGTCTAGCAATAATTCAATTCAGTACTTCTGGGTTCAGCAATCAATCATTTTTCTTACCAAATGGGACATAAAATTATGGGTGGCAATAGATGCCTGTGGAATAATGCGAGATAGACTATCTTAGTTAAACATTGGGAGTTGGAGAAAAGAAAGGGAGAAGGGTAAATAAACTACCTAGACATACCAATACATCTTCCTCATTTAGAGTTTCTCTCAACCTGACATGCATATAAAATTTTGTTTCTTTATCGTTTTTATTTTTAGGCATCATCTACTAATTTATTTATATCATTTTTGAACCTCTGTTACTTTCTTGACGTTCGCAGTAATTGTTTGTTCATGCTAATGCTAGGAAAAGTATGTGATGGAAAAGATTTTGCCTTCTTTAACATGTATGAATGCATTTGGATGACTAAATCACAGTTTTATTCTTCAAACATGGAGCAGCCTAATCTGAAGGGTCCTACTTCTACAGGTACAAGGTCCTTGATGCATCAGTTCATTGAATGTAAGACATCATTTTATTCTCTCATGATTTCAGTGATGCTAATCCCTAAAGGAGTAATCAGTTTTTTTGTTTTGACACAGATTCCTTAGCTGTTTGTCATAGCAAGAAAATGACTTTACATGCAGGTTGTTTCACTTTTAGGTGCTCTTAGGTGAGAAAAAGCATGCCATATGCCAGTACGGATCTTTTTGTGTCTGTTAGACAACAAAATACCATTGCCAATTCGGTTTTGTTAGAGAGCGATGCCAATACAAACAAGTAAGCCTTTTGCTTGTTCAGTTTTTTGTGCCTCATCCTTCTCTTCCAATTCCATTCTTACTGCACTCATTCTTGGGCAAAGTTCAGCATGTGTGCTTCCATCTTTTGTGCAGGAAAAAGCATTCGTCTACCAACCATGACAATGATCAATTGGGTGTGACTGAGTGAGCAACAAGCTATATTCTCCAGGCCTCCAGACTTCAGCAAAACACAGACCAGGGCTTCCTGATTTCCATTAGTTAGGTTATCAAATGTGTTAAGAGCAGAGAACTACAAATGAATTCTGGCCTTGTCAGTTCCCTTCTTTTGGGCCGATTCTTGTGCAATTTCAGTATTCCTGCACATTGTCCAAACAGACTATTGATTTTTTTCATTAATTTTACAGACAGTTTATGTGAGCTTTTATCGTGTTAATTTTGTTCATCACTGAATGGATGGAGCTACTATTGAATTATTGATTGGCCAATGCATAAGTCAGCTTAAATGGCTAATAACCATTCAGGAGCCTAACCAAGTATAACCATAAGTGGGCCGGAGTTTGGCCCATGGGCTAAAGCCCAGAAAGAAGTCTCGTGTGAACAAGCTCTAGCTGGAAGGCCCATACTCTATGGGACATCAGGCCCATCACAGAGGTAAAGCCCGCTGAGTTTTTTTTCTTCTTTTTTTGTTGGGTTTCTCCAGAATCCAAATCCAAAACCCTTGCTCCCACAGGAGTGAACACGACGCGACCCGAGCCGGAGAAGGGGAAGGGAAGGCGGCGGCGGCGGCGGCGGAGGAGGAGGAGGCGCGAGGGGAGGCGAGCATGGTGGTGCGGATCCGGCTGGCGCGGTTCGGCTGCCGGAACCGGCCGTTCTACCGGGTGATGGCCGCCGACAGCCGCTCCCCGCGCGACGGCAAGCACCTCGAGGTCCTCGGCTACTACAACCCGCTCCCCGGTGAGCCCTCCTCCTCCATATCCCCCCCTCGTGCTCCTCCTGGATCGGCTTGTTCTCGAGTGTTGTCTTTGCCCCGTTGGTTGGCGTTGGCCTCAACGTCTTGGTGAAATGGTGAATCGGATCAGATTGGAGAGGGATTAGTAGAGTGTGAAACATTTCTGTACGTGCGTGAGAATTTGGCTGTAAGCTTGTGATTGAATGCCTGATGGATGATGGAGGAGTATGTGCTTTCTGTTGCTGATTGCAGGGAAGGATGGTGGCAAGAGGATGGGGCTGAAATTCGACAGGGTCAAGTGAGTTTCATTTGCTTATGCTCGTAATTTGGAGTGTTTGATGTGTTCTAGTATTTCCTCTGGAGAAAAATTGGCGTGCTGGAGCTTTTGCTGATGCTAGTCTAGGACTGACATTGCTATAGCAGCCTGATTCTTTGATGGAAACTGATTGTTTGATAGGCAAAATGGACTGATTCAGTTATCATTGTAATGCGATCTTCGTTCCAGGAGTTGGGGTGCTGTTATTGCTTCTGTGTACTATTTAATTGTATTGCCAATTACCATGTACCTTCCAACCATCCGTGCCTTCCATTCTCTGGGTAGAAAATGATGGATTCAAGGGTTCTGAATTTTGTAGCTTGTAGATGTGCTTACTGGCATCCATCCATAGCAGAAAAGGATTTAGAGATTTTAAGCATATGAGATTTGCTTAACAGTATCCGTAACAGGGAAGAAAATTACAGATATAAAGTTTCAGACATTTCAAGCATGGTGCTTAGTTTCATCAATAGCAGAACTAGTATCTTTGATCCTGTATTGTCTAGTTGCCAGTGTTCATTGCCCACCTTGTCGAGAGTCAAGAGTCTGATCTTCCCAATATTTCTTTCTTTGAGTTAATTGCTAGAAGAATGCTATGATGTCCTTCCCTCCCTTGCAAGGCCATGTAACAGCATACAATTATACTTCTGTTGCAGGTACTGGCTGTCTGTTGGTGCTCAGCCATCAGATCCTGTGCAGCGCATCCTTTTTCGAGCTGGGCTTCTGCCTCCACCTCCAATGCTAGCTATGGCTCGAAAGGGTGGACCTCGTGATAGGCGCCCAATTCATCCGATGACTGGGCGCCCCTTGGATCTTGAGGGTGTCACGGTTGTTGATGACTCCAATGTTCCCGAAGGTGGTGCTGAGGAACCTGTGTCAGAGGAGTGATGCTGCAGTAGGTCTCCACTTGTTTGTTGTGCCTCTGATAAGATCATGAGTACTGTACAATATGGAAACTTCCTAATCATGTAATCTTCCATTGTTTTCTAATAATTTACAAGGTCGTAGTGCTGCACTATGAGTTAGCTGTTCTCAACCCTTTCTGAAATGGATTTTTTTCTGAGTTCTCATGGACTAGCTTACAGTTCACACATGTTTTGTTCAGTCAAGGGTATCTTGAAAGGTAGGCAATATACAGAGAGCTACCATAAGCGTCACAATTCCAGCTTGATTATTCCTTTTTGTGCAATCAAATCAGAATAGATTCTTTATCTGGTCTGGTTGCAAGGTTATTTGATTTTATGGAACTGCAAAAAGGTGCATCTTTTGTCATCTTCATTGATCTTTGTGCCGGTTGTTCATGTTGATAGTTTTCTTGTATGATTCCTTCCTTGCAGTTTTCCTCCAAAGGCATGATTGCCTCCTGAAAGAATCTTGTATGAAATGGATCGTACGCTTTTTACAAAACACATGACATTTTTGTAGACAAAATGAATTTGCAGTCTTGCACCTTGATTTTATAAATTGGAATTGAAGAGCATGTCTGACGCAAAAATGGATCATAAATTTTACAAGCTTACCGATAGGTTGAAGTGTTCAGAACTACATGTAGCGAACTAATGTTCTGAGATAGCAGCTACTCGAGCAGTAAATCAAACCCAAATAAAGACTAAGAAAAAAGAAGGATAATGAGAATTGCAGGCTTGCAGCGCATGGATATGATAGCAAATTCAGAATCTTCATGCTGTTATCCTGACTACTGATTCTAATACTGTAATAGAGTTCAGCTCAAGTCTTTTTTCTGTATCCAAATAAGAAAAGTATTCTGTACATTTCCATTTTCCCGGTTGCTCAAACTCACAAACATGTACTCTGTCCAAATGTTCAGACTGTGTACAGACTACAGAGTATTCAAAACATAGCATGTTTGACTAGTAATTAAGGTATCTGCATTAGCACAAGCATCAGAAGATTCACCTCTCTTGATGCTAAGATCATGTCACCATCATAAGCTTGCATCATCCCAAAAGGTATTTCTTCTTTCCTAGGCCACCCCATCCGTGCAACATGCTAAACCAAGCACACCAAGAAAAAGCTTTCTTTGCATGCAAACATGCAAAAATGCAATGCATCATGGCACTTGCACCTTTAAATCTTGCAAGAATTCTCTCAATGTCTTCTTCCCCTTCCCTGCTCAATCTTCTTCCTATCAACATCAATTCCCAAATTTTGAGCCATAGGAGCCATGGGAGAGCCAAGAGCTTGCAAGCTATGGCTTCTTGTGGTGGCAATGGCGGCTTCTTGGTCGTGCAGTTCCATGGCGATGACGTTCACTATAGCGAACTATTGTTCGCACCCGATATGGCCGGGGACGCTCGCCGGCGCCGGCACGCCACAGCTGTCGACGACGGGGTTCCGGCTTGACCCGGGGCAGACGGCGCAGCTGGCGGCGCCGGCGGGGTGGTCGGGGAGGATATGGGCGCGGACGGGGTGCGTGTTCGACGCCGACGGCGCCGGCGTGTGCCAGACGGGCGACTGCGGCGGGCGCGTGGAGTGCCGCGGCGCCGGCGCCGCGCCGCCGGCGACGCTGTTCGAGGTCACCCTCGGGAGGGGCGGCGGCGAGGACTTCTACGACGTGAGCCTCGTCGACGGCTACAACCTCCCCGTCGTCGCCATCCCTCGCGCCGCCGCCGCCTGCAACGCCACCGGCTGCATGGCCGACCTCAACCGCTGTAAGTGCACGCACGAACGCGCGCCACGCCGCCGCCACTTCGCCATTGCCGGAGCTGACGACGACGATGTGTGCAGCGTGTCCGAGGGAGTTGCAGGTGGAGTGCGGCGGCGGCGGGGCGATCGCGTGCAGGAGCGCGTGTGAGGCGTTCGGGCAGGACAGGTACTGCTGCGCCGGGGAGTACGGGACGCCGGCGGCGTGCCGGCCGACGGCGTACTCGGCCATCTTCAAGACGGCGTGCCCGCGCGCCTACAGCTACGCGTACGACGACTCCACCTCCACCTTCACCTGCAAGGCCGCCTACGACTACACCATCGCCTTCTGCCTCCCTACCTCCGGGTACGCATGCAGCTACGGAAGCCAAATTTCCGAAATTTACGACAGAAGAGAAATTTCTGAAATTTACCGATAGATCTAAGAGAATTTTTCGAAATTGCGGAAATTCACCGATAGAAAATTCCGATAGAAGTGAAATTTCGGAGATTGCGAAAAAAAATCGGATAGAAGCGAAATTTCGGGAAATTCTAGGACTGAAAAAAGTTAACACTTGGACAGGTTACCGATAGATCCAGGAGAATTTTTCAAACTTGCGGAAATACACCGATAGAAGCGAAATTTCGGGAAATGTTTGGATTGAAAAAAGTTAGCACTTGGACAGGTTTTGGTTCAGGGACTGGAAACTTACCGATAGAAGTGAAATTTCGGAAATTGCGGACATTTACCAATGGAAGTGAAATATCGGAAATTGCATGAATTTTGGGAACTGTGGAAAACCTACCGATAGAAGTGGAATTGCTGAGATTTACCCATTGAAGCGAAATTTCGGAAATTGCAGGGTTTTCTGAAAATTTCGGACCAAAAAGGTTACATTAGGGCAAATTTTGGTTAAATCTGAATGAAAATTGTCTTACCCAAACAAAAATTTAGCCGAAATAATTTCTGGTCGAGGGGATCGAAATTCCTGAAATTTTAATAGCTGTGTGATTCTTGCTGCAGGATCAATAAGTCGGACGCCGTGTTCCTCGGAGCACAGATCATCGACGGCGATGGCGGAAATGCGCCGCCGGCTTACCGCGGCGGCGGCGGCGGCGGCGGCGGCAGTAGACCGCCGATATACTACAACGGCGGTGGAGGAGCACATGAGCCTGAGACGATGACGGCGTCGTCGGCGAGCACACGATGCACCCAGCCATGGCTTCTGCTACTGCTACTGCTACTACTACTGCTCGTCTTCCTTTTCTGATCTGACAGTGAAGCATGAAGAATTGGGAAATTTGAGCACACCATTAATGGAAGTCATCTCCTAGTAGTAATTAACTGCACCAAAGAAGAGATTACGAGTTCACGATCAAGAAGGCTTGTCAGAGATCAGTTGATCGAGAAGTTCAGAGATTAGTCCTATTCTTCGTGTATATTAGCAGTGATTAAATTCATTAATTTTCTATTCTTTGTACTCAAGTTCAGAAGATCTAAATATATTGCTAGATAGTAGAAACATTAGTAGTCATGGACAGAATTTCAGAAATATTCACATTGACGAGACACATGCATGTACTTCGTCAACTGAATTTACTGAATTTCAGCTAGACATTTGCGCCGTGTGTTGTTCCAAAATAATTCTTCAAACTTCCAACTTTTCCATCACATTAAAACTTTCCTATACACACAAACTTCCAACTTTTCCGTTACATCGTTTCAATTTCAACAAAACTTTCAATTTTGGTGTGAACTAAACACAGCCCAAACTGATTTGATTACGCTGAACTTTAACAAGTCCAAGTCCAGTCCCTGCAAAAAAAAAAAAAACAAGTCCAAGTCCAGGTCAAGTCAATGGTGCCAAGTGCCCACTGTGCACAGGACCGGCCTGATTTTTCCTTCTGAAAATTACACCAACAATCCATCACTCCAAATTTCATCATCTCCACTAGCCTGTTGTTCTTCAGTCTTGAACCTACTGTACCAGTCATCAATAACAGAGACAGCTTTGTACTGCGAAAGCTAAAGCATCACTGTCTCACCAGATACTCCATACAGATGGAGTGTTGGATAGTATCAAGATGACAACGCACTATGCGACAATCTATCAAATGATAAGATCAAGAACATGACCTGTGCAAATTGAAAACAGCCAAGTCTTCAGATCAGATCGATAGGCATTAATTCACTTGTGCGATATCGATGCCACCTAATGAGGACAAGCAACCGAAGTGTGGCTCAATTCGATTGTCACTACTGATTTTTTAGGACTTGCACCATTACATCAGACTGAAAAGATACAAAGATATTGTGCCCATCTCTTTGATTGTTTAACAAAAACAACAAGTGAATTGTCACTTTCTCAGCACATGACTTGACGCACTCATCACTCATGAGTCATGGGAATGAGACCCATCAGCTAGCATGTAACACATGTTGTTATAGCTAGATGTAAGTGATAATTCTTCACCATGCAACATGCATGATTAAAACTAAGAAATAGTTGCAGCAAGACGTGACGTATTTAGAAAGACTCAACGTTTTGGAGCTATTCAAATCCTAGCATATTCCTCATGCTCAGAGGGCCCATTTGGAATGCAGAATTCTTAAAATGTAGGAACAATAAAAAAAATATAGTATTGGAGCTATCATCTCTAATCCTATGGATTAAAAGAGCATTTGAAATATAAAAATGTAACTGTTTGAACGGAGCATAGGAAATACAGGAATTAGAAGAGAGAAAGATAGAGACGGGTTGGACCTTATGTTGAAATTCCTACAAATCCCCTATGTATGTTTAGAGTGAACCCAAAGGAATTTCATAGGATTTTTAGATAGCTATTTCTTTTATCCAAAGGATCACATGAGAAAATTTTCTATAGAATTGAATCCCTTCAAAATTCCTCCAAAATAACCCTTTGTTTCCAAAGGATTAACTTTGTGAGGTTTGCGGCGTGTACTGCCTGAATCCGACAATGGCGAACACCCAAGTCTCTTTCAATTCACCAACGGCATATCTACCATGAATAGGACTGGGAATAGGAACAGCACTAGTGTGATTCTCTCCCGAGGGAAAAAAAAAACAGCACTAGTGTGATTCTCTCCCGAGGAAAAAAAAAGTGAAGATCAAAATGAGGAACATTTTGTGTTTTGCAAAAAGATGAAGAAATGCAACAGAACAACTTTATTTTGAATCTTATACACAAGGACAGAGAAGATGCAAATTATTACAATCTACCAATATCCAAGAGTATAAAGCACACATAGAAGTTATGAAATACAATGTTCAATAGATTTACGGTAAACAAACCCCCTACTGATAACCACATTTCACACGTTGCACCAATTTTCGCAGGCGACCATACCTGTGAGGACCTAATTTTTGACCTTATTTTCCGCGAGATTTCCCTCTGGATTGTCCTCGAAACGCCCAATCCTGAAATGCCGGAGCTCTACTCCGGCCTCCGCCGCCGTCCTGGCCTCGCCGTCCAAGGCCATCTCGGCGAGGATCCTCCCGACGGCGGGCCCCATCTTGAAGCCATGGCCGGAGAACCCGGCGCCGACCACGACGTCCTTCCCGAGCTCCCCGCCGACGAAGTCGATGATGAAGTCCTCGTCGGGGGTCATGGAGTACATGCACGGCTGCCGGATGACCGGCCCGCCGGCGGTGTCGACGTGGCCCGGCATGACCTCGTCGATCCACCGCGCCACCGGCTCGACCAGGCCGGCGCCGGCGCCGGCGAGCCAGTCCCGGCGGTCCGGGTCGCACGGCGGGCCGCCGTGGGCGGCCACCTTGATCAGCCCCGGGAACTCCATCGACGGCGTGCTGTAGATGTACGGGTCGCCGTAGCTGGCGAACGTCGGGAAGCCGGACTCCGGCGTGAGCTCGTGCTCGCGGCCGGGCCTCGCCCGCCAGTAGCAGATGAGCGTGTGCAGCGGCTGCACCGGCAGGTCGACGCCGGCGACCGACCTCACCAGCTTGCTGGCCCAGGCGCCCACCGTGATGATGCACTTGGCGCCATGGAACTCCTCGCCGCTCGATGTCTTCACCACGATCGATCCGTCTCCTGATCAAATTAAGTGTTTGATATGCTAATGGAGTAAAAGATTTTTCACTTCTAAATCAGCTAATGGATTTCACTAACATTATGTGCAAGCTAGTATATATGATTCTGAAGGGCATAAATAAAAATGGAATGGAAATTAAACCCATGAAAAATGTTTTTTTAGTGCAATAACGGATTGCTGGTACCCAATCTTTATAAAAGACGAGTTTCTTTTTTAAAATATAGTTTTCCTGATGCATGTCCAACCAAATCAAGAACTTTGTTAATTGACACATATATAGGTTTTGCAGTTTGAATAAAAAAACTAAAAATAAGTTTTTTAAGAGAAAAAAATAGCTACTTGACTAGAATCTTGTACTGACCTATCTGAGTTTATGTCATGTGGGCAATAGGGGGGCTATAAAATTAAAACAGACGTTCAGTTCTAATTAAAAGTACAATAAGCTGACACATGCTTTGTAATAATGCAATAACAAAGATGCTAACCAGATTTATTTATTTATTAAATAATGAGACAATACATTTCTTGTTTTCACCCTTGTCTGACTTGGGAATATAGAGCCAAGGCCGTGCCTGGAAGTTGGGTGATGCACGCTTAATGTTAGGTTTAGGCCCTAAATTTAATTTTTTTTTCTTTTTGTACTATATACTAGTAACATGACTGAACATTGCAACGGGTTTATATGGCTGAGAATAGGTTAAGAATGTGATCTAATGGTTGTTCCTTTTATGCTCTTATGTTGTGCTGGGCACGAGCAGTGGGAGGAGAGAACGAAAGGAGGACGACTCCGTTTCTATAGTAGTAGCTATGAAGGTATAGTAAATTGTAAACTTTAAGATAGACGTTTTTCCTACGGCAATAAAAATTACATTGAATATTTATTCATGTTAAAAGAGATCAGTAGTGTTACCGTCATGGTGACACACTCTCAATACTAGCACGAATATTTTGATTCTCATAGTACAGTATTGATATGAGAGTAGAAGATTGGGGGGAAACTATATGCACATGTGTAAACCATTGAGATGAGATAAGAACACAAGATGGAAAATCACGCATTAATTTGGATGGAGGAAAATTAGTTAGTTGATAGGAGGAAAATTGGAATGGGAGGAATTGATTTTCCGAGTGACAAAATTAGAATGGGAGGAATTTTGATGGAGTAAACGGCATTAACTATTGCTTAATTTGTTCAAATATTAATTAACTACCAATAATAGCGATCCATTAGGAACCCCCTCCCTCTAATTTTTGGCTACCTGTTCCAATATTGTCCAGACTGAACAACGACCAGTAGTTAAAGTCATATTATAATAGGATTGATTTATGTGGACTCCTCCCATGTTTATGGGAAAATATGTAGTGCAAACCACATATGTAGTAAAAACTTGGAAACTACCGCTGGATCGAGCAATGGACATTCGAGATTCGTCTACGTTACCATGAGTAAAATTTTAACTCATGAATGATCTGCGAGTTAAATTTTAACTCACGATGACGTGGACGAATCTCGGACGTCTATTGCTCGATCCAACAGTAGTTTCCAAGCTTCCACTACATATGTGGTTTGCACTACATATTTTCCCCATATTTATATATGTATCTCTTATGTATACCGGTTCTCTAAGACTCAGTACAATGTGTTCAATATTTATCTTCTCTCCTGCGGTACTATTCAACAAGAACAATGGTCCCGCAAGGAGCAGGAGCTCACTCAGCTCTCGCATGGTGGTTGCCGCTGGCATTTTGGTTGGCAGCGACTGATCACGTGATGCAAGCAAAGTTGCAATCATGCAAGAGCTACCCGGATACTTCCAACGAGATTGGTTGGTTGGTTGGTTGGGCGAGAGGAAGACGACGACGACGACGACATAGCTAAGCTAAGCTAAGCTCTAGCTTGATCGATCGGTGTCTTACCTTGCTTGGCGATGCCGACAACCTCCGTCCTGTCCCGCACGACGGCGCCGTTCTTGGCGGCGAGCGACTGGAACATGGCCACCGCCTTGGTCGCCTTCATCACGCCGCCGATCTCGCTCGTCGCCGCCGTCCACCCCTCGGGCAGCCTGAACACCCCGGACCACGGCCACGGCGCCGCCGCGTCGGAGGCGACCTCGGTGGCGGCGCCGTTCACGATGGAGGCGCGGAGCGCGGGGTCGGCGCGGGGGCCCATGTCGAGGTGCGGCGTCGGGGTGAGCACGCGGTAGCCGGCGTCGCGCTGGGCGTCGTCCCAGAGGCGCGCGGCGAGGCGGACCATGGGCGGGTAGTGCGCCTGCGGGTACGTGGCGCGGATGGTGCGGGACTCGCCGTGCGACGAGCCCCGGTGGTGGAGCAGGTCGAACCGCTCCAGGAGCAGCACGCGCGCGCCGCCGCGGGTCGACGCCGCGTACGCCGCGCAGCTGCCCATGATCCCGGCCCCCACCACGATCACGTCGAAGCCGTCGCCGCCCTCGCCGCCGTTGTTCGCCGCCGCCGCCATGCTCGCCCTGTCTGCTGCTGTCAGTGCGCGTGCGCCTGAGACTTTGGAGCTGGACGAACAGGTTACAGGTAGGCCTCTGGTCTAGTGTCCGTATTTAAAGACGAAATGGCCCTGGCGAAGCGTGGGCGGCGTGGTAAACCGGTAGTGTCGTCGTTTCGTTGATTGCTATCTTTTTTTCCTTTTAAAAATATATAAATATTTAAAATCTTACTCTTTTTTCATATTATATGATGTTTTGATTTTTTTTTCTATTCAAACTTCTTTAATTTTATTTAAGTTTATAAAAAAAAGTAACATCTATAACACCAACTTAGTTTCACTAGTATGTTAATTTAACTTGAAAATATTACTATATTTTTCTTTAAACTTAATTAAACTTAAAAAAATTAACTAAGAAATAAGACAAAGCGACTGAGGTAGTATAATATTATAAAAGTGTCTTGAACGCTGTATGTCTATCATGAGTATATAAAGATATGCCTTTAATTGTTTTTTCGGGGGAGCTACGCCTTTAACTGTCTTCACTGGGACGTGGATGCTGAGTAGGCTTCTGTTGGATGCAACTGGTTCTGACGTGGATCTGTTCATCTTATGGTGTGTTTGGTGGAAAAGATATTTCTAGATAGATAATGTCCATTTAACTTTTGAGTGTATTAGGCTGATGAGTAGATGTGGATAAGATATTCGAAAATAAATATCTATAAAAATGCTCGATGAGATCATCCAAAAATTTGGCCAGACTAGGATATCCATTTTGTGTGTGTGAGGTGTGTTCACGTTTTCTTTACCTGCGATGCACTATTGTCTTCTGTTCCAAAGTGTCGAGTGCGTGAGGTGTGTGAAAGCCCCGGTAGTTTAGGTGGCATTTAGAATGAGCTGCGTTCCTGGCCTTACCAAATTATTGGTAACGAAAAGTTTGATTATTAAATGGATTATTGCATCGGATTATCGATTTGGTTATAAAGATATGTTTTAGAGATAAAATTAACAAATAACTTAAACCAACTGATTGAAAAATACAGTGAAACTTTGTTTGGTAAAAATGTATTTTTAGAAACGTATAACAAAGAACACATTTCAATAATCTAGTAGGTAAGTACTCCCTCCGTCCTATAAAAAACGAATCTAGAATTGGATGTGACATATTCTAGAACTACGAATCTGGACATATGTATGTCTAGATTCATAGTATTAGTATGTGTCACATCTGGTACTAGGTTGGTTTTTTATATGACGGAGGGAGTAAAAAAAACCATGGGCTGGTTTGATTTGTGGCCTAAATTGGCATTGCCAATATTTGACAATTTCAATAGTGTTTAGTGTCTATTTGGTTTGAAACCAAATTTTGGCATGCCTAAAAAAATAGGCCATTTCAATAATGAAATGAAACTGCTTTGGCTTCAGTCCAAACACAACTTTACCTTGCCAAGATTAGCCATGCCAAAACTTACAAAAATTTGACATTGACAAAAATTAGTAAGGTCAATTTTAGGTCATAAAGCAAACCAGCCCCACATATACCATTATTACCATAAGCTTTAGAAAACCTCGAAATGATATCTGCAAGTTTCAACTGGCTGGCTGTAGCTACGGCCACTCTGCAGCAACAATACACAGTAGACAGCAGCAGAGCCCTACTGTGGCAGTGTGGTACTCCCTCCGTCTATAATTCGTATTTTTATTGTTGTTAGATGATAAAACATGATTAATATTTTATGCATGACTTGTCTTTTTAATTTTTTTTATAATTTTTTCAAATAAGACGAACGGTCAAACATTGAGCACGGAAACCAGGGTTTGTCTTTTTTTTTTGGACGGAGGGAGTACTGGCTCTTACTGATCAGCCCACATGCTAATTAACCCAGCACAAGCCTAATCCTCTTATTGCGCAAAAAAAAAAACAGTTATTGTCACCAAATTTCGTAACGGCTACTCTTTCTTTTCTCGGCCGTTCGTCGCGTTCGTAGCGCCCACGGAATCTCGTGGTCCTTCCTTCGTCACTTTCGTACAATCGCTCGCAGGGAATCTCCTAGGTGCCCGAAGGGAATCTCGTAGATGATTTGCTCGCTTTCTGCTCCCTAAAATAAAATAGTTATCGCCAAAAAAAGACGAAGAGGAATAAGCATATGTCTGTGGTTAAAAGTTCCATTTCTGGGGCGAGCATTTCACAGCCCAATTGCTCAAGAAACAGAGATGAATCTGCAAATGTCACTAAGCCAAGTATGATTGAGCTAAGAGCCCTGTTTGATTCAGTTACTTGTCTTAATGACACCGTAAAGATTTTTATATATATAGATGTTTCTTTGAATAATCAAATAAATTAGCAATATATTTTTTCCTTTTTCTTTCAGCCCTTTCTTACCCTAAACCAGATCCTTAAAACAGAAAAAAAAAATAGAATGTAACAGTGAATCCCAAAAGAAAAAAAAACTAGAAAACTTATTATCAGGATGCTAGACGCAATGGCTGTGAAAGTGTGAAAGTGTGAAGGGGATTCCAGACTTCAGAGTTCAGAGTTTAGAGTAGAAAGACTCGCAACTTGCAAGTTGGACAATTGAAGAGTGTAATAGCTAGAGGGGAGCAAATTGGCATGGGGTCCTCATCGCGAGGAACGAGAGTAAATTCACAAGTAGAGGGCTGTGGAGAAATGGGCTAGGCTCTGTGGATATTACACAATTAAACCAAAGCCTACTATGCACGATATCAATGGAGGTCACTTCACAGGCGCAAGTGTGTGCCCTGATTGCCTTGCCCTGCCTAAGACATGATAGTAAGAAAGATTTTCGTTACCAACGAGTTCCAATAGTTGGTGCTACGGCGGAGGACGACCTTGATGTCCTAGGTGACATCGAAGGTGATCCTATGGTTGTGCATCACACAAATTGAAGGTGCATTTTACGTCCACATTGACTATCACGGGAATTTTACATCGAGAATGATAGGTCAAGATAGCTTGAGACATAGATCTCTAGTTCCTAATACGGTCTAACCACAACATTACTCCAATAACCAGGGAATCAAAACAAATTAAAGCTTGTTCCCGCTAATTATGACGTTATGTTTTTATACCTGGTATTGAGAGACCACTATTGAAGTGCATGTACATTGCAAACGAGAAGAAAAAAAATGAGGAAATTGAAGAAAGAAAGTGCGTGGTCAATTGCATTTGTAGGATCAAGGATATATTTTTCTTGAGGGTTTGAGGGTTTTACAACACATGTGCATATCTACAATGGAAAAGGATGCATCACAAAAGAATGCAACTGACAAACATTTCGAACTGAAGCTCTCAACACCGATGGAGTCTTCTCCCGAATCAAAGAAGTGGAGCAGAGAGATTTGATAATAGTTAGAAGTTTTTCATTTGTTACGACAACTATTGGAGCGCCCTCTGTAACATGGGTTTGACAACGGTGCCATGCTTGTTTTCCCTTGTAGTTCCAAGCTGCACATTTTGCACCTAGCATTGTATGGGCCTATCATTTTTTATTGGGAAAAAGTTTAAATTATCATTTCCTTAATATATGTAGAGAGTATAGGAAATAGAGATACAGAAGTATAGGAAGTAAAGATAGCGATGAAACTTTATCATGAGATGCAAAGGATGACGATTCATTGCTTCCGTAGAATTATGGATGAGGCTATCATATCATGAACTTCTTCTCTATTTGTACTGTATCCTTTAAAGTAACCATACTTTGTTATGGGTAAAATACTAATTTTCTTGTTTTTTTCGTGCTTATGTCAATATATATTAAATTCAAACAAATATTATACTATTGTATAGTATCGAAAAAGTTATTAAGGACTAATTTTTAAACATACTAAAGTAGTAAAGTAGTAGCAGAATAACCACCAACAATACTATTCTCTCATTTGTTTGATAGTATATAGATTTGCGTAAAATCAGGCAACACACCCTACTGCTGGCTGGCTGGCAGCAGCTGCCTTGTGCCTACGACACTGTTCGTGCTGGCTGTGGCGTAGCCGCAGTCCAGTCATTCGAACAGGCCCATAGTCCCTCCTAAGGGGCTTGACCCGGGGTTTGGGGGCCCATCCGGGTTGGCGTTCTAGCCCAACCCGGCCCCGACCCGGCCCGTTGCCACCACTTGCGGTAAAACTGCAGAGGTCAGCATTTCTTCTCTGTTAGCTAAGCTGTAGGGTTTTAGCTCAACCGTCCACCCCCATGGAAATCTCCCCCAACTCCGCCGCCGCCACCGCCGCCGCCACGGCGGCGGCTCCGGCCTCTTCCTCGACCTCCTCCCCATCCGCCCCCAAGCGCCTCACCACCACGCTCCGCATCCTCTGCCCCTCCAGCCGCGCGTCCGCGCTCCGCGGGGCGTCGCGGGACCTCCACGTGGACCAGCCCCCCGTCGGCGACGAGGCCGTGCTCTCCATCTCCGGGCCGGACGCCCCCGCCGTGGCCGTGAGGGCGTGGGAGCGGGTCGTGGGGCACAGGGTCGGGGGCGACGAGGCCGCCGGGGAGGAGGAGAGGGAGGTGCCCGGCGTGGTGGGCTGCCGGATGCTGGCGGCGAGCGGGCAGGTCGGGTGCGTGCTGGGGAAGGGAGGGAAGACGGTGGAGAGGATGCGGCAGGAGAGCGGCGCGCAGATCAGGGTGTTCCGGAACAGGGATCAGCTCCCTCCCTGGGCTGCGCCGGTGGACGAGCTTATCCATGTACGCATCTCAACTCAGCTCACAGATATTTCTTCTTTTTTGTGCTATATTCATCTAATCATCCCCCCTGACATTGCGTGGGTGGATTATTCATCACAATTTTTCGGTGCGCCCGGCGTGTTCATCCGTTAGCTAGAAATTTATGATGAAATGAGGTGGTTCAAACTTATAATGAGGTGGATCGTGTGCCTTAGTTGCTTGCAAAACTGCTAAAATTGTTTATGGGAGTTTGAGCGGTGTATTGCACTATGCAAACTAATGAAAAGGCAATTTTTTGATAGGATGATAATTTAATATAGGTGGTAGGATAAGTTTCAGTTCATTCATGGTTATGTTACGGGTCCTGTATTTCTTTCAGCTCATATGCATCTTGTTCAAATGAACAAATAAGTTCGAAATGAGCTATCTTGCCTGATTTGTACTTTATAATTGGCTCTTATTGCGATTCAGCAATTGAAAACATAAGGGTGATGTCTTTCATATAATTTATTACAATAGTGTTTTATCGATAAGGAGTTTGTAGAGAAAATATAATTAAAGGTTGGTTATTTTTGTTGCATAGAGTCATAGAAGTCAAATTCATTATGAGCAAGTTCCGCACCTCTGATTATGTAGTTCTAGGAAATCATAATGTCCCAGTTCTAAATATACTAAAATTGTAATAGTTCTTTTTACCTTTCCCGTATACTTAAGTGTTGCATTGCTAACGGCTTTATAGTTTGAAATGCTCAAGATGGACATTTTTCTTCTTTAACTTGGGTACCTATTAAAAATTCAGGTCATTCTGACACGGTAACCTTTTCCTGTTAGATAAGTGGGAACTTTTCTGCAGTAAGGAAAGCATTATTGTTAGTTACAACCTGCCTTCAAGATAACCCTAGGCCAGATGCAAGCAACTTTCCACCTGGAAGATTTGGGCCTCCTGGCCCAGTTGGCATAGATCCTCATTCTCAAAGAGGCTATTTACCACCATCCATGCCTGATTATCATGCAAGGAATTATTCAAGTAATATGGCTGCCCCCGGTCCTAGATTCTTTGTTGAACAAGAGATAGTCTTCAGGATGATATGTCTCAATGAAATGGTGGGGAGCATAATCGGAAAAGGTGGTTCAACTATTCGCGCATTACAAAGTGAAACTGGTGCTTCGATTAAGATTATAGAGCCTAATTCTGATTCAGAAGAACGTGTAATTGTGATATCTGCACATGAGGTGTGTCTCTGAACCTATAAATAAAAGTATCTGTTTAATTTCAAGTGATTAAAATCCTTATGCAGGGAGAGTGAATTTTATTTTCTCAACGTACAATATAGATCTGTGCATCTGTAAACATTGGCATGCCATGTGCATCGGTGTCCTGCCAACAATGATGGGAGATATGCGATTAATTTTGTCCTTAGGTTTTCAGTTGTCTGGAGTTATTTTTGATGGGTTTAATCTTATTTGTTGCAGAATTCTGAGATGATGCATTCTCCAGCTCAGGATGCAGTACTTCGGGTGCATTCTAGAATCTCGGAGTCATCGATGGATAAAAGTTCTGCTGTAACTGCAAGACTTCTTGTACCATCACAGCATATTGGTTGCTTACTAGGCAAAGGTGGTTCTATCATCGCAGAAATGAGAAAAATAACAGGAGCTGGTATCCGAATTTTCGGGAATGAACAAATTCCAAGATGTGCACAACGAAATGATGAGCTAGTTCAGGTATTTAATGTTATAGTAATCAACCACTCCATTTTATGTTCTTGTGCATGCTATGAATTTTCAGTAATAAGTTCCATGTTTTATGTGCGCCGCAGTGGTCTCTTAAGTTTACATGTCCATTCGAAATTTTCATCGTTATGCATATAATCTACTAATAACACCTAGTTATAGTGTGTTCTTTGCTTTAATTGTGGTCTTGTAGCAAAAATTTTAAGTTTGATACAAGTGTTGGTTAATGTAAAGTATCAACACTACTATAAAGGGTCCCACCTTACTGAATCACATTAAAGGTTCAGTGTTGAGGTGAACTTTGTTTACCAGTAATAGCTAAGAGCATAAGGTCTTCAGACTTCAGTGTGATACTGTGAATATGTGATCAATTCAAGTATGTTGGGAAATGTCAAGTATGCAAAGCATGCTCTTGAAAAAGATTTCCAAGTGAACTACTTTATACGTATTCAAAGAAGCAAACTACAGAATATCTTTGTCCTGTTAAATTTAAGAAAGCAGAATTGTTTACTTTGTGGCATATGCTGTAACTCTTTTGTGGTAATTTTGGCCAACCTGTTTCACATCACAAGTTATCCATTTGAAAAATGATCCACAGTTTATCACAACTAATCAACTCTTTCAAGTGGCTTTCATTGAATCTTCCTTTTAAGAAAGTTTACTTAGGTTATTCATAGCTGTGTTATTCTTATTCCCTTGACAATTGCTGACCAGGTGTTAAATGTAACTATGGAGTTTCTTCTTACAGGTCACAGGTAGTTTTCAATCCATTCAGGATGCATTGCTTCATATCACTGGAAGGATTAGAGATGTCATCATTCCCATGAAGCCACATCCAGGTGGAGGTATGCCCCCATATCCACCTGGTGGAAACGCTCCACCTCACCACCCAAGACAAGAACCAGCACCACCGCATCCCACTGGAGGCATGCCTCCATATCCTATGCCTTCTTTCAGAGCTGATCGTCCTATGGGTCCTTTTGATATGGTCGATCATCGACCACCTCCCCCTCATTCAATGGAGCACATGGGTGCTGATAGGATGCCCTACTCATATGGTTGTGAACAAGGAGGTGGTCCTCGACCTTTTCTGGACCAGCCATCACCAAGTGCCTGGGCTCCTGAGGTAACTTACTATGCGTTTATTCTAGAATGTAGGAAACACATATATGGGAAATGCAGTTTGGAATTAGGCAGAAGTTCTTCAGCATTTTTCCTGGGTGTGCAGTGCACAATGGTCTCTTTCATGAATTTCCACCAACATTCGGGTCCTGCTGACAAGCGATAGGATGCTTGCCAGCAGGGGTGGATCCAGGACTGGGCAGTCTGGGACAACTCAGCCTATTTTGGCTCATGTTAACTTAGCATCATAAAAAGATCAAAGCCCATTTGTCGTAAAAAAATACATCAAAGTCCAGGACTTGGGTTTGCCTTGCCACCAGAGTTTTATTAGAAAACTGTAAAAGTTTGCACACCACTTCTCTTGTTGATTTAGGTGTTGTAGGCTTAGAATAAAGTCCCTGATCTTGTGCAGGCACCAAACAGTGAAGCTCCAAGAAATATGCCTGAGACAGTACCACCTGCAGATTTCAGAAAGGGAGCAGTGGCAGGGTAAGTTAATTTCCATTTGGTGGTGTTTCTTTCTCTTTGACCTTTCACTAAAAGGAAATATTCTCAATTTCTCATTCTGTTAATCTTTTAGGGGCTAAAAGACTTTGAAAAGTATATGCATGAGAACTTGTGTGGAAAGCAAAAGATTGAATCGAAGCATATATAGTTCTCTTCTAGCAATGCAACCCATTTTGAAAAACAAAACTAAATGGCAAATTCTCCTTTCTAAAGAAGGTTACTTAGAACAGTGTTTTGACTTGTTCTTCTCAACAGAACAAATCAAGTGGCTACACCATCTAATGCAACTGAAGTCATTATTCCCCGCAAGTACATAGGTTTTATTTGTGGAGCCAATGGCAGTGACCTTGCTGAGATAAAGAAGGTACTTACTCTCTGCTTTATTAGTTTTCAGCATTCATCTAACTTCCCTTGTTGTCTTGCCCTCACCAGTGATGCAAAGGACATGCCAGTTTTTTTACTTGTTATCATGGAGTGGAAGCCCTTGTCAACTTGTTGCCTTGTCCTTTTCTCTAGAACAAAGTCCATGCATACAGCCTGTGCAACAGTCACTATCATGCCATATTTACTGGTACCAGAAAATGAAATGAAAATTAAAAGAACATGTAAAACATTCTTCTTCACTATACCTATTTCAAATTCACTCTGTTTTAAGGCTGAAAAGAAGAGAAAAGGCAATCAAATGATAAATTAAAAGGAAAAGTGAAAAAATAATTATTCATAGCAAACTTGTCTTTTTGTATCTTAAAAATTTTGTCCTTGAAGTTGAAATATTGATGGGTGCTAGGACAATCCATAAAGTATATATCTTCATTTGTTCTTGGAATTTTCCATATTGATTTGGTGCTATATACAAAAGCTGATTGTACCTCAACCAATGATTGTACTAGATGTCTTGCCATAACAAGATCCCTCGCATCATCTTTGTTATTTTGATGGTTCTAACGCTGGGAGTTAATGTTTACCTTTCAGATGTCAGGTGCCACAATTACTGTCCATCATCCAAAACCTGGGGATGCAAATGCATTGGTTATTATATGTGGGGATCCTGACCAAACTAAGAAGGCACAAAGCCTACTTCACGCGTTCATCTTTTGTGGTCTCTACCAAACTTAGCCCTGAGCTTTCAGGTTGGTTTCCCCCCTGACTGATTGCACATGTACAATTGTAACTGGCATGAATGTGGATGAGAATGTGGAACATTCTTTCAATGTGAATTATTTTTTTCTCATTTCATGTGAGCCGTGCGCATGCGCATTACTGCATCAATGTAAATCTTGTATTATTTTTGTTCTGGTACAAGAAATGGCCATGAAGCATGAGTGTCTATGTGTTTTGCATGTCGATGTTGCTCTGGATCTTCAGCTGGATTTTCCGTATGGTCGTACGAGGGATTTTTTTCCAGGAAACTCATCAGTGGTCACTGGTCACAGATGCAACTGTTCTTTTGTGCTATCTGGTAAGTCTTGACTTGCTGGATCATAGACGACCTCCTCCGATGTACAAGCAACGACGCTGGCAGTGTCAATCAGCTAGCTCGTCTTTGCTTGGAATCCAAATTTTTGTCACAGCCATTCCCAGTTCAATTCAATTTGGTGAGTTTTCACTTTTTTTTGTTAGCCTACTATTTGTATGAGTGTTTTCTAGTTCTAACTTAGTTGTGTTGAATCCTTTTTACATCTTAATTATGTCCGTCATTTTTTTCTTCACAAACACCTAGGCAAAATCATTTGGCAAGCTTTACTACCACAAGCAATGAAATGCAAGTTGGCTGGTCAGTTTTACGAACTCGAATTCCTTGCTGAGCTAGAAACTTCGCATGACACAGCATAGTTTCTTGGAAACATAAGGAGAGCACAGGAAATTGGAATATGCAGGACATCTCACGGATGCACTCAAAATCATATCTACCAATTGGCAGAGGCGACGCTAGACTTTGGCATGAAGGTCTTCCCAGTTCCCAATGAACTTGTAGGCAATTGCAAGCCTGACATTTGTGGCATCCTGTTGCTATGCTTTTTGGGTTGTAATGTATTGCTTCCCTTGCTTTGAACAATGAACAAGTCACACGAGCTTTCTTTGATCTGAAGCATCTCTTGCTGTCAAAGCATAGGTGTTGGCTGGTCACCTGCTATGGCTTTTAGCCAGATAAGAGCAAGTTTTACAGAAGGGGTAATTGTCACATTTAATTTTATTCATGTAAGATAAGAGAACATCTAATTTTATTCAAAGTAGTCGTAATCTGTGTAATTAGTTATTTTTAAGCCTATATTTAATACTTCATATAGGTGTTCAAACGTTTGATGTGATAGGGTGTAAAATTTTGTGGTGGGATCCAAACAGGCCTAAAGGGTGTTTGATATGCTACTTTTGTGACAGTGCATGCATAATACTTCTATTTTTTTTTTAAAAAAAAAGAGGCTAGCAAACCAGTCGAGCAACCGTTATTCGACTCATCTGTCAAACAACCTATCGAACAACGGTATCCGAATCTGCCATACTCCCTGGTCAAAAAAAAAAATTGCCATACTCATAGCTAATCATATTAAGACCATTTGAGATGCATCCTATTGAACTATGGTTGTTTGACACAGTGCTAAATTTGCCAGCCGATCGATCTATACTTTTACAATTTCTTATTAAAATACTCCATCCATCCCAAAATATAAGGCATAACCATTTTTTTCTCATATCCCATAATATAGGGCAGGCATGCATACATATATTAATTAACATCTCTTGGTCCTATAAAATTGATTTGTTTTAAATCTTATATCATCAAACCTCCAAATCATATTGCTTGCATGTTTCAAGGTGATTCAACCAAGAAGATGATTAAATGTTTTTTTGGTTTTTGTGTTATGAGTAGTTATGCCTTATATTTTGGGACGGAGGAATCAGTATTATTTCTAAAAGAAATTCAGAAATTCAGCGGCAGTAGAGGGGTGGAACTGTGGAAGTTATATATATGTCCCTAAATATAAGGGATGGAGGGAGTACTTATATATATATACTTATATTGGACACAGGTCGTCTACAGTGCAGGCTGACATGTGAGCCCCACAGCCCTCGGGCCCACATGTCAGCCTGCAGTACTGTATGCGAGGATCTCAATTGACTTCTATTACGCTAGTTCTCCTCTATGAGAGAGAGAGAGAGATTGAGAGAGCGCTGCAGCCGCCACCTATTCTCGCCTTGGCCATGGGAGGATCACGATTCACGAGCTGGAGCTGGAGCTCGAGCAGTCAACAGAAGAAGGGAGGAAAGGAATCCTCCCTCACCCCACCCGAGCAGGTATTGGGCTCGGAATCGGAAGGGGAATTGGAAGCGGAAGCGGAAGCGGAGCCGATTCTGATGATCTGATCTGATCGAGGCCAGGGGACTAATATCTTGTTGTAAGGAACCTAGTGGAGTAGTATTTGATTTGCCTGCTGCATCGACACCAATCAATCTCCCCACTACTATGGCTTCTTCGCGCGCTATCGTAAGTCGCAGCTTAGATTAGATTGGATATTTCGTTTGCAATCTCCTTAATTAGGTTTTCCCTTAATTTGTTTTTGTTGCATCTATCCATCTTCGCTTTTTGGTTAAAAACAATAAATTTCCTTCATGTACTTCCTCCGTTTCATCACAATATAAGTCATTATATTATTTCCCACATTCATATTGATTTTAATAAATCTATATATATATATATATATATATGTATATATATATATATATATATGTATATGTATATGTATATATATATATATATATATATATATGTATATATATATATATATATATATATATATCTACCTACCTAGATTCATTAACATCAATATGGGAAATGCTAAAATGACTTACATTGTGAAACGGAGGGAGTATATAATATGTGTGTGCTGAATAAACTGCTGCCTATTGTGCTGCTGAATGCTGATCACAATGAATGTTAGATTAGATTTGGATGTCCTTAGATTTATTATCTTTTTGTTAAAAAAAAGAATTCCTTTTTCTTTCCATGTTTATATATGTGTATGGTGAATAAACTGCTAGCTCTTGTGTTGTGCTGCACTGCTGCTGAATGCTGATCATATATACTGCATAAATAAGTATAAATTGTTTTCTTTAGGAGGAGGAACTCGAAACTGTAGGAGATGACAGGATCAGCGCGCTTCCTGACGATATTCTGCTGCAAATCCTTGAGAGACTTGACCTGCCTATGGCAATTCGGACCAGCACGCTCTCCAGGAGATGGCTGCAACTCCCTCGCTTACTCTCCCATCTCATCATAGATATCACCCACTTCATGCCTGCTCCTCCTCGCCGCGCTGTGAATTTCAATGTAGATCAGATCATGGCTGCCTACACGGCTGCAGTCAACAACCTGCTCTTGTCATCCCCCTCCAGCAGTAACAGCAACACGAGAAGAATTATCAAGTGAATGCAGCTCAGTTTCTTCCTCTCTGAAGACCCTTCCTACCTATGCTCTGTTGGCCATGCCGTTGGGGCCATTGTCGATGCCGGAAAAACCGACTTGCTCGAGTTCTCACTGTGGTCGGATGTTGGTAAACTCACCCTTGAGCATTGCCAGCTGCTCAGACAACGCTTCATGTCATTCTCTCACTCTTGCCCGGTTGCTTTCAGGTGGCTCACCAATCTTGCCCTGCGCAACCTCGCGTTTCAAGAATCGGACGTCTCCCATATCCTAAACACATGCCATAACCTGAAGTTCCTTGCCTTGTGTTCTTGTGTCTCGGACTTTGTTGTCCTCAAGATCGATGCCCCACACTCGGAGCTCCTCACGCTTGAAATTGTCACTTGTGGGTTTGACAGAGCTGATCTGATCCATTTGCCAAATCTTAGGCGGGTAGTCTGCTGGGATTGGTGCCTTCCAAACCCCCCAATCCGTTTTGGCAATGTTACTCGCCTTCACAACATGAGCCTCTCTTGCTCTGCGACGTATGACCAGATGCCGTTCAGGTTGACCGAGCTTATATCAAGCGCCACAAACTTAACTATCTTATACCTGGATTTCCAAGATCAGATGGTAAGTACATGGCTACCAGCAAAACTTTCCCAAACTGCTTCTCTTTCTTGTTTTAATATTCGTCCTGTGCTGACCGGTATCCGCTGCTTTATGTTGTTTTCCTCTTCTGCTGCAGATTTGGATTGAGCCACAAGGTCCTAAACTTCTCTATCCTGTATTCAGCAACGTCAGAGATGTCTATCTTTGCAACATTTTCTATGAATGTGACCTGAACTGGACTGTGTTTGTCCTTGAAGCTGCAGCTCGTCTCAGCAACTTTTATCTCAAGGTATGTTATATCTCTGGTTATCTCTGCCCATTTCTATCAAATATGCAACTTCCATAATGACATTGTTTTTTTAATAAAGTTATAATGACATTGTTGCGCTGCAGAACCAATATGGTTATATGGATATATTTTCCATATTAACTAATCATAGTAATTTGTTCCTTTTCCTACTTTATTAGAAAGGAGACTGTAAATTAGATTATTCAATTATAAAATCCAAAATTATGGTGCCAATCTACTGCGAAAACGTTTTCTTTTTCCAGAAACTTGTGCTTACCTCATTCAAGATATATCCAAATTCTTGAGCTTGATGATGTATGCCTATGTTGGCTGTTGAGCACTATTTATCTAACTGGTTTTTGTTGCTTGAAGTTATGTCAGCATCCATGTGAAAGGAACAGATGCGAGGACAGCGCTGAGAAGGTCAATTTGTTATGGGATCAGATGTCATCTGATTTCAAACATCGCCACTTGAATCTATTAGAGATTACAGGATTTGCGATGGATGATAAGATGATAAATTATACCAGGCTTATTATGGAGCGAGCTGTGAACTTGAAGAGAATCCGCTTGCTCGATCAAGTTCCATGTGACAAGGGCAATGCCATGAATGGTATGGGATCTACATCCTCAAACAAATGGAGATTTCCTGTTGACCAAGGAGAAAAGAGTCTAATAAAGCAGAAGCTTATAGATGGATTCTCCTCGTCTGCTGAAATAACCATAGGATGAATCAGTTCTATTTATTCTAGTCGATTGTAAATTATTAGTTGTATAATGGTCGTCGATTGTAAAAGTACGTAGCTAATAAAATTGTCATTTGGACCAAGAAGTATCATGAAATATTCTGGGTAATCCTAGCCCTTTTCAGCTCTGTCATCTGTTGTTGGAGTGCTACTAAAATGTTAATTTGTTGCTGTGTATTGAGCTGCCTGCCCAGCAGTAGTTATTGATAGCATGAGACACACGGTAATTTATCCCTGTTTCAAAAATACTAATCCTCTCCTTCAATGTGTGGGACCTTAAAAAACGAATTACTCTCTATTTTATATTATAAGACATTTTAATTTTTAATTCAAACTTTCTCAAGTTTCATCGTGTTTGTAAGAAAACGTAGCAACATCTATAAACACTTAATTAATTCTATTAAATCTAACACTAAATATATTTTGATATTATATTTGGTTTGTGTTGAAAATATTGTTGTATTATTATATAAATCTGGTTAAAGTTAAAGAAGTTTAATTCACTTATATATTGATGATTAAAAGAAGGGGTCAAAACATATTATAATATGAATAGAAATGAGTAACAAACTATATTTAATCTGGATGCTATGTTAGCAAATAGTGTTGGCCGGTGAGAGCTTAGTAAGCACATTATGTGGGCTTAGGACATACGTGTCCTCTTTTATGTATACATGTCCTCTTTTATTAACACCAATCTTCCTCCCACCGAAAGGAATTTTCCTTTCCAACTACTCAATTTCTTTTGGAATCTTCCTCTATCCTCTGCCAATCTTTATTCGATAATTTCTTGTGATGTATTGGAATCCCTAAATATTTGAAAGGGTAATTTCCTTTGCCACATCCAAATAATATGACATACTCGTTCTCTACTTCTTTTGCCTTGCCATAACAAAACAATTTGCTTTTATGAAAATTGATTTTCAAGCCTGAAAGTTTCTCAAATGTACTAAGCATAAGTTTGAGATTTTTAGCTGACCAGTTTAGCCATGTTTATATTATCCTTCTTCGAGGTACCTAAAGGTATCCTCAAGAAGCTAGATTATTATAGATCTAGATTCTTTTGGCAATGTGATGACCATAAAAAAAATACAGACTGGCTAAATGGAGTGTTGTGTGTAGACCTAAGGTGTGTAGGGTCCTTGGAATACATAACTTATAACTGCAAAACAAGTGTTTGGTTAGTAAATGGGTGTATAAGCTCATTAATGAAGAGGGAGTTTGGCAGAACTTACTTAGGAAGAAGTATTTGGCTAAGAAATGTATTACCCAAGTTGATAAGCAACCGGGGGACTCTCATTTCTAGTCAGGGCTTATGGCTGTTAAGGAGTCCTTCTTCTCGTGTGGATCCTTTGAGGTTCACAATGGTACTCAGTTGAGGTTTTGAGAGGACTGTTGGGTTGGTGCCACATCTTTTGATAAGCTATATCCATCACTTTATAATATAGTTAGGAGGAAAAATGTTGTTGTTGCTGATGTGTTAAACACAGAGCCTCTTAATGTCTCTTTTAGGAGGGCCATCGTGGGGATAATCTAGTGGCTTGGCATGACCTAGTGTCGAAAGTTGTGTCAGTTAACCTTTCAGAGCAAAATGATGTTTTTAGATGGAGAGCTAATAAAAATGGAATCTTCACAGTAAATTCTATGTATAATGCTCTTATGTATTGTGATGTAGTTCCAAGGAGGACTTTCATTTGGAACCTTAGAATTCCTTTGAAAATTAAGATTTTCCTGTGGTACTTATGGAGAGGGATTACTCTAACCAAAGACAATCTTGCAAAAAGGAAGTGGAAGGGTAGCATTAAATATTGCTTTTGTAATTCTAATGAAACAATACAACACCTCTTTGTTTATTGTCATTTGGTAAGATCTGTTTGGAATGTCGTTTTTATAACCTTTGGGATTCGACCACCCACTAGTGTTGCTAATATGTTTGGTAGTTGGTTAAATGGTGTTCAACCTAGACTAAAATACCAAATTTTTGTGGGCATCACGGCTTTGTGTTGGGCGGTTTGGTTAAATAGAAATGATGTGGTTTTTAATGGCTCCAAAACTAATTCCTTTTTGCAGGTGATCTTCAAGGGGACTTATTGGGCACAACAGTGGTCTTTGTTGTTTAAGGAAGAGGATGGCCACAATTTGAAAGAATATCGCAAGATGTTGGAGGCAAGGGTCATGGAGTTGTATGCAAAATATGGGTGGAACCTTATAAGAAGATTGGAGTAGTAGTCTTCTCTTTTAAGTGTTGTCACTTTGGTACTTTTTATTATCCTTATTGTAAGGAATTCGGGTCTAAGTACTCTTATATGACGTTGGGCTGTGTACATCCATTGTGGATGTAGAAGCCGGATTTTAATCAATTTTCTAAAAAAAATCCTCTTTTATGTCAGATGCATAAATGTCCTCTTTTATGTGGGCTTTAGACAAAAAAAAATTCGGTATGGTACTAAAAAACTTTGTTCTTGCGTACCAAGGGTGTCAATACATGCTTGTCTGACTTTAGTGCTACCTTGTGCTACAGTGCGAATATACTGTGTACATGTACTGTTCACGTGTTACTGTAAAGTACTGTAGCGATCGATCTCATCCGTTCGCTGCAGATCCGTTCGCTGCAGATTGGATGGCTGAGAATACCCTAAAGTTAGAGTACCTTTGCTTCTCTGACTTCACTATATGAAGAGTGAAGTAAGAGGATCTCAATCCCAAAACATCGAGCCTGAGTAACTGTACGGCCCGGCGTCTTCGTCCCCGTCCGCAACTCGAGATCACGAGACTAGATTTAATAAGCGTAATTTAGGACCAAACTTGATTAACGTTGTGTTTAGATCCAAAGTTTGGATCCAAACTTCAGTCTTTTTCCATCACATCAACCTGTCATACACATACAACTTTTTAGTCACATCATCTTCAATTTCAACCAAAATCCAAACTTTGCGCTGAACTAAACACAGCCTAATTTGAGTTGTTGTCAAAGAATGGGATTGCTGAAATAAGCATATAAAGTTAAGAGAATTTCACACATCACATCTTCTATGGAAGCAGTATTTTGGAGTAATTTCCAGCTGATGAACCATAACTTGGTAGTACATGAAGCACACACTCTTTCCACATGCCTAATCTAGTGTCCTTTTTTTTTCAGCACACTAATTCTGTGCTTCTCTCCTTTTGTTATCAACAACAATTAAGTAACACATAAATGATACTGTTCCTCACAACATCATGAACTAGTATACAACAAAAGGACTTACATATGTACCCAAAGCTTGGCCAAGCAACTCACTTCAGTTGAACTTATTGATGCTGATGCTGATGCTGATGATATAAGAACAGTACTAGCAGTAACATGAGTAGGCAAGATGGCTCTTCTTGGACACGTATGTGGAGACGAACTCTGAAGCCAGAGCTGAACTGCTGGACACTGGAGCAGGAACTATGATGTTTGTCAGGCCTGCAGCGATCCTCTTACCGGCGACATGTCCGTAGAACAGGCCGGGGATGGCAGGGACGAACACGTCGCTCTCCGAGCAGATTTTGAGGTCCAGTGCTCTTGCAAGGTATGAATCCCCGGATTTCAGGAACTCGCCTTTGTTAGCGGCCGGCATTATATCATCCTGCAAGAATGATAACTATGTGTCAAGAATTCCGCCAGCTCGGTTTATACTTATTAAAAAAAAACTGATGTATGTCACAAGTTGGAATCACAAGCCAACGATCAAATTCAGTCTGAACTTTAAGTGTGTTTCTCTATGAATAGCTTTTCAGTGTAGCATTCAGTAAATTTTGTTGGGGGGAGAAGATGGATGATGATTCATACAAACTAAAAAATTGGTGAAAGAGTTTTCTTGCCTTGGTATAAGTGTTTGGAAATGCCTCCTTCAGAGTATCCAGGCTTTTGTGCCACCATGTCTCCGTCAAGTAGATGGTTGTATCAGCAGAGAAGCCAACCTTCTTCAGGAAGTGCACAACTTCCTGAGGGTAATAACAGCCTCTTCTTCTTGCACCTCCATTCGTCTTACAGATCTTCTTTTCTAGCAATTCGGTCTGTAAATCAATAGCTATAACCATCCCATCGGATTTCTCGCTTATTTCTTTAAGCTTGTCCAACATATGCTTGGCTACTGCTGAAAATTCAGGTTTCAACTGAAGGCCACTGAACATTGCAAGGCAGGCAGTCGAATCCAAGTCCTTGTTACCCGACTCCTTCTGTTTCAAACTTACTGAAGAGAAAATAGTCGCAAGTCGTAAGTAGTTATTTCTTTGGAAGATCGGCTCAATGGTTCCCGTGATGAACTCTTCAGTCACCCGGTTTGGTACTCTAACTACTGCTGGCTTCTTAGAAGACACTGCATTAGGAAGTGAATGTACTACTTTGACAACTCCATCCAAGCTCGTCATGAATTTATCCACATCATACATGTCTTCGAATTTCCTGTGTATATTCCTTATATCATTAGTGCAAATGAATGACATCTTTTTCATGTTTATAGAAGAAACGTTTTTTTTAATGAATTCATGAAAGGAATTGTAAACAAATTGTGGAAGATTTTATAAATTGGAAAAGAAAAGCTTGTAGTTTTGAAATTCTTCAGTATATCTAAAGTAAATATGAATACAAGATAGCAATAGCCGATAGCCTTGTGCAGTTTTGAGGGGGGAAAAGTGTAAGGTTCTAGCAATGAAACATACCGCCTCTTTCCTAACTCATTTCCTCTAATTTCTGGAAGCACAAGTGTTGCACCTAAATATCTTGCGATAACCACAGCATCAGTAATCTGCAGACAGAAGTATATTCAGTAAGAAAAACCATGGTCCTGAAAATTTCAAGCGGGGTTCCAGCAATTCAATCAAACAGAATATGCAGACACAAAACTTGTTTTTCTTACATATAGTAATTAACTATACATATGAGCTCTGAGTTGCAAGCTCACCTGTGAGATGTGGTATTCAGGGCCCATAGTCAATGAGAATGTAACAAAACCCTTAGACTCCTGAACATCTGCAGAAATTACAAGTGCCAATGTGTCAAGACTCAAGAGTTGGGATCTAAAGAACTTGTCAAGAATATATTTTACTTACTTGATCTTGGTTTAGACCAGCAGGGTCTAATCTCCTCAGCAGTCTCCTTTGGGAGATCCACTCCAGCCTTGTTGACCTTAGTCATTTCAGTAGTATCTGCAATTTTAATTTCGTTTGATTCTATGCCTGTTGCCTCCAAGCCCAACTGTTGGTTTTCAAATTGGGGTCAGTCATATAATGCCCAGTTTAAATTTAGTCAGTTCAAAAGAATCGTTCATCACTGGAAGCTTGGGACAGTGTCAATTGACTCATACCAGTTGAGCATTGGACAAAATGAACACTGTAGTAAAAGATTCCAAAAATCTGGCACATCAATGATTTGCATACAAGAATCAGAACAAGTAAGCTCATGACACAATCGCACATGATTTGCTTCCTGGAGAGACTGAGCTCTCTCTGTCATATCAAGTTCATAATGATAACTATCACTATCCAAAGAGATTAAAAACGATGTACTGTATTTCCTCCTTTGGTTTCATCTTTGCAATTGATGCTCTCTTTACTGATGATGTGTCCCCCACCAACTAGCCTTTCTTTAGGAAGGCTGAAGGCATATAATTTAGTGCTATTCTTCACGGTTATCGAGCTTCGGATTCTTTTTTGACTGCAGACAACGTGCTGATCGACTAGTAGGTAATAATTAATGTAAACCCCAGTTAACCCCTAATGAAAGTCAAGGTCACAAGACGTTCAAGATCCCCTTCACCACTAGATCCACAGATCGCTTGCAATTATCCAAGAATTAAAACAAAAACAAAGAAACCCAAATCATAATCACACTCCTGCATTCCACCGGCGAGCCAAATCAACACGAACAGCTACTAAATCCCTTCATCTGAACTACTCTCCGAACCAAAGAAACCCGGACAAAGAGAGTGAGCTAAATCAACAGCGAAAGAAAGAATTCCTCACGCAGAGACCAAGAACCTGGAAGAGCAATTAGCTAAAGACGAGAGAGATCTCCACGGGAAAGGGAAGGAATCAAGAAGCACGAACCTCCTCCTGGCCGGCGCCGACGGGGGTGAAGTGGTCGTGCTTGATCATGTTGCCGAGCATGACGAACATGGACAGGGTCAGGAACCCGGCCACCACCTGGCGCGGGTCGACCGCCATTGCAGAGGATCGAGCAAGCAGTGCACCACCGACAGAGGAGGAGAGCAGCCGAGGAGAGTGAGGAGGAGAGAGATGAGGGGGACAGAGACCCAGAGGACAAGCACGAGGTCAGTGCCGGCTTTGCCGCTAGCTAGCTAGCGATAAATGGGCTTCGCGTACACTGCGTCACCCGCGCGGCGCGATGCGCGCGGAGCCTCGCGTCGCGTGGCGTGGTGGTGGTGGGGCTTTAATTTGTTTATTTACTGCTGGGTTTGTTGTTGTTCTGACACTCTTGACTGACAGCCGACAGGTGGTGAAATGTGAATGGTGGGTGGTAGTTCAGTTAGTTGTACGCTGGTAAATTCTCCGGCCTGTCCTGTTCTGGTGGAGTAGGGAGTGTAGGGTGAAAATGATCGGAAATTTTCGTATAAGGGTACTTTTTATTGTTATTATTTTTTGCTATATATAAATTTTACTTTTTCTAATTTCTTTCTATATTGTATTAATATTGATATTGAGTAGTTAGTTTTAGTGATAAACATTTGGGCCCCACAAAGTGGGCCCATGTAACTAGTTTCCGAAAAGATATTGCCGTTTCCAAGAAAATACTACCATTTTTGACTATTTTCATCTTGTCTGTAGGAATACGAGGAGATGAAACTTCAGCTCGTATTTTGAGTGTTTGAGTATTTTTGGCTGAATTTCTTCCATCCCAATATATTACCACTTCGGATGAGATTTAACCCATCCTATATAAGAATATTTTGGGACAGGGGTAGAAGTATCTTACATACAGTGGCACCGACTAGGGGGTGTCGGAGGGTGCCAACACCCCCTGTTTTTACTCTATATTAAGGTTAACTAAGATAAGTATTTATCTAGTTTATTTGTATAGCTTGAAAATATTATCAGTTTAGTTAGTTAGCAAGTCTAAGAACATTAGCAAGAACCATAATCTACAAAATTAGTTTGTGATTTCTCATCTTTTTTCAAAGTAAAATAGATGATACTTACTTGTGAGATTATTCAATAGTTTTATGATACTTATTTGTGAGATTATTCAATAGTTTACATTGAAAGAATTTAGCAATAATTACTAGTTTTAAACTTTCAATGATATTATTAAAGAGCTAAATTTTAAGTTTTTTAAAGGACTAGTTTACGCATTGATTGTTATTGATGGTGATTATTTGACCTCCTTTGCTATCAATATTAGTTATTCGGTCTCATGGCATATCCTCTCACCACACCCCCTAATCTTAAATCCTAGCTTCGCCCCTACCCCATGCGTACATATGCTTTTTAAGGGACACTCTTGGTCAAATATTTAGTTGGAGTAGCTGATATAATGTGCACAACAAGTAATGAATTGATATCGGGAATATAAGTCCATCAAACCATACAAGAGTCGAAGCTTGCTATGTACAGACGTACAACCAGAAGGGTTTTCCACGTTTCTATGAACGGTGAGTGTGTTCTTTTCTCTTCTTTATCAACTTCTACTCTTTCATTCTTAGCAAACATGTTTTCCAAACTGTTAAAAAATATATTTTTAATAAAAAAATCACAAAAAATACTTTTAAAAATCGTATTAATTTATTTTTTTAAGTTTATTTAGCTAATAGTTAATTATTATGTGTTAATCGATAATTCCATTATACGTACGACCGGTAGAAGTGTTTGTAAACCCTCAAAACAACACATCCTTAAGAGTTAGTAAGACTGAGACTTGGGTCAGTTGGGTGTAGTACTGTAGTGAACGAATAAACGCTCACTCTCTTCTCAAGATGCACTACAAAATTGGAAAAAAAATTTCTTTTTTGAAAGGATGGCAAAAGCTTTGCCACTTCAAAATTTGAAACGAATGACTCCAAAACAAATGCCTCACACCTGTCAGAATACCTTCTCAACCATCCGCAGCATGCAAAATTGTCCTGTCTGAAGAAGAGACGAAGAAGACGCATTAAACCCCGTTTCTCTTGCTTTCGACCCAGCCTACAGTTCTTCCCCCCCCCCCCCTTAATTTTCTTTAGCGGTTTTCAGGCTGTGTTTAGTTCACATCAAAATTAGAAGTTTGATTTAAATTGAAACGATGTGATGAAAAAGTTAAAAGTTTATATGTGTAGGAAAATTTTGATGTGATAAAAAAGTTGAAAGTTTGAAGAATTATTCTGTAACTAAACACGGCGTCAGTCAACTCATAAATTCAGAAGCCCTTTGCAATTTGCATGCAGATCTGGGTATTTCTCTCTCTATCTCGCTCGCTGCTGCATGCTCATTTGTTTAGACAATAATAATGGCGACACGTGACAGGGAGTGTGCACGGCAATTGGCCATGGGCAAACCAAAGAGGACTAGAGGAGATGTTGCCGATGACAATTGGCAAGCAAGCAGGCGGTGTGCGAAACTGTGTGCAGTGCAATGAGTACACCGCTCTACCGACAAAATCCGCGCGTCGGTGGAGTCGGGCAGGAGAAAAAACGGACGCCCCCGACCGCCCAATCCGGCGCCCCGTGCGCGCGCGTGGGTGAAACGGTGCCCATATGCAATTTTTTTTTAATCTCTTTTGATAGGAAACACACTTCCATTGAACTTCAACTCGAGGCAAATCGCCGGATATAGGTTCGAAGATGAACTCCAGGACCTGATTCACTTACAACGTTTTTTTTTTACTAAAGATTCACTTACAACATTGAATCTAAAAGTGGTAAAGAACCTAACATTTCTCTACTATTAGAAAAACTACTGAAGATGTTTTTGCCGATAATTTGTTACGTCATCCGAGTATGAGTCGGTTTTTAAGTTCATTTGCTTTTGAAAATACAGATACATATTTGAGTCGGGTTTTAAGTTCGTTCGCTTACAGAAATACAAAAGAAGTAATATAAGAAATCTCTTTTTAAAAAACTTGCATGTTAACTTGAGATGATCGGACTCCTTATTGTAGCTCATGATTTTATAAAAAAATATATATTCAAGCTAATTCTCACAGTGAATTTTACCTTAATCAAACCGTATAACAATAACAAAATTAAAAGTAGCCCGTTGCAATGCACGGGCAATTTTCTAGTTAGTTTATAAATTTAAATGTTGGGTCTAAAACAAGATTAGTGCCCTCCCGCCTCTCGATCTGGTGAGAAATGAGGAAATAAAAGGGAGAGAAAGTAGGAAGAAGACTGGCGCATTCATATGTGGGGCCCATGTGGATCCTATACCAACTCGGTCGGGTTAACCTCAGTCAACTCGTCACGTCAGTCGAAATAGAGCACAAAACAGTTTAGGGTGCTCTACTTTTGTAAGGTACACCTTATATCTGTTATAGCGGTTTAAGGATCTAATGTAAACTTGTCATCAATAAACTGGATCTAAAGTGAACATATTCCGATGGAACTAGGGGCTGGCCTTGGCCCACTAAGATGCGATGCATTGAAGGACAGAGCTAGTGGGCTTTTTGACCGGCCCAATCTCAACATAGGCTGGCCGACACAATGCACGGCCCACACGGCGACGTCGCTTGCTTACTACAGGTGAGATCAGTGTGACAGCTCGGCGGCAACGACCAAGGTGTTTTGTCTCCTCATCTGGGGATGACGCCGCCGTGCAGTGCCGACTACTGCTACCACAAAGTGCATCTCTATCCACTACACCTCCACTACTACTAGTACTTGCAGCTGATCTCGCCTTGCAAGTTGCAGCAGCTTCTGCTTCCCATCTGCCGCCGAGTCGTGGACGCAAGCACTCCCCTCCTCCCATCTTTTGCATGCCAAAACAGCTCAATTCCACTACACCTGCGTCCTGATAAATGTGTTGGGCCTCGAGTACTTTCAGCTTACTACTCTCCGGTGGTGTTCTTTTCTGAAGATTAAGTTTTTTTTACGCAAAACGAGATGGTATTAACGTATGATTGATTGAGTTTTAATTATTACAAACTTAGAAAAAAAATATTAATATGATATTTTAGAGGAACTTTCATATAGAAAATTTTCGCACGAAACGTACCGGTTAACGGTTTGAAAAACGTGTCACGAAAATCTTAATCTTCATCCAATTCTTGTTAGAGAAAAGAACGGGACCAGAGAATTAGAATACCCCTATAGAATTGGGAGAATGAATTGGATGAAGATTGATGCATCACTTGATAGGTGGGTAGGTAAGGGTTATATTATGCCCTAATTGCTCAGTTGACCCTATTTTGAAACCTAAATACCGATTTGATTCTACTTTTTCAGGTTTACTTATTTGACACCGTTTTTTAAAATTGCCACTTGCTTTTTTTATGGAGTACATATGCCTGGAGCAGTAGAACCAAGATTTACCAACATAAGAGGGAATGTATTACCCATTACCCTGATGATAAGCCCGATAGCCGCGATAAACACTAGTTAAACCAGACGAATATTTACTTACTAAAAATTTACTTTTTGTTTATTTAAAAAAATAGTGAGGTTTTCGATTTTTTTTTTTGCATTATAACACCCTGCGGTAAGCCTGGTTACTAGATAACGAAACCCTCGTAGAGCTGGTGTTAGGTTACAACTGATAGTAATTCGTGGAGCTGGTGCCAGATCATCCACACAGTAATTCGTGGTTGGTACAGTAGTGGCATCGATCCATATTGACAAAAGCTGTCTCAATAAATTAGGCCGGAAAAAAAAACTTAAAGCTGAGATGCCGATGGATATCGTACATTACGTAGGACGTCGATCTGATCCGATACGTACAATATCTTTTGTCCTCGTTTCTCAACTCTTGACCACAATCCACAAACAAAATGTGAACGAGAGAGCTAGCGGATCCACGTTTTGTACCTGGCGTGCACAAACATAATCATAAATAACATATTTGTCATCTCGCATTATATATATAAATAAATAGATTTTATAAGATGATGAAATGGAGTCATTTTTGCCCATACGTACAGCATTGAGAAGCATGCAGGAAGATGTTTCATGTGTCCAATTTTTGGGACCAAATTCTGAAATTTGGGGATTTTGAATGGGAGAGTTAGAATCCAACCAGATTTTTGCTGAATATGAACAGATTGTTGCTAACTTCTAACAAAATTAATAATTTTGGCCAAAGGCACATCCAAACATGCTATAGGGACCCACCAGCAGACCCTGGAATTTCAGATTTCCTTTTTCCCCCGAAATTGTGGACCCTTTGTTGGACTCTTTCATTTGTTGAACTCTTTCATGACGAGAGATGTACAAATATGGGTGTGTTTAGTTCACACTAAAATTGAAAATTTGATTGAAATTAGAACGATGTGATGGAAAAGTTGGAAGTTTGTGTATGTAGGAAAGTTTTGATGTGATGAAAAAGTTAGAAGTTTGAAGAAAAAGTTAGGAACTAAACCAGGCCTGTGCCAAACATTGAGTGGTCTATCTCCATTCTTTTCAGTTTCATACTTTTCTAATTTTAAATCCAGTTAATCTGCTTACTAAGCTTGCAAGTACTGACCCACAATCACAAGGACAATGTGGCTGATTGGCTGGCATGTATGGTCTGTTTTTAATATTATCATGCTTAATTCCAGGGAAATGATAATCACATTTTTTTTAAAAAAAAAAGAAAAGATCACCACATTTCTAGTAGCATGTTGTTTGCCTTTCATTTTCATCGTCCGTTGCCTCTGCAGATGATGCACACACCAAAGGTCACTCTCATCTAGAAGACATGCATTCTCTTGTTCCATTCTCAACCAAGCATTTGGTTATCTATGCTATAGAGTGGTCGCTTATGAAAGTAATGTTCTAGCTATACTCAAGTAATTCTTTTTTCAACATGTGCACACAAAAATCATATAAATGACAAGATTCAAGTAGGTGATAAAGCATGTCTCTACCTTACAAGGAAGGCCCTTTTTTTTTTCATATTATCATGCTAGCCATGTTTGCTTTTGTTACTGATAGTATTTTCTTATTATTGAAACAAAAAATCTAGCTCCTACAGCTAATCTCATTTGAGCTTTTGGTTTTAGATAACTCATTTAAGCTAACCTACCTTTCCAATCCCCTGGCTGGAAAGACAGGCAGTCCCAACTACCAAGCATTAAAAATTACAAGCAAAGCATTAAGAAAAGCTAATGCATAGTACCACATAGAATATTTTACAGTACCCATTGTGCAACAGGATAAGATCACATTGCACATGTACAGTCAGCCCCCCTCTTTCTCTCTCTAGTTCCTACCAAACTTGATTAACTCCAAATTTCTAAGCACATCTGCTTACATTTAAGAACAAAACCATCAAGATTAGGGCATCAATTAGTAGAATAGTGATATAGGATCCTGTTTCACCCAAGTTTCAGACTGTCAGATACACACACTTTGTCTGTTCTCTCAGGATCTTCAGCTATCATCACCAAGATCATTAATCATATAAATAGAGTAGAATGAGCAATCATCAAGGTCATTGACACTTTGTTGTGAAAACAATGTGCCGTCAATAAAGATGCTAATTACTACTAACCTCTCACCCACTTACCCAAAAAACACAAAAAAAATTACTAAAATAAAAGGATGGCATCATCTTGCTGTGCATTTCAAGTTTGTTTATGTGGCAACCCGTTGCTGTTCTTCTCTTGTTTGCTTCTTGTTTTTGGTGAAAACAGAGGGCGAATTTTTGCTCCATTTTAAAGTATTCTGTTGTGGTAGATCTACACACCACGCAGATTGCTCAGGGAAAAAGAGAGAGAAAATGATGTATGTATTTGCCGCCTGTGTCAAATCAAAACAAAGCTACATGCAAAAGTGCCTCTTTTTTTTCCCTCCTCCTTCTTGGGATTAGGCATTTTGGACTTGGATTCTCCCTCATTGGCCATTCCAATCTCACCAGTTCTCCCCACAACTCACAAAGCAAGCAAAGCACTGGCCATGGAGCAATTAACTTGATGCTACTACAATCATGGGATTCCTCATCCAGCAAATCAAATTTACAGAAACAAATTAGAAAGAGAGATCATCAAAAGCAAAGCAATTGACTAATCATAAACCATCATTAGTTAATGATAGCCTCAAGTTAGGTCAGTTCATAGATATACATAGTTGATACATGTCTTCTTAATCAGGTCAGGACTCAGAAAAACCAGAGAGTTACTAGAATCATAGTAGATCACAACAAACTTGGACCTTATGCATTGCAATTATAATTATAATTATATAGTTACTAATAGTAAGCAGTTGTAGCAGTAACAACTCTACCAGCCAAAAGGAGATCAATGGCTTTTTGCTCTAACTGTAAAAATTATTATTTTTTTTGTACTAATAGCAGCAAACTAACATGAACCGCCACTGTTCTGAAGATCAGACAGTGAGAGCGACCTCGGCGACCTGAATGTTCCATTCCTCCTCACCATTCCTCCCATCTGGGTGTGCAAGGTGAGCCTCGGCGGCGGCAATGGCAATGGCGGCGCCGCCGACTCTCGCCGGCCGCCGTTCTTGCCACGGTGCTGCCGCTCATCGTCGTCTGAATCGTCGTCTTCCTCCTCACCCTCGTCGCCCTCGGCGACGGCGTGGTCGGGCGCGAGGAGAGGTGGGAGGTAGGTGGCGGTGGCGAGGGAGCTGCAGGAGGCTCGCCGCGACCAGGTGGCGAGGATGCGGCGGCGCTTGTTGAAGGGGTTCTCCGGCTTGGCCAGCTCGTTGGCCGCCGCCGCCGGCGACGCCGTCGCCTCGGCGAGGCTGGTGAACGACTTGGACTTGCCGGCGTAGAAGTTGGAGAGCCCCCTCCTGAACAAATCAAACAATTTTAGAGCTTCTTATTCAGAATATATATATATATATATATATATATATATATATATATATATATATATATATATATATATATATATATATAAAAGCAATTTTAGTAGTCTTTTCCTAGCTTCAGTTCTTGTTTTGCTTTTTCTCCCTTCCCTGGAATAAGCGTCTGGCTGATTGTTTTGGGTAACAAAAACTATTTTACTTCTAACGTATTGACATGACAATCTTTCTGAGCGTTCGCGAAAAAAAAGAAAAAAATATAAGCAATTTTAGAGCTAATTCTGCAGCATCTTGTTTTGTCAACTGCAGTTTTGAGGATGTGATCAGTGGTGACATTGGAACCGTCACTGTCATGTTTGTTCAGGAAGAGATGATAATAAGCATGTAGTACATGTTCTTGCATCCGACATGGCTAGGATAGTACTAAAGATAATAGGATGTCTGCTGCTAATGCTAATCTGGTGCTAACTAGTACATCATGTTTGGCTCTGCAATTTAACGATTACTGGAAAGGAATCCATGTTTGCCGCGCCATTTTAGGTAGCTATGGACTCAAATCATCAAAATACTCTTGACCAACTAGCAACTACTAGTACACATGAAGAGATGCAAGAAAAGCAAAAGCACCAAAACTATCATGTGTTTTGCACAAATTTCGCCATTTTTGTGTGTGTGAAAGCCTACATCTACCTACATAATTTTTTTTAAAAAAAGATCTGATAAGAAAGATGAAAGAAAAGAAATCTTTGACTCACTTGATGGGTAAGGATTCCTCCAAGGCGTCCAAGCAGCCGAGGCCGACCTGCTCATCCTCCGCCTTGAGCTTGCTCTCCACCTCCTCCTCGTCGTCCCCTCCCTCCTCCTCGCCGGAGTTCTCCCCGATCGACGAGCTCGCCGGCGACGGCGCGCCGATCGACGAGCTCTCCGTCAGCACCTCCTCCTCCTCCTCCTCCTCCTCGATGAAGAACCCTTCGTTCCTCCTCTTCCCCATCAGCACCACCACCTCCTCAGGCTTCCCTCTCTTGGCCGATCCGGGGAACCCGTAGGCCGCCGCCGGTGGCACGTCCGCCACCGCCGTCGACATGGCCGTGCACCACCACCACCACCACCACCACCACCACCAGCAAGATTCAGCGATCCGGACGGTGCCAGTGTGCGCGCAAGAGAAGCAAATCTCGGGATGGATTTCTTTTGGATAAACACCCTTGTCCGTCCAAGAACAGGACACCAACTCAACAACTTTGGTGAGGAAGAAGAAGAGAAGACAGAAGACAGAGAGGAAAGAAGAGAAGCAACCGAGCAACAAACGTAGGATAGGATAAGAGCAACGACAGCAGGGAAAGCTTTGGGTGAGCGGGGTCTTTGTAGGCAGGACGGGGCCGCAATGGCCAGGATCCTCTGCAACCTCTGTACGATAGACTACTCTTTCTGTGTGCTACCTACTCCGACTCTGCGTGTTTGTGTGGGAGCGGAGTAATATAATACGACACGTTTTATTAAAAGACGTGTGTGCTGGTGTGGCTGGCGCGGTTGTTTCGTGCATTTAATGATTATTTATAATATATTAAAGGAGGAGAACCGACGAAATATCTTATCTCTTTTGATGGAGCGTAATAAACATCCAGGTTGGTGCGGAAGAGTTACGCTAGATTGAGCAAAAAAGACAAAATGCTCTAGCTAATCCAAGCGTTATGGCTACGTCATCTTGGCCGAGAGGGCAGAATATCAGTTTCTCCGGAATTTCCGATCTCCAACAGCGGGTTACTAGAGAAAAAATCACTTTCTAATTTCAAATTCTATTGATGTCTTGGGTAGTAATATAATACGACGTGTCTAATAAAAAGAGTATGGGTTGGTATGGCTGGCACGGTTGTTTCATGTATTGATGTTTGTTTAATATGTTGAAGGAAAAGAGCTGACGAAATCTCTTTTAATTGAGTGTAATAAAGGTCTAGATTGGTGTGGAAGAACTACGTTGGCTTGAGCGGAAGAATTACGCTCGCTTGAACGAAAAAACCAAAACGTGCTATAACGCTTGGCACATTTCTAAATTACTTCACAAGTCATATTCAACTACTTGGCCAGGGGGGCAGAATATTAGCTCCTCCGTAATTTCCGATCTCCAACGGACGGTTACTGGAAAAGAAAATTCAATTTCAAATTTTATTGATGTCTTGAATAGTAATATAATACGACGTGTCTAATAAAGAGAGTATGGGTTGGTATGGCTAGCGGTTGTTTCGTGTATTGATGTTTGTTTAATATGTTCGAGGAAGATAGCTGACGAAATCTCTTTTAACTGAGTGTAATAGACATCTAGATTGGTGTGGAAGAACTACGCTGGCTTGAGCGGAAGAACTACGCTAGCTTGAGCGAGAAAACCAAAGCGTGCTAGCTAATCCAAGCGTTATAGCTATGACATATTACCGGGTGGGCCAGAATATCGGGTGCTACCTACTCCGACTCGTGTGTTTGCGTGGGAGTAGAGTAATATATAATACGACACGTCTCGTAAAGGGTGTGTGTGCTGTATGGCTGGCACAGTTGTTTCGTGCGTTTAATGATTATTTAATATATTGAAGGAAGAGAACTGACGAAATATCTTATCTTTTTGATCGAGTGTAATGAATATTTAGGTTGGTGCGGAAGAGTTACGCTAGTTTGAGCGAAAAGGGCAAAATGTGCTAGCTAATCTAAACGTTATGGCTATGACATCTTGGCCGAGAAGGCAGAATATCAGTTTCTCTGGAATTTCTGATGTCCAACGGCAGGTTACTAGAAAAGAAAAATCAATTTCAAATTTCAAATTCTGTTGATGTCTTGAATAGTAATATAATACGACGTGTCTAATAAAGATAGTATGTGTTGGTATGGTTGGCACGGTTGTTTCATGTATTGATGTTTGTTTAATATGTTGAAGGAAGAGAGTTGACGAGATCTCTTTTCATTGAGTGTAACATCTAGATTGGTGCGGAAGAGCTACGCTGGCTTGAGCGGAAGAACTACGCTAGCTTGAGTGAAAAAAACAAAATGTGCTAGCTAATCCAAGCGTTATAGCTATGACATATTGGCCGGTGGGCTAGAATATCGGTTTCTCCAAAATTTCCGTTCCCTTAGTGAAATCCAATGGTAGGTTACAAGAAGAAGAAAAAAAATCAATTTTGAATTTTATTGATGTCTTGGGTACTAATGTAATACAATGTGTCTAATAAAGAGATTGTGTGTTGGTATGGTTGGCATGGTTGATTCGTGTATTGATGATTGTTTAATGTGTTGAAGGAAGATAACTGGCGAAATCTCTTTTGATCGAGTGTAATAAATGTTCAGGTTGGTGCTGGAGAGTTATGTTGGTTTGAACAAAAAAATAGAAGTGCCAACAAATTCAAGCATTAAGCCTTATAGCTAATGAGGGGACTAGAATATTGGTTTCTCTAGAATTTCTAGTCCCTCAGTGAAATCTAATAACCGATTACTAAAAAAATTTCCCATTTCTAAATTTGTATTTTATTGATGACTTGTGAAGTAATATAATACGACGTGTGTAATAAAGAGTATATGTTGGCATGGTTTTCACGGGTTGTTTTCGTGTTTTGAAGATTGTTTAATATGTTGAAGAAAGATAATGGATGAAAACTCTTTTGATTTAGTGTAGTGAATATCTAGTTTGGCACTAACGAATTACGATGGTTTTGAGCAAAAAATCAAAAACAAAAAGTGCTAGCAAATTCAAGCGCTACAGCTATGACATCTTGACCAAGGCTATGAATTCCAATGACCAGTTACTAGACAAAAAAAGAACATTTTCAAATTTTGAATTTTATTGGCGTCTTGGGTAGTAATATAATATGACGTGTTGAATAAAGGTCGTGTGTGCTAGCATGGCTATTATAGTTGTTTTGTGTATCCATGATTGTTTAACATGTTGAAGAAAGAGATATTTGACGAAATCTGTTTCAGTCGAGTGTAATAAATGTCTAGGACACAAATATAATATAACACATCTCATGAAGAGAGTATTTGTGGTTGGTACCGTTGTTTCGTGTATTGATAATTATTTAATATGTTGAAGAAAGATAATTGATGTAATATCTTTGGATCGAGTGTAATAAACGTTTAGGTTGGTGCCGGAGAGAGTTACATTGGTTTGAGCAAAAAAAAAAACAAAAACGTGTCAGCTAATTCAGGCTTTTAAGCATCTTGACTAGGGGACCAGAATATCGGTTTCTCTAGAATTTTCGGCCCCTCAAGATAATCCATAGTCAGTTACTAGAAAAAAAAATCTAAATTTGAATTTCATTGTTGTCTTGGGTAGTAATATAATACGACACATCTAATAAGGAGAGTATATGCTGGTATGGCTAGCACGGTTGCTTCATGTATTGATGGTTGTTTAATATGTTAAAGGAAGAGACTACTGAAATGTCTTTTGATCGAGTGTAATAAATGTCTAGTTTGACACTAGTGAGTTATGTTGGTTTGAGTGGATAAAAACAAGAAGTGCCAATGAAATCAAGAGTTATAGCTATGAGATCTCGACCTAGGTCCAGAATAGTGGTTTGTCAAGAATTTCCGATTCCCACTGAAATACAGTAATTGACCAGTTACCATACAAAATTTTCAAATTTAGAATTTAAATTTATGACCCCACTTACTCCCTTATAATTGTCTAAGATCACTTACTCCCTTATAATTGTCTAAGATAATGCTAAATTAGGTTGGTGGTTATATGTTTTGTACAAAAATTAATTGATTTATGTAAATGTTTTGTACATAAATTAATTGATTTATGTATTACACATTTTTCATTTGATATTAGTGGCAAGTCAAAAAAAGCATATTATTCATTTATGTATTACCCATTTTTCAGTGGACATTAGTGGCAAGCCATAAAAAGCATATAAATGCTAATATTTACCCCCTTAGCTCTGAAGGGCTAAACGACCACCCTCCGCAGAGGATCCCGGGGCAGACACACAACGGATGTGCCCCCCACGCCCGGTGCGTGGACCGTGTCCACCCAAAGACGACGGCTTCCCTCCGTTCTGTGGGCGTACAAGACGCAGTCGCAGCCGGGCTGAGCTGCTGATCAAAGCTGATGAGCAGGCAGTAGGCCGTCCCTATCCGTTACAGGAAGTTTACACCCCTCCCCCACTGACAGGTGGGCCCCACCACGCAGCGGGGTGGGAGTGGCTAAGGCCGATGAGGTGGTGGTGAACCTGACCGACCGGTGGTGAGTGTGAGGCGTTTTGACACGTTCCTTGACATGGCGACAGTGACCTTTGGACGAGGTTGCTGGCTGCTGCTGCTGGCTTGGCACGATTCAATTCGATTCGATTGCTCTCTCTCAATCTCATCATCACCGAACGCTACGCGTATGCGCTACCTGACAAAGTGTCGACTACTACACGTATGCACTTTTCGTATTTATACTGTACAGACATACGACGAGGAGGAGGAGCTAAACTACGTAATCCCTCCGTACTCATAGAGAAAGTCGTTTTGGACAGCGACACGGTCTCTAAAACACAACTTTAATTTCTTATTTTTATAAAAATATTTATTAAAAAGTGATATATGTATACTTTTATGAAAATATTTTTCAAGACAAATATATTCATAGAATTTTTATATTTTCAAATTCAACAACTTGAGAGTTATTCATGATTTATATTCCCAATGTTTGACTTAAACATGGTCGTAAATGACTTTATTTATGAGTATGGAGGGAGTACTAGTACTAGTATAGTAGTAGTAGCTGCTCCATGAGAATATGCGGCGAAAAGGGTTATTAGGAAGGTTACTGATATCCACTAGAGATTAAATCATGGTTTCTACAAATATTACATATACCCAAGTAAATTTCAATATGAATTTAGGAAGGTTACTGATATGATGCTAATTTTCGTCTCTTTAGCATGTGCTAGCGAAGTGCGCACGTGTTGATGCTTAGGTTGCGTTTGTTTGCAGCAGATCAGAGAAGAAAATTTCTCATTCTCCACGCTCACGCTTTACAAATTACTAAATAGACCGTTTTATGTAAAAAGTTTTTATATGAAAGTTGCTTTAAATTATCATATTAAACTATCTTTTATCTTTTAAGTTTAAAATAATTAATACATTATTAATCACACACTAATGACTCGCAACCTCAATTTTTCGCTTATGCTTAGGCTTATCAACAAAAATTTAAATTTTCAACATTCAATTTTGAGTTGATTTTAGGGTTTTTTTATCGAAGTTTATTTTTCAACATTTGCTTTTAGATCGCTAAAAACACGTATATAAAAGTTTTATTCATAAATTATTTTTCATTTGCAAATATATCGTTTCGCTTATTCCCCAATA